GAAAGAGAGAGTGTGAGAGAGAGTGATAGAGAGCGTGAGAGGTATTGAGAGAGGGAGAGCGAGCGATTGAGAGAGAGAGCGAGAGAGAGAGAGCGAGAGAGGGTGTGAGAGAGCGTGAGCGAGATTGAGAAAGAGAACGAGGCAGTGGCGAGAGAGAGCAATTGAGAGAGAGAGCGAGAGAGTGGATAGAGAGACAGAGAGAGCGTACAATATTTAGCGATACATATTGCTAGTTCATAGACAATGACAGTGTATCTTGGATGGTAACCGTGAAGGCAGCCGTAGGAGGATTCTCGCATTTGATAGTCCCTTTAATTAAGCGTTTTGATAAATCTTCTTTAGATAAACAACAGAGTAGCAGAATTTTTTCTTCAGAACCCTGTTGCTAGTTCGGAAGCGTCACGGGTCCAGCGTTGCGTTGCGTATCACGGAACACTCATAGTTCTCCCTTTCTCGTCCCTTTACCCCAACCCCTGAAACCCCGCAAGAGCCCCGAGCTGAGATTTGTGTGTATGGTAGTGTTTTATGCCTGTGTATGCCAGATGGTTGTGTGGTGTGTATGCGTCTCGGGAATGAGGGGCGATGGCCGAGTGCTGGGGGGTCAATTACTCGCCTTCTCCCCCTTGGGGGCCCACCCTATGGCCCTTCCTCCCTTGGTCCACTCCACAACCACACAAAAACGTTTGCCGCTCGGACACCAGGGGCAAACCCGGTTATTTGCAGCTGTATTTAGGGGATGGATTGAGTATTTGTTAGGGTGAGAAGATGTAGATTTGGGGTAGTAGCGTCAAGCTATTCCATATGTAGGAAAGCATAAGTATTAGCCCTAAGTCTAAGCCTAAGCCTAAGCCCAAGCCTAAACCTAAGCGCAAAGCTAAGCCTAAGCCTGAGCCAAAGTCTCGCCTGGGCCTAAGCAGAATCTATCGCAAAATACCGAAATATCGAAAAGCGCGACAAACAGCTTGTCCTGCTTTGTGCACGTTATTTTTGCTATTGCAATAGCTATTGTATTTAACATTTTACACCTAAAAACGCTTACATATTTTCGGCTTTATCGAATACAATTAGAAATCCCTTAAAATATTGAAAATATTGACGCCTTTGGGCCTTTAAAGTAAGCCATTGCAATGCCTCGGGCTATGTTCATAATTTCTATGCAAATTTAGCATAACCTTTAGCTATCTAAGGCTTTGCCTATCAATATATAAGCTTAAAAGGAGTCGTTTTTAGGTGCTTTTGGAGTTTCGGGACGGGACCTAGCTAGTTGGATAGAGAAAAAAATTCTGAGCAAAATCCCGTTTGCAAAAAGTGCTGATCGATAAACGTGTTTTAGAAAATTTAATTTAATTAAAAATGTTCCCCATGTCCCGACCCTTGTGGTGATTTGAGGTGATTTGCAGCGGTCGACCGCCCCTGCCACATGGGGACTTCACGCGCTTTGGATCCCGTCCTAGGCATGGCCAAGTGGCTAGTGCGTTGGCCTACGAAGTTTTTTTTTAAGTTTTGCCACAAGTTCGATTCGTATCTATCGTTAACTCTTTGCTTTTTGCTAATTAAAATTTCATGCACCGATAACGGGTCCAAGAACCAAAAAGCAAAGGGTTAGCCAGCGCGAAGATTCGAACCCGAGGCAAAAATGTAAAAAAAGTTGGTAGGCAAGCGCGCTACCAATACGCCAATTCAACCTGGGACAGAGGCCTTGGCGGAAGGTTATGAATGACGCCCTGCCCCATTTTGAAAATCGCATGTTGCTCAGTATTTTTTTCTCTATCGAACTAGCTAGGTCCCGTCCAGAAACTTCAAAAGCACCTAAAAGCGACTCCTTGTTAGCCTGAATCAGGGGGGTGAGTGCCCAGGGGGCATTTGTTTACCAAAACTGCCCGGTCGGCTATGTGGTTGGCCGTGGTCACTCTCGCTGCCCATGGAGATACGGCTTCCTCCTCACCCCGGATGGTCACCCCGGTATTTATCTAAGCAAGAAGCTGGATTTGTGCATCAACAGGGGCTTTAGAAGAGCGCGAACAAACTGTTTTTCCAGATTATATTATATCATTTAAGGCCGTTTTGGCCAGCGGATCGGCCGCACTTTTCGCTAAATCGTTAACCTAAGTCTGAGCCAGAGCCTGAGCCTAAACTAAGGATAATATCGGTTTTATTATCTGTATTCTTTACGATGCTTAGTTGATTTAATTCCTCTTTTCTTCACTCCTGTCGTCTACCCTTTTATTTTTTTTAATAAACTACGTGAGCTTTCCAGGACCCCCCTACTGAAAACACCCTAATCCTATAGCCTACTAAACCGGAAATCACGCTGCCTTTTTCATCCGCTCTTGATTTTTCCGCAGTACAACAAATAAGACCAAATAACCATCAAAATTGGCGGGTATGAAAAGGCTAACCCAAATCTGCTCGTATTTCGTTGACCAATTTACTTTTATCGCCCTGCTCTTCTCTGTATCTCTCTCACTCTCTCGCTCTTTCTCTCTTTCTCTCTCTCTCCCTCTCTCTCTCTCTCTCTCTCTCTCTCTCTCTCTCTCTCCAGCTCTCCTCACATTTCGTTGACCACCGTCCGCCAGCTCCTCAAAATCCAGCTAATGGGCCCCGGAGGCCCAGGGGCCCTTTTTTGCGCAGCCCGTTGGAGAGCTTTTCGAGCCGGTGTTCACGTGAACCTTCGACGCGGCCTTTTTACGGTGTCTCGGTGTCTTGTGCTCTCTTTTTGTTGGAGGGCTTTCCCCGACCCTAATTCGGGGGCCGTTCGTCTAATCATGCCTCCACGCTTAAATTGCCCAATTTTTGGCATAGGAGGACCAGATTTTGGTTTTTAAGGATTCACACAATGTTTTTGTTTAGCTTCTTTTGTTTTTGTGCGGTGACGGGAATTTTTTGATTGAATTCCGGGTGGTCTGGGCACGGATTGGGGGAAAGAGATTCCAGGGAGTTGTGGGTATGATTCAAGTTTACACAAGAGTTTCGAAATGATTTAGGAATGTCGGGGATTGCGAAATTGACATGGAGGTGATAAAGTTAGGAACTAATGATGCAATATTAGTAGCTTACGGATTTTTTGAAGATTTAGGTGAGGCAGCTAAGTGTGGTATTTGTCAAAGGTTGTTTAATGCGGTTTAATTTGAAGGCATTTTTAAATGAACAGAGAGGCTTCAAATTTCGAGTTTCAAAAACCCTCCGCCCACTGTCCTTAGTTTTTATTTTGTTTATTCTGTATTAAGGTCTGCTTGTTTTTCATGAACTAAACATTAGCGCGGTGAAATGAAAGCTCTTAAGCTGACCCTACTGTAGCTTTTACATAGAGGATTCTATTATTTATGGGCATTTAAAGCGCGCGTTTAAGGGTTTGAGGGTACGTATAAGCCGATGGACGTCGTTCTCTCGCTCTCCCTCCTTACTCCTCTCCTCCCGCTCTCGCTCACTCTCCCTCACTCTTTCTCTTTCTGTCTCTCTATCTCCGTCTTTCTCGCGCTCTTCCCCTCTCTTTATCTCAATCGCTCTCTCTCACTTGCTCTCTCCCTCTATCTCTCGCTCTCCCCCGCTCTCTTTCTTTGTAATAGTCTCTAGTCGTCTATAGGTGTGTATCTAGCAAAACAAGGCTGATGCCTGATCATGCACCTTAAAGAAAATCATCCCGGCAGAATTTGTGTAGCTCGATCTTCCCTAGCTCTACATCCGTCTTCTCAAACTCTCACTTAAAGCCCCTAACCCACCGCCGGCATGTTGAAACGTGGATAGTCACGTGTCTACCGTACCCCCTTCCCCCAGCCGACCCTATGACGTGATGTCCTTTCGCCATGCCGGCTGTCCCCTTCAGGGGGTCTCCCAACCCCCTTCGATACCAATTCGACCCCCACCCACACATACACATTGATCCAGGGAACCCTGCCCACCCACCAGTCAGCCACCCACCACCCTCGATGCTTTTTTCCGATACCATCCGACTGTACGGCCACGGGGGCCTGGTATTATACCAAAATCGTCGTACTACAACTAACTAGATGCTGCTTTAAGGCGATTTGCATATTATATTTAGGTTGAAAACGAAACTTTTCAATACGGTAATTTCCTTTATCTCTACTTTTCTACTGCCCTCCTACCTTTTACAGTCTCCCCAACTCTGATTTCTTGCATTCAAAGCGTTGCGCTCGCTCATTCTCTCGCTCCCCGCAGCAACCGTCATGCCCATTTTTCCGGATAAGAATGATACAACCTGATGAATCAGTTAGATACGTTCCCATCCGTTCCCACCCCTCCGCAGAGCTTACAAAATCGAATAAATTGGCTGGCGGTTCATTTAACGGGGCGTTTCGGGATGTTCGTCGAAAGGTACTAAACGGACAACCTGAACCCGGGGCTGGGGCCGTTCCTAGAGGTGTGATTTGGGTGAACTCCCAGATAACGCCGCCCCCAATCCGCCTCTTTTTGAACAAGTGGGTTCAGCCAAGGCCATCCCCGGTTCGGTAACTTGAGGAGGCGCATTGGTGGCGTTTTACCATATTTGAGGGTGTTGACTCCAGATATTATAATTTTTTTGATTAGACAGTTGGATGAAGGGTTTGTTTAGTATTAAAAGAATTTGAGAATATATCATTGTCTCTCCGTTCTTTCGCGCTCTCTATATCTCTCTCCTGTCTCTCTCTCTCTCCAGTTTCTCTTCAAAACCTCGAAAAAATTGTTTTACAATACTAAAAATAGAGGGCTCAACCCTATTTTTCGATGCTTGATTATTTTTTTAATTCATAACAATCCCAACCTTTTTCCGCCCAAAGGCGAGAACCAAAAATATTTTGACTGCACCCGGGGCAGCTTTTCGTGGTGGCCGATCGGCTAAACAACCGATGTGGATGACTCATCCCATATGTCTCCTCCCCCCTACATTGACAAAGCCTGACGTCACTTTTCCCTAGACCCGCCTCTCGCCCCTCCCCCCGAAATTTCTTCATTTCCATAAATATACTATCGACTTCAGCGATTTCATTATGCCGTTCCAGATGTATGCCGAAAATTGTGATACGACTCCAAGTTTCAGCCAGTGGTACGGTATCCCAGAAGCTTTCTACACAACACACGTTGTAGGTTTATCGCGTTGTAGGTCGCAACTTTACAAGGTTTAGCTATACGTTTTCGAAACCAACAAGCAGGCGTTTTTGATTGTCCAGGGAGTTTGCAAAAGGGAGCAAGCATAATTTGTGCAGATTTTTTCGCTGATAAAAATTTAGTTTTCAGAATCTGCCAAAAACATGCAGATTTTATTGTAAAAGTAACACTTTAATCAGTGAAAAATACTGCACAAAATAGGGTTGTTTCCATTTCGAAACTCTCTAAAACTAGAAAACCGTCTCCTTGCCACAGCTTTCCCGCTTTTATAGCTTTGGCAAAGACCCAATTCTAACAAACCCTTTAATTATCGCTTATAAGGTACATCATAGCAGATTTGTAAGTCCCCTAAAGCCACAGAAAAGCTAATCGAGCTCAAAAATAAAGAAACCTTGGACGTTCTCTGGGTTGTGTCCTACCCTCGTGCCTGCCGTGTGTGTTTCAAAAGGCGGCCCAAAACACGAAATACGGCCTCTATGTCCCCCAAATTACTCGCCTAGACTGCGACAGCCCATATACAAAGATCAAATAACTATCCCAAATAAATAGTCGCTCATGCTTTATGTTAAACCGTTTTAATAATTCTTATCATTTTCAGAATGCTCGTCCAACCGCCATGGTGAAGCCACTCCCCAAAACACATTCCAATTTCTCAATCGAATACTTATTGACTGCGGTAGGTCTCGTAGCCAAACTTCGAATCAAAAACTCTGTTCAGCCCTCCCAACCTTGTAAAAAACCGGAAAAACCCGAGTTGGGCCAACTAGAAGTCCAGGTCTATCAGAACCATGATTATCCATCATGTCTTGACACTCCGCGCAGCTCCACGGTAGGCTTTATGCTTTATATTAATGCTAAATAAATCATTTAGGGGGGTGAGAAGATGTGCCTTGATCCAATCGTAGACACAACATCATCGGATATTTTGCGGGTAGGCTATTACGTTGGTTTCGAAAGACTCGTTGCGTAATCGGCGTTAAAAATTTCTTGCGCAACGCAGAAACGCCATTGTAGATCCCGACACCAGCAGATGAGGAAGAAGCCGATGTTGTTACAAACGTTTACAAGTTTGACGAGGTCTCGGATGATGATCGTCTTGCCGACACGCCAGATTCCCAGGCTACGGTGGGGATTTTCTAGTGCATTGTAGCGGCTTCGTTGGAGGAACGCGACATTTCTTGATTTCAGTTGCTGGAAAACACATTTGTTTTTGCGGAGGTGCGCCTCAAACATTTGTATACGTCGCGTAACATTCACTCTAAATATCTGTACCGCGTTCTTTCTTCGAAGGCCAGTCTGAAAATGCGAAAAAACCTTAGCATTGATCCTGATTCTCTTTTTTGCAATCTGAATAATATTTTTTATATGTTTTTCATTGCTGAGGTGCGCCGTCAAACATTTTGATTCGATATTTTGCGCAAAGCAGGGACCATGACGTTTCCTCCAGCGAAATTTCCGCCAATTTGTGGTCAAAAACCCATAAAACCTTCCAAATCAAACATTTTCTTGGGGTTTTCGGCATTAATAAATTAACTTAAAATAAGTAGAGACTAGTGGAGAAGATATTACGATGCAGGAGAGCTGTTTTGGGCTTCATATTTCTCGCTCATCGCGCTTGTTATTTTTTTCGGCGCGAAATCTTTTTTATTTCAAGAAAAAGCCATCATAACCTTGTTATTTCTTCTGAAATATCACGAACCGTGTGAGAAAAACTTTGTTGGGACTATCACAACATCGAATTTTACAAGCGTTTTCGCCGGTAGCGGTAATTTCGCTGGCGGAAACGTCAGGTTCCCGAGAAGCATTCATTGTACAAAACCTGGCTAGCGCCTTGCATGCGCGCGCAACCCGCAAACCTAATTTCTAAACATTCTCCTCTATTAGTTTCTAACTCACATTCCCCTTTTATTCCATTACTTATTTGTACCAATTTCAGATTGCTGCGTATTCATGTGAAGACTATCCCTACGAGAAGCCACCATCAGCAATGGTACGCATTTTTGTCTAACTTTCTCTTGTTTTCTTCCCGTATTCCACAATCATATAGCATTTCCAGGACCTTGATCTGGCCGAAATGCGAGACGTTTGTGGCGATCAAGTCGACTTCCTGCAAGGATGGAACTTCCAGAAGCGGATCAGCAGGCGCCCAGATAGAGTAAGATTCCGTTTATAGATAAACATTATCTTTTTCTGTTTTAGTTCAATGCGACCCTCGCCAACCAGAAGAGCCCGGCCAAAGTGAAGCACGAAAGCAAGCGTATCCCGAAAAAGCGGCCGCCTCGTTTTGTAGCGGATAAGGAAAATGACACGGTTAGTTTTTAAAATTATTTGCAAACTATGGAAATTAGGTGCCGAAAGCGAGGAGGGGAAGAGTCGCGAAGCCACGTCAGCCGCTACAAGAACAGGCCAAGAAGGCGCTCGAGGAGTACCCGCAAATAGATGAATGGAAGGGACTATGGACATTGCAAGGCTCATCGACGTTGAAGAAAATTGGCGTATCGGTACGTTCTTGGTCTTAGCTTTTCATCGAGTTTCAGAGCACTTCTTCCGAAAAGTACAGGGAATGCTACGAATCTGTACAGCACACCAACGGCTTTATCGTTAGGTAGGCTTTTTTTATAAAACTTCTTATGCTAGTGTTTATTAGTTCATAAAAACGGCGCCGTTCTCAAAATATGATTTTTTTTTTCCAGAATTGGTGATTGCGTGTCGATTGAAGTTGCTAATGATGAAGAGTCCGGCGTCGGCACGGTGCAGCACTTGTATTGGGACGAGCAGGCCGCTGCTCCGATGGCAGCTATCGACTGGTTTTATTCGTATAGCCAGGTGAGAACCGTTCCATTACTTTGTTAATATTATAATTTGGAACTTATAATCTACGCTTATTCTCCTGATCATCTAAAAACCCTTTTTTAGATGGAGTTGAAAGAAGACGCGCGTAAAGATCTGCATAGCATTCGCGACTACCAGCCACATCACAGGGAACTTTACGCCTCGCGCCACCGGGATTCAATCCCAATGTGGTCCGTACAACGTGGCGTCAAGGTGCTGACATTCGACGAGTATAACCGGTATGTTTTCCTAAATTTTCTCGTTTATCAATATACTATTAATATTCTTTTCCTGTTAACTTAATTGTATTTTCAGGTACATGTGCGACAAGAAAAAGCTGGAATTTCCTGAAGCTCGACGCCCACCGCTCTACAACGAGTATTTGAATACCGCAAACCCTCGTCACATGCGCCTAGCAAACCCTTCGGATCCGGAGGAGATCGTGAGTTTTTATATTTTGTTTTGATTTGGTGGCGTCAGCAATGTAATTTCAATCATTTAATTTCAGGTATTCTTTGTCCGACACACCTACGAGCTGAAAGGCCACCGAATCTACGACGCGAAGCGACAGGCTGTGGAAGGCAAGAATTGGAAGCCGCTGCAGAAGCGCCGAGTTCACGAATGGCCGTTCTCTGACACCGAATAAGTCCCACAATCTATTTGTGATACTCGCCCAGTTGTACATAGGTATTTTTGTTAATTATATGCACTTGATACGAAGTATCAGTCCCCCATCCCCCCGTCTAGTCCACTTATCGACCCCTGTTAAGTTAGCACTTTGCATTTTGAAAATCTCCCCGCATGATCGCATGAAAACTCACAAGTACCCTAAATATCTTAATAATTACGGCTTCCTATTGCATTCCTTGGTCATACCATTCACGTGTACAGATATTTATTACCCTTGTTCGTATAAATCTACTTGTTGAGGTCAAAGAAGGTAACTAAAGGAGCAACAGATCGGATGCTGATGTGAGTGAATAGAACAGGAACAATACCCGATTTCGACAAGGGAAACACCCGGAACATTCGTCTAGTGAGATTCAGTGATAAATCTGCAAATCTTGAGCAGAAGAAAACATAGGGATTTGAATGCCTCACAAAATGTGCTCGACCGGCTCGTTATTGATAGATATTGAAGAAGACGTCGAATATTGCTCTCCAACAAAAAACGGACGCGGCTTCATTGGTGGCTACAAAACCCCGACATCGTTAAAACTCCTGTAAGACTCACTGATTTCCAGCGTTTTTCTGCGCGCGCTTCTTGCGTACATTTGAGGAAAATGTATAGTAGGATGCAGATAAAGCCGGCCAACGTAATTCCCAACATTACGGTACCCATTGATATCAACGGAAGCGTTAGAGAGATCGCCTGAATCTGCTGCCTTTAAAAATATCGGTAAAGTTCAAGCGCCTGCTCAACCTAGAAGTATGCTGACTTACATCAGAAGTCTTTTCGTCTCGGAGATCACCAATCTCTCCACTCATTTTCTCCATATTGCTGGGCGGGATTTCTACAAAAGCCTGCATCTAAAACAATGTTTTTAGCTTTCAAAATCGTAAATAGACATGATCGATAAAAAATCCTGAAACAAGTCCGGAGAATGCCAACGGAAGCGTTCATGCGTGACGAGGGGCTGGGGGTGCGCCGAAAGCTTCCAAAAACAAACATTCAATTTGGGATGCTGGTGAAAGGGTGTCCTTTTTAAACAAGAATACGAGGATCGGCGAGGGACGGAAGTAACCTCGTCCATGCCCCGGGAAAACATGCCGTAATCCGGAAGGCACTTTGAAAGATCGATACCCAAAAGACGGCTGGCTAAGAAAGCCAAGGACGTTGGACCCCCCAAACACTCCAAACCTTTTTCCCCTTCATAAGCTGTCACACAGCCCCAACAACATCGGGGGTCCTAGTGTTGCCGGGGTGCGAACAACTGAATTTACACCGAAAGTGCCAGAGGACGGATCGGTCGCTGCCAAATTGCGAACCAAAATACAAGTGATGAGACGATGAGCTTATGAGACAGTGAAGGCGAGCTTCCTCCAATCGTATATATCCAAGCACGGTTGAAGAACCGCGATTTTGCCTTCCGCCAGGCTTCCTCATCTATTGCAAGGCTATGTCGATGCTTATTCCTAAGATTTGCTGTCCCATTTCCGGAATTCTAAGAACAAATCTAACCCCAAGGCTTTTGAAGAGCCGCGCCTGATTTGTAGCTTGTAGGCAGCCCCCTCCAGGGTCCCTTCCCCACTGTATTTCTAACTTTTTTTTGCGATCAGCTTCTTCTTTGAAAACCCAAAAATATTGAAAACCGATACAACGCTCATTTTTTTATTTGTGTCAGCCAAGCTAAAAAACCAGTCGACTTGTTTCCGAAATAGTACAGTTGACGAGGTTGGTCATAGTCCTCCGTCGTATTGCCGTGGAATCCCCACCATTTCGCATTTTTTTTTCTTTTTGCGTTCGTCCAGATCCTCGCTTTGATTTCTATACGTAAACTGCGCTCTTTCTCAAGAAATCTTTCGCTTGCTCCTGTCTGCCATCTAGTTTCTGTCAGTCGATAACCACCTTCTTCCCTTCTCTTGTTTTCTCTTGGCAGCAACTATTTCTATTTCATTTTTTCAGTGAGCACTCATCCCACGAGAAGAAGAGCCCGCACGACAAGTTACGCGCGACGATGGGCGCCTCCGGCGGCTTGGTGGTAGCAGGACTAGCCGGTGCTGTTGGCCTCGGGATCTCGCTTGCGGCAATTCCTTTCGTCACGCCGGCTTTGAGGAGGGTCTGCATCCCGTACGTTCCCGCGACGCCACAGCAGCTATCGAATCTGGACGTTGCACTTTCGGCGGTTCCGAACAAGGCCCCACTTATCGACCTCGGAAGCGGAGACGGACGAGTTGTACTGCAGTGTGCTGAACGAGGAATACCGAGTGCGGGCGTCGAGCTGAATGCAGTTCTCGTTGCATATTCGAAATGGAGGGCTCTTCGGACTGGGATGCGCAGCAAAGCCTCCTTCTACCGCATGGACCTCTTCAAAACGGACCTTACCAAGTACAATACTGCCGTCATTTTTGGCGCAGAATCGTTGATGGATTCGCTTGTGCCGAAGCTCGATGAGATGCGCGACGGTTCAAGAGTCCTGGCCTGCCGCTTCCCGTTACCTGATCATCCCCGATGGCAATTGACAAGTCAAGTTGGCGAAGGAATCGATGCCGTATGGGTCTATGTACGTGTATAACTCTGTTGCTTTGCTCTAGGTTTTTTCTTCGGGTGATAAGGAAGAGTCGGCCTTTTTGTAAATGCGTGATGCCAAAACAACTGGCTTTTGCTCGGTGTCGAATTGCTACTTTTCAGAATTTGATTAGGCAATGCTTTGGTCAGTAAGGCGGCTCTTCCTTATTTTGTTGCTCACTTCTTAGCGTTGCACCCTTTTTAATTAAATTAAAATCCGTATTTAACTGCTACTATTTTTCCGCCCCGCCTAGTTATTGTTCCCCGTTCCCGGCTCACGGGATTTGATGTATTTATTCTACTCGGCTCAAGAATTTCTTTTTTAGCAGCAAAAAACCAGTTGGTTTGTTTTTGCTTGTACTCGGTTTAGGTTTTTAGTTCTCCAAAAATAAAGTCTACGATTTGAATAGGTCGCTAACTGCACTTTAACGTAACACATGCGATCTGCAGTTGGGTAAAGCAAAGCGGCGCTTAAGAGTATGGCAATTGCTAACGTCAAAAACGATTTGATTTGAAGGAGGGCAAGATTCTGCTCAGGCTCAATGGTAGGATTACTCGGGTTGTTTGCGGGCGATCCGCCGTTCCCGCCGGGGGCCTTGTTGCTGTGTAATCGTATAGCGTGGCAAGAAATTTTACGAATGCGCTCTTTTTGGTGCCATGCTGGCGAGTCGTAGCTTTAGGTGGTCAGGTGAGCCTCCAGTTTTAAGACTGCGGCTCATGCGCTTGTACGTCTAATTTGTAGTATTTGATATCTGCAGCTCTCCTATTAAACTTCTTTACCCTATAGGCTTCCTAGGTGGATAACATGGAGGATTGTGCAGCTGTTGGAATTGGCGCCCTAGCCTGCATCTTGACAGCAACGGTAATTGAGGTAGCCTTTGGACCAGAATTCTTGTCGAGTCAGAAATGGCATCTAGGTCCTAGGTGTTCCTCGTACAAAGAAAGTAATTACTGAGCTGGCAAGGCGCGGTTCGGATATAACAGCCCTGCACTTACTTCAGGTGTGATCTCGTGCGTATTGCTAAATTCAGTATTTTCCAGGACTTTCTAGGACAGAAGTTCGTCCACTGATGCGACAAACTCCTGAGCTCATAAAAATCACTGTATAAAACTATTTTGGCCGGAAAATGCAGCTGGCACTTGAAGTTCTGCGCTCCTATAGCATCTGGACAGAGATTTTTCGGAAATGGGCGGTGTCTCGCTGCTGGCGCCTGATTGATTGAGATATGCGATTGGAAAGGGCAGGGGGATCCGGATCCGGTCCCGAACCGGCCACCCAAATCGTCTGCCAATGCCCACCGGGGGTGGGCTGCCGGGATCGTCCACCGGTTTCCTAGGGCATGCGGCCAATTTTTGGCGCTGTGGAATTTAGGGAACCTGCTCCAGCGCGGGTTTATATAAGGAAAAAGTGGAGCCTCAAGGATAGTCTTCAAGCCTCACTTGCTCAAGATGGTCCGTGCTCTCCTTATCCTCCTTGCCGTCGGTTTTGCTTCGGCATGCCTTAACCCTTGGTAAGCAGTTACCTTTGAAGATTTTTACGTTCAATTCATTCAGCTGCCCACCACCCAGACTCTGTCTGCCGCCGATTCAGCTGCCTTCCATCCAGCTGCCCACGATTTCCTTCCCTCAACCATGCTGCGGAGGATGTGGAGGAGGTACGTTTTATGGAATTTAGATTTTCTAAATTTGTACAAACCCATATCTATATTGTAACCAGTGGAAAAAGCCCGCTTCGCGGCCATTTTCCACTGGACCCCCCGTCTAAGAACCACGAATTTAACCCTTTCCTTTCTTCAAGCCTGCGGTGCAAGTGCCGGAATCCCCGGAGCCATTCCTCGGCCTGAGGCGCCAGAGCGCGGGCTACGTTCGAAACCTTGAGCCTGCGGCGCTAGCTACTGACTTTACTCTCCATATTGGGCCTGCGGCGCAAGAACCGAAGTAAAGGAGCCATTCTTTGGCCTGCGGCGCCAGAGCCAGCGTTGCGCTAGAATCTGTAAGCCTGCGGCGCTAGTGACTGGTTTTTCTCCAGGCTTTGGCCTGCGGCGCAAGAGCCCGGGTCCAGAACCCATCCTTGGCTTGCGGCGCGAGAGCCTTGGGCCAAGGACCTTTTTGGCCTGCGGCGCTAGATCGAGGGCCAGGCCTATCCCCCGCACACCGAGAGCCTAGAAATATGCTTTGTTGCTGAACTACCAAAAAGCAAAAAGTTAGCTCCGGGCAGGATCCGAACTCACTAGATAGACCTGGGAGATAGACACAAATGCACTGCACCACGGCGACAATGGGAACAGGCAGCGGGAAACCTCTTCTCCCCTGGCGGGGGCGAGAGGGCAAAGAGAATGGCGACCCGTGATCCCGGAGGGAGGCCTACTGGTCACTTTACAAAATTCGGTTTTCGAGTCTGAATCAGCTGAAAATTTGTAAAGATAATAAGATGCGCATGATCCCCACCATCGAATACATAAGTTTTCCAAATTCCAGCCCGAAATTCCATCTGGGCTTCGAGTTATGCCCCGGACACCACGACTCTTGGCCCATTTTGTTAAGGACTTTTTGAAAAAATGCTCATAAAAATTTTAGTTTACAATATCTGCCAAAACGCAGAATTATATCACAGGAGAATGTAATTTTCAATCTGCCCTTCAAAAATTAGCGCCTAATTCCATTTGGCTCGGGAGATATCCTCTGAACAAACCTTTTTTCGGCCAAGATGTTAAGGATTTTTCACTATTTTGCTTGTAAAACCGTTAAATGAAGGAGTTCCGACAAACAAAAAAATGCGTCACTGACAAATGTGTTTCTCCACCTCCATGCCAAAAATCAGCCGGAAATTCGGCCTGACGGCCGAGAAATCGGCTGTACAGAAAACAAACATACTTTTCTCGCTTATAGGATAGGATAAGAATTGGATAATCATGTTTTACTCCCCCCCGACCGTTATATTGCCTACAGTCGGGATATTTTTATTTCGCACTGTAACGGAGCAGCCAAATTTTATTAAAAGAAGTCGTTCTTCCACGGTTTTACGTTTTAATGATTCAGGATGCGGAGGAGGAGGCTACTCTGGCGGCGGCTATGCTGCCCCACCACCCCCTAGCGGATACGCCTTCGCCCCTCAATCTGGGTAAGTCTGATCACGCAAACCTAAACGTACGTTTTGCAGAGGCTTCGCTCCCCAGGGTGCCCCAGTCAGTTATGGACCTCAGGCTGCCCCCCTCCGGTTACGCTGGACCCCAACCGTAAGTTCAGGCAAATACGTACTTTTATACGGGTTTACATCATATTTGTTCTTTTTGTGTTAGAAACCGATCCCTTTCAGTTCCATCCAGCCAGTCTTCGCCTCTGCCCCCCAGGCCCAAGGCGGATACGCCGCTGGCGCTCAGGGTGGTGCTAGCAGCAGCGGATACGCCAGCAAGGCCAAGGGAGTCCCCAACCACGAGGTACGGTTTTAAGAGATAAACAAGGCGTAGAACCCATGCTCCGAAAACATAAACCCATATCGTTTTACAGACTCTTCCCGATATGGTCGCCATGCCGGAGCTCCCCCTCTCCCGTGCCATCCGCTTCTAAGCACTCAAGGAGCCATGAAAAACGGGTAATCAATCACCTCCGTGCAATATTAATTAATAAATATGATTCGATTATAACTTTTCTTATGGTCTTGACATTTAAAAAAGGCAGCGCATACACAACAGAAATTAGCCTCGGCTTGCTGGGATATGCTAGTGAATAGAATAGTTTTGCTCAGCCGGACTCGTCGATTAATATATTCTATTTCGAAAACTCGAGCCGGAGGAACGATGTTTTCGACTATAAAGTACCAGAAAGGGTCTAATTCCTCGACTTCGTCATCCAACCCAGGCAAAGAAGGGGGGGATCATTGCTATCGTAACGTCTATTTTTCGCCTAGTTTCCGGAAAAGGTCAGAATGGAGTGTCGGTGAGTAGAAGAAGGGACATAATCCGCGCAACCGGGGGGCCAGCATTGGAGGATGGTTGAGGGATGGTGGTGGGCTAGGGGTGCGGGGGGGGCCGGTTCCCCATCCCTCCCTACAACCCTCTTCTTTCCGTTTCTTTCCTTTCTACCCCCGTCCACCTTTGTCTTGTTTGCTTTCCCGTCTACGACTTTCCGAGAAGCCCTCCGATCATATGCCCCAGCATATTAGCTTCCAGCTTCCGGTGCCACCAAAAATTTGCCTTATCCGAGTAGATTTTACAAAATGTCTGTCATTCCTGGCTCTGATTTTCCGTCTTCCCCGCCCTTGCAATTCCTTAGCGTTTCCGTTTGGTTGTTTCTGCTTGAATCAATCGGTGCAGCCAATACGTCTAAGCGGGAGGCGCCGTGCCGCCCTGTTTCTCAAATTTCTAATAGAGTGGGTCTTTTTAGCGTGCTTTTCGATTTCAAATTTAGCCGCACGTTCTGGGTGGGTCGTTGGCCGGCAGATTGTTGTTGTCCGGTGGCCACTGTTGAGCAGCTGATGGATCACGGCCACCCCCTCTGACCCTCCGGCAGCCGGGGGAGAGTTTTGCTTTAGGGAAAAGGAGCTTCTTTGTCTTGTCCCCCATCCGGCTGTAATACCTCCCCATCCGATTCAACCAGACCAAATTAACCCCGGGCACCCTCTGTGCTCGATCAATTATGAAAGAGTGCCATCGCGTTCCGAAATCGGAATTTTCGAAAGCCAGCGATTGCTTGTCCCGACTTTATTGTTCCTATTCACGCGTGAACGTTACCGTGCTCGGACTTAACCAATCCTACTATATATAAAAAAGTAGTGTCTGTGTGTGTGTCGATTTGCATGCAACTTCCGTCTCTATGTCCGGAGGATAACTCAATGGGGGATGAATATTAGGGTACGTATGATACGTCATTAGGTGCGTAATGGCTCTGCGATGACTGCACGCTTATCAGATTTTACAAAATTATTTGTTTTAAATATTAAATTTCAGTTTTTGTAAAAATTTCGGGCACCCTCTTTGTTAGGAACCAATTAACATGCACCGGAAGTGGCGGTAGCCTATATAATCAAGCAGAGAAGTGGCATTTTTCATTTTTTTCTGATCGGGATTCGAGAGACGTATGCAGAAAGAAGAATATTATGGGGGTAGACAGGGCCAGGGTTGAAAAGTCGCGAAGCGGCTTTTCAACCCTGGTAGCTAGTTAAAAAGATAATTAATCACAGGGTTCACTGTTTTTGTTTTCCTGATCTGCCGCCTATATATTAGTTACTTTAGCATAAACTTTCACGCCCTAATTAATGACTAATTTTTAGCGGGTTAGCAAAGGCCTCATGATTTCAACGTAAATATGGCACGTATCTAACTTCTTCTAGACCCGTCCTTCCAACGCGCGTTATTGATAGCCGTTCCATCGCCTTTGTGACCCAAATTGATTACTCATAGCGCACTATCGCTGATTGGCTAGGCGTTGCCCACGCGTTTCGGCAATTTAAAGTCATACAGGATGCGATTAATCAAAGCCATCACGATTTTCATCAACCCAACCCAATCAGTAAAACCAAACAGTGATACTCCCAAGCCGATCCTAAACAGCGCTCTTGAATGATTCAGCGAGGCCCATGAACCTCTTCGAAGTGTTCGGCCATTTCACAATCCCTTTAAACCTTGGACTATCCTGTTCAAATGCCCGCAGCGCCATGCACAGCCGATTTTCGCGCGTTGCGGCCCGATCCTGCTTGGGGGGCTGGTGGTGTGTGTGGGCGAATGGCGATTGGCGATTGGCTGGTCGTGCATCTCTGCGAATGGCCGTTCCCTTTTCGTTGTCTGCCCTAACCCCCTTTTCGCCCGATCCCTCAGCCCTCCCAATTCGTTTGCTATTTCCTGCCCCTCTCTCTTCCTCGCTGCCCCGTCGCCCGCTCTGCGTCGCTGCCCCCGTCTTCCTCTTTTCCTCCTCACTTTTCGCCCCCTCGCTCTTGCCTCGCCTTTCTTCGCATTTTTCGCTCTTGCCGCCAAAATTTTTTTGACCCGCCCGACCGCTGTTGCTTGCGATAGTTATTTAGGCCGGCCCACGCACCATGTTTGCTATTTTTCGATGGCCTTCAGATTACATTAGTAGATTCCATCAGATTCTTTAGAACTTCCTCATGTCTCTAGCCTTTAGCTTTCACTAGGATATCTTATTGGCCAGTGGCTTTTGAGAGGCAGCTCTTTATTTTTCAAATAGTTTGCTTGTGCTTTGCTTTTCCCAGCGCTGTTATTCTCCAATGGCATTTTTGTTCCTTCATTTGCGAGAAATTTTGTGCTCCGGTCAGCGCCTCTTTTCAAATTCGATTCCCTAGAGTAGGATATTCTAAATTCCGCTCCCTGCAATTCTGTAATATCTCGAGAACTGGAATAACAATGTCTAGTTAGCCAGCTAGCTGTTCGCAAGGTCTTTTCGGCCAGTGAACATTTGTGAGGATTGGGTTTATAAGAACCGAGCGCTTATTGTCTAGGATTCTGTAATTCTGTCCGACCTAATTTTCTTGGGAGCGCCGGGCATATGCGACTTAAAATTTTGTTATTTTGCTTCCACGTCTTTGTCACGGTTTCGAAATATTTGAGAGCGTGAATGTTGTGTGTGAGGCGGCAGGTTTTGGTTATGGGGATAGCCTGTGTGTCGTCGCTGGTTCGTCGCTTGCCCCAGGCGGTGAGTCAGCACACGGCCCCCTCCCCTTCCACCCTTCGGCTGCGCCCGCAGTCCACTCGCGTCCTTAGCTACTCACCGACCCCCGATGCATCACGTATCGATTGACTCTCGTGTTTCGCTCATTCACTTTCGGGTTTTTAAACCATAGGAAGGGGATCACACCTAGCTTTGCGTTTCTAGCATTTCAACATCGACTAGCGGCTTCTGGCATTGATCTGGTATTCCAGACTATACTCCAATGGGTTCTGATCTTATTTCCCGCATCCATCACCTTTACCACCGGCTCGTGTTTCATATTTCTGCGTTTCTCCGTTTTCTTGTTTTTCAATCCTCTGTCTAATCGATTTTTTTACAGGTATATCGCCTAGGCTTGCCTAACTTCTCAATCTCACAATGGTACGTTTGTTTTTGGATTTCAAAATGTCTAAATGATCCGTTGCCGGTAGATCACGACTTTGGGGGCTCAAATATCGCTATTTGGCATCCCGTTTTCTTCTTTAATTGCATATGGGGATGCACTAACCTTACTACTAAAAATTAACCTTTTTACAAGTTATTTCTGCATGGTGTATGTGGGTGCGGTGTCTAGCCTGTTCTTTTAGTCAACCTCTGGAGTGGCGGTCAATGCCGATGTTCAATCTACTTTCATGAGGCTCAGTGAGGGCAAGAAGGACTTCCGCTACATCATTTTCAAGATTGAGGTATTCCTGGCTTTTGGTTTTTGAATTGTTTATTTGTCAGGAGCGTGAGGTCGTCGTGGAGTCCGCTGTCACCCAGGATGAGCTTGGCAATACCGGTGATGACTACGAAACCTGCAGCAAGGTATATTTTTCCTGCTTAGTTTATAGTTTTGTTCAGGAGGCCTTCGAGACGTTCGTCAAGGATCTGAACACCCGGACCGACAATTTCACCGACTGCCGTTACGCTGTCTTCGACTTCAAGTTCACCACCTCTCGCGCCGGGGCCGGCATCTCCAAGATGGACAAAATCGTCTTTATCCAGCTGTAAGGTTTACACTCCAATTCTAGCCTCCTCTTTTCCATAGTGTTAGTTGTTAGCGTTTTCCGAAAACAATTCTTCATTAACCCTTTTGAGCCAGTCCATTTTTTTTCGAATACGTTGTTTACGTCAAAAATTTTCTGTTTTCAGGTGCCCTGACGGAGCTCCAATCAAGAAGAAGATGGTGTATGCTTCTTCGGCCTCCGCGATCAAGGCTTCTCTGGGCACCGGGAAGATGTTGCAATTCCAGGTATGCTTTTCATCGCGTCGTCATCACAATGTTTTCTTTTACAGGTCAGCGACGAGGGTGAGCTCAGTCACCGGGAGCTGCTCAGCAAGTTGACCGAGAAATACGCCGACAACTAAAACGTGTGCGTGCGTGATGGCCCGCAGTGGGATCTCATCTCAACCGCATCGTTTGTATAACATTTGTTTGACACCAATTTTTCTGGTTTTCGCTAATCTTCCGTCCCCTCACTAGGCATGCTTAACTGGATGATTTGACCAATCCCTTGTGTCATTACACCCAAAAGCTCTGTCATTTCCTTTCCCCTCGATTTACTAAAAACGTGTGTTTTGTCTCTCAATGTACTAAAGTGCCGCCTGTTCTCACCTGCCCACATCGCATCCTTTTTTGTCATGGTTTTGAGTCTCGCCCGTAAGCTAACCCTCTTCCCTCTAGCGATCTTTGAGCATGGGCATCTCTCGGGTTGGCCCTTTTGCAATAAATGTAGTATGAATTTCTCGAAAGGGTGTTGCTAGCGCGGTGATTCTCTTCTTTGAAAAAAGCTTCAAGTAAGAATGCAGGGTTGTGAGCTATTGTCGTGTCAAAACGATAAAAACCAACTTCGGCTCCCCGGTAATTTTCAAAACAAAACAGTTGCTCTTATCCTTCCCCCAAACGCGTGCTTTAGCAAAACGGTCGCCTCACTTTTCGCAGTCCCCCATCCACATGCAATCGGATTCTTTTTTTTTGTTTTGTATCGGCTGGTGATAAAATAAATTTTTTAACATTAAATATTTATTCACAAAATCAAATGCAGGCCTCGGGAGTGAAAGTTGATGCGTCGTGTAAGAATGCTTACGATCTGCTCCACAACAAGCATCAACATACGTACATCATCTTTAGGGTGAGCCGGCACTGTTCGTTGTAGCTTAACTCTGATACTTTAGATCTCTGACGACGATACCTCGATCATTGTCGAGAAAGCCGGTGAAAAGGGGGCTCCATACTCCGAATTCTTGGCCGACATCGGAAAATCGGTTGCTGGCGGAAAGGAATGCAGGTATGCGGTGTGATTTCAGCGTGATAGAACCCTTCAATCCACGTTGTGCCGATACCTCGGGTCGTATCATGGAAAGCCACGAATTCTTAGGTACGCGGCCGTTGACGTCGAAGTGACTGTGCAGCGACAAGGCGCTGAGGGGGCAAGCAAGCTGAGCAAGGTCGTCTTCGTCCAATAGTAGGAACATACCCGCAGTGCTGATAAATTTTCGGGTTTAGCTGCCCCGATGAGGCTCCAGTGAGGCGTCGCATGCTGTACGCCTCATCTGTGCGTGCGCTGAAGGCCGCCCTTGGACTCGAATCACTTATGCAGGTAAGTAAAACGCTGGAAACGAAAAATATTATCAAGCGCAAATTAAACGCTGTAGTAGCAAGGCAACATAGTCTTAAACAATCATTGCAGGTACAAGCCTCTGATCTCTCCGACCTTGACGAGAAGGTGGTGAAGAGCGACTTGATGTCCCACCAGAGGACCTAAACAACCATCCCTCCATATTCTGCCTGAAGTATTTCAAGCCCCTCTCCCCCTATTATTTTTTGCCCTGTATCCCCGATCTTTACCTGGTTTCTACATGGCTTTAGCCGCCGTCGAAAATTCACAAAATGTGCCATATGTTTGTGTATAAGGTGCCTTCATTTTTCTATTACGGTGGCTGTTGATGTGGGCCCTCGGCTATTTGTCGTGGCCCACTTCGGGGCTCCGATCATTTAGTCGAAAAACTCGTACGTGCAGATCTGTCCCCCCGTTTCAATCAGTGCCTTTTTGTGGAAATAAATTTTGTAATATGATGCCCACATGGCAGTTTCACATCGCACCTTGAATCTAGAATTCGGCTACGAAATTTCAGATGTTCGCCGGCGAGAGAAGATCCGCGGGTCCAATTAGGCATGAGAAGGGGGACTCCCGTTTCCAGTTGAGCGGCGCTAAATGGTGCCCATAGGATCAAAATCTGGGAAAATATTCAGTCAGCCGTGTCTTCCCCGACGGCTGAGAATCCATAATATACGTGTTACTACTATGGTCAGGAGGATCGGGTATTAGTTTTATCTAGTTTTACACGGTTATTTGTTGAAAGCCCTTCGCCTCTTAGATGATTCATCTTGTTCATGCTAAAGGAAATACTATAGCAAAATCGTTCAAATGCTTCTGCCAGTTGTATAGTCCACAGTTTCTATGTCTTTACCTTTTATAGTTTTTTTATTATCATCCAAAATTACGCAAAATTCTTTTCTTTTTCGTCTTCTTCCCAATCTGACGATGCAACGCTATGTCCGCCGAGCTATGTTTTGATGGGTTGGGATATATGGGGGAGCACTTCACTCCTGCCATCCTCAAGGGGGTTCCATATTCCGTGCTCTCCCACCCGGATGAGCATGATTGCTCCTGACGCTTGCCGCCCGGGCCCAAGAAGGTGCCCCCCGGTCGGCATTGGGCAACTTTTAGGCTCTCCGGCAAGTTGCCAGTCTGGATATTTGTTAGAAGTCGGCTGGCTTTGGACGCGGAATAATTTTGTATTGTATTTTCGATATTTTCTTCACCTCATGCTCAACTGAAACGTCTAAAAATATCCTTTTTCTCAATTTTCTTTATTTTATCACTCCCATTCCTTGTGACATAATGAACTAGCTAAGCGGACCAGGTGAAAGCCGAGTCCCCCAGCCCAGCCGGGCCATGTGTGTAATTGTGGTGTTTGGCAGCCGATTCGTCTCTTGAGCCCCCACCCGAATGGGACACCGGGGCCCCTTCAGGAGTCGCACTCGGGCCATCCCCCCACCAATCAACCACCGACTGTCCATGTCCACACGGCTGATCCCTCAACTTCCCACTTTTTTCCACGGCCTGCCCATAGGGCTGTCCATCATCAAGGCAATGGTCATATCTGCGGCTGAGATTTTGGGTTTTTGAAACTTTAAAATTGACATTTTTATACTGTGAGCGTTCGAACAGCCTGATGGTATTGCTTTCGGATAAGCTTTGAACTCTTTAGTAGAGTTTTTAGGACGGTGACAAGTCCTCCGCACCTAGTGCCTCAGGGAAGCGTTTTTCGACAGGGAAGACGTCATTAGGTGTAGAATGTTCGGAATCCACCACACACATAAAAAAAAATGAAAAGTTGCTATTTTCGCTATTAAAATTAGGTTTTCTGTAAAAAATTTTGCACTACTATTTGTTAAGAGGGAAGTAGCATCCAGAAGGGCGGAACGAAAATTTAACTAATTATTCTTAACTCATTAACCCTTGATTAAGGAGACAAGGCAAACCTTGAATTGTCAGCACTTTCAGTTGATAAGTATTCTAAACTACCTGGCAAAACTGTTAAAAACAATTTCTGCCATTTTGATTCTGGGTCGACCAACGAACGTCTATTGTTTTCGGCTATCCGAAGTTGAAAGGCGAAGAGCCCCGAGAATTTTGTGGTGGGACCCCGAGTCGAGCCGTCGGACCTTCATTCCACTTGACCACACCACCACGTCGTGTCCACCTGGATGGACATCCCGTTTCTGGCCGAGGCCGAAAATATTTCCATTTTCGCTCGTAACGGAATGAGAGGCCGGATTTGCATCGATCTCAATGTTTTTGGACAATCGAGCTTTATTAGCAATAACTTTCAAAATTCGAGATTTCGGTTGATCAAAAATATAAAACCCACAGTTATCAGCTACCTGGCTCTAATAAAATCACGCTTCTTCCGAATTTAAAGAATTTTGAATTTCAATTAATTTGTATTAAGCAAAATGGGTAAAAACCAAAAATTTACTTGACTAGCTTTTGACTAGACCCTACCCGAAAAACCCTAACATCCTCCCACAAAAACCTCCCCCTCTTTCCCCGTTTCCGGCCAGTCAAAGGGTAAATCAGTGGGTTCCCTTTTTCCGGGGTCTCCTCACCCAAAAAAAGATGATTTTCTCCCCCGGCTTTCAAGCACCCTTCCACATACGCAACCCGCTTTTTTTCTACTCCTATGTTTTTTGCACTCACGCCAACCCTAAAATATATACGAACGGCTGAGAGTCTCGCTGGAGGAACGGGTATCCCGCCATCTGTTTCTCAACATATTTCGGGAGCAATTCTTTTTTTTGAAGAACTTTCCCTGCGTTCTTCCAGCAGGTGCAATATGGTTGTTACAGGCTTTGAGGTTGGCTACAGCAGGGCGGAGATGTGAGGCAGGGGTAGGGGATGCGACCACGAATATGGCATCTCAGCTATCTCTACCATGCCAATATTATCTATGCAATTATATTCTTATGCTTGGAGACGCGATGGGTTTTCGGGGAAGAGACGCATTGTCTTGAGCAATGTCGATGCGACGAAATGGAGGGAACGGTAGGGATATTGTTTTCAAGGCTAATTTATATACAAAAATGTCCTTTTACTTACATGTAGTGCTTTTTTAAAGGGGCAAGAAAGGTAAAATTTTTGGATTTTTGGGATTTATGACGCAAAGGAACAGCGGATGCTCGCGTTGATTGTCACGTTTTTGGTAAATCGCATAATGGATCTGTTTTCAAAAGATAAAATAGATTCTGCCTTTCGCGTCCCTTTAAAATCACCTATAATTCCTTTGGCACCCTGAAAGGTGCAATGTGTTGATTGATAGCTTCGGGTAGATGTCAGGGGTAGTCGTCGGAACCAAGGCACCCCAGTTGTAACTCAATTTACACCCAGGTGTCTCTCTCCTTCTCTCTCTCTCTCTCTCTCTCTCTCTCTCTCTCTCTCTCTCTCTATCCCCTAATCCACCTCCAAAATGTGTTCGGCGGGTCCCCATCAAAGCATCTGGCCGATTGATGGTTGTGGCTGCTGTGAAGGGAGCCCACCCAAAAATGTCAACACATTGGGGGAAAATTAAAGGGACCGGCAAGGAAAAGATAATGCTGTAGACCTAAAAATTATTGTACTTATAAATCTATTCCTTTAAAAGGCTATGCAAGTTTTCAGGTGACCTGCGAGGGTATAACCGTCACCGAACTTCCCCAAAGCATCCCCTCCGGTTTTGATGTCCTCCGCATCAAAAACGCTTCCATAAGGTTTAAAAATGTGTCGTACATGTGATAATATTCCGAATTTAGCCAATTAACCCGCGAAACCTTTCGAAAAATGGACCGCCTACGCGAGATCCATATCGAGAATTGCGATCAGTTGGAAACCATCGAGAAGCTCTCCTTCAAAGGAATGCGGCGGTTACGGTGTCATATTTCCTATAAATTTAACTTTTTATCAGGGAATTGACGATCCGGAATTGTCCTCATTTTACCGAACTGTTGAAGGGGGTTTTCTCGGGTATTGGCAATGATGCTGGGTTGAAGATACGGGTTGAGACGCCGATTAAGATCGTACATCCTGGCATTTTACGGTAAGTGGAGTAAAACGAACAAAACCATCCAAAATAAAATGGTATTGGCGCTATCTTTTACAGGCTCTACTTAATTTTCCTTTGATTTCAGACACGCCCAAAACATTCGCGAACTTGTCATCACCGGCCAGCACATGATCCTCGAGAAACACGCGTTCAGCTGCATAACTCAGATCGATTTTCTTACCCTAACAGGTTCGTTTTCAAAAGAACGAAGCAAATTCCCGTTTTGAGGTGTCGCCAAAATGGAGCCCCACCTTTTCACGAATTCCACTCGTTTCTATATGGTATCCATCCGTGATTCAGCATTTTCGATCCCAAAATCAGCATTTGATGACCTGGCCCATGTTCATCAGGTAGTTTTTCAGGAATGACGGCGAGTGTTACACTGACTTGAGGTAGTTAACCGGGCCGAAAATACCCCTATAGCTAGGTTGCACATTGCACAGCTGCCAGGGTCATATAAAAAAGGCCGGGGAAAAGGCGTGCTAAAAGTTTGAAAAAAAGTGTTTTGCCGAACCTTTTATATACAGATAATTAGAATAACTTCCAGGTGCTCATCCAAAAAAGCAAGTTGAAGCTGATCGGAACGGATAGTTTTGCTGGCTTGAGCACGGTCGAATCGATCGATTTCTTTGATAATACGATTGGCATGATTGAAGCTCATGCTTTTTCGGGTAAGTTTTAGGTGGAAAAGCTTAAAAAGCGGCTAAAACCAAGCGCTATTATTGAAATCAATTCGTATTCTAGCTATCACGAACCTGGGACGCCTTCGCCTAGCTCGCAACACCATCAGGCAAATGGATTCACCGGAAGCTGTTCTGGTCACGGCTCATCAGGTATTTCAAATGTTTTTATGATCATATCATCTTTTTCTACAGATACGCTTTGAAGAAAATATCGTCACATGTTCATGTGCATTAAAATGGATTAGCGCACATCCGGTAGGAATTTTAAATATTCGAAAATTTGGAAAAAACTATCTAAAATTCATAAACTCAATTTCTAGGACCGACGCCTGGGCGATTCCAATTATTGTGGCGCCATCGGTGTCCACCGTACCATCCGCAACTATCTACGTCTAACCTGCGATGCCCAACCAGAAATGACCACCAAGAAATATGCTCAAAATTATAAGGTGACCGCCACCGTATCCCCAGCCAATCCATGTTGTCCAACAAATTCCATTGTGATACTCGTTGCTGTGCTGCTCAAGGTTATTCTGTTTTAATCAATACTCTATTTTGCCCCTCAATCTCAATTTCTTCCATCACGCCCGACCAAATCGTAAAATTGCCCATTTTCCAATCAACAACGCCACATTGTGGCCGGGGGGCAAAGAGGCGTAAAATGTAACGAGGGGCCCGGAAAATGGGTGTCCATTTGGAGGGGGATACGGTAGGATTGATTCTTTAAATTTATGAAAAGTCTCTCATGCGTCTTGTCTCGTTATTTCTAAGCTGCGCACATAATTTTGGTGTTTGGTCGGCTATGGTAATTGGCCGATGTCGGCAAGATATTTTGCTAAAAATACATACCTCCACCTCCTCGGGTTCTCCCGAAAAGAGGGCATGTCTTTCCGGTGTCTTTCTCAAGATTCGTTATATAATTTTTGTTATGTAATCATATTAATGTTATTATTGTTATATATTTGTGATCTCTTTTTTGTATATAAATAAAGCTTCGTGTCACGGAAATATTTTAAATTTTTGGATAGCTACAGATTACACGAAAGTTAGGTTCTCGTCTAAATGCTAAAAAACGATTTTGCGTAGTGCTCTTACCACAATATTTGCTGTCTTTATCAAATAGTAGCTTAGAGTATATTTTCGCTTTCTACAAAGCTTAAAATGATTAATTAACAAGTTCAAACAACATATTCTAAAAAGCTATAAGAAATATCCCAAAATTCAACTAGATAGGAACCGAACTGACTGAACGCTTTGTAAAATGTAGACATGACGTAATCCAGCGCCCAAAACGTCTGGCAATTCATCGCTCGCCGGCGGCCCTGATTGTTTTCGCTAGAGCCTCATATTTACCCCTGCTAACCGGTCACCGTCTCACTTTCCACTCTTCACCCCAAAAATTAATTTCCAGGTAGAAAGTACTCACACAAAAAGGGCATGAACACCGCTCGACACCTATGCACACCCACACAAACAGACAAATTATTTTCCGCGCGAAGTCCCGCCTCTAGACTGCTTCCGCGGGTGTTCTCATTACAGGCGGATATTTTTCAGGAATTCTTTGGAATCGGCATCGATGGGGATGAAGGTGCTACTTTTATCGGGGTTTGTTGGCTCGGTGGTCGCCTTGCAGTGTTATATTGTAAGTTTCAAGGTGATTTAGCAGTCTTCTCCCATTTTTCTCTCCACGGGCCACTACGCTCTCATACGCTCTCTCTCTCTCTCTCTCTCTCTCTCTCTCTCTCTCTCTCGCTCTCTCTCTCTCTATCGTTATCCCCCTCTCTCGATCTCACGCTGACGCTCTCTCCCACTCTCCCACTCGCTCTCTCCCGCTCACGCTCTTTCGCTCTCTCTCGCTCTTTCTCTACCTCTCTCCCTCTCTCTGACTCTCTCTCTCTCTCTCTCTCGCTCTCTCTCTCGACCTCTCTCTGACGCTCTCTCCCGCTCGCTCTCTTTCGCTCTCTCTCTCGCTCTCTCTCTACCTCTCTCCCTCGCTCTCACTCTCTCTCTCTCTCGATCTCTCTCTCTCTCTTTCTCTCTCTCTCTTTCTCTCTCTCTTTTTCTTTCTCTTTCTCTCTTACTCTCTCTCTCTCTATCTCTCTCGTTATCCCTCTCTCTTAATCTCTCGCAGACACTCTCTCCCGCTCGCTCTCTCCCGTTCGCTCTCTCCCGCTTGCTCTCTCCCTCTTTCTCTCTGTCTCTCTCGCTCTCGGCCTCTCCTTAATCAAGGAATAAAATAATCCAAACAGCATCCGGTAAAAGGAACGCCCGACTGATTTAACACACCAATGGCTGCCTAAAATCCATGAATTATAATACCTGAAAAAGCCTATTCCTTTAAGGGCTTCAACGTCCCAGCCAATAACACGCTACCCCTCCAAGAATGCGGCGGTGTTCAATATCTGACCTGCTTGAAGACGATGGACTACGTGTCCGGTCTAGCGACGAAACAGTGCTCCACCAACAATTGCACGGTTGGCAGTTCTCTTTAAGATCAATTTCATTTTGCCGAAACGCTCAACGTTGTCGTCACCCCCTGAAAATTATTTATCAAGCTCCAGGAAGTCAAAAAATTGTTAATTTCCTCAATTTCCAGCAAAACTCGCAGCCCAACATGCCGGCCAACTGCCAAAACTTGTCCAACAGCATCGAACAAAATCAGGTGCCCCTCCGCTGGCCGTTTGGAGTATTTACGGATTTAGATGCAATGCTGTTGCTACGGGGATGGGTGCAATTCGACACCTCCTCCACAATACATCGCACTTGCCGTCGCCGTCCTTACATTCTTTTTTCGTTAGATTTATTCTACTTCTAAATATTTCCTGTTTTCCAGCTTTATCTTCCCTATAAATCCAAGAAAAGCAAAATTAGAGCTTCGGATCCTTACATGATAGCATAAGCATAAGCTTTCCCGTTCTTTGTTGTTTTTCAAAACACAACGTAACCCAATTTAGCATTCCCAAATTGGTTGTACTTTAAATAAATCTGTGATGGTTGGTAATGGGATTTTTCCCCACAATAAATTAGTTGTCCCTAGGGGGAGTGCAAAGAGAGGGCAATCAACAGAGTAGACATAGAAACGATTCAAATTTCCCGCATTTAAGGCTGTAAATGTTATTAAGCTAGGCTAAATAATTAACATATGTTTGTTATAATAGGAAATAGATAAAACATCGATATTTAGCCATGTTATGATTGGTGATATTTCATATATCTTACCGCCTGTCGGATTTTCATAATTTTAGTTTAACCTAAATAATTGAATATGATATACAAAATCTAATATAAGTAGATAAAAATTAAATTCGGATTTTATCTAATGCGTAAAAAATTATAACTGACTAGGCGAGACTAGCTATAGAAAAACGACTCGAAATTTTTCCTGACTCATAGTAGACTCATGGCAACTGTTCCTCCTTCGCAAACAAAAAAAACCTCCCCGCAGATTTCTATGATCGATGTGGACACAACCAAACGAAAACCACAATTTTCATGTTCTGTCCATTTTGCTAGGGGCACAAAACCAGAATTGAGCAGAATTTTTTGGGGGTCTGATTGGGTCATATCAGCCAATCCGGGGCTCCCGGCTGATAAGGGGGTCGATTGATGATTCTGACTAACTATGCAGCCAGCCGTTTCTTTGTACTTTAATTGGTTAAATTACTACCACTTTTTGAGCGTTATAACCTTATTTTTATTATTTTTAAAGTACTCAGTATGTAAAAATAACGGTCAATACGAAATTAAAATGTGATACACTGTACTATAACTATAAAAAGTAGACTTTGCGATTAATTTTTCGTAATATCCTTCATCGATTTTTTTGTTCTAGAATTAGCCAGAATCTGATAGGAAAGTTACAAATATTTTTTTAGCATGCTGCTCCTAATCTTGGTCCTATTTTTGTATCGTATTTTTCGACAAAAATGCCTGCGTTTAATTTATCAATTGCTGGTGTGGATTTGGGATTGGTGGAAGCGTAAGTTCCCTCTTTTTCACCATTAAATTTTTCTAATTTATTTAGCCACAATCCCAAAAATCACAAGAACTGTCAACGAATTTCATGAGGCCATCGAAATCAACGATTGGGAATGGGCGGCCGACGCGAAAAGCGATGGAAATGTTTGATGATTTTTCAAAACTATGATTTCATATTTTTACAGGATCAGTTCCGCTTCGAGCTAACAGACTATAAAACGGGTGATGCCCTTTATGTCGATATTCTATCCACTCCGAAAAACATCGAAGCCAAGCTGTTATTGTGGATTAACGGCGAGAAATTTGAATCTGATAGATTGGTGGCAATGCAAACGGGTGATAAGCGGGTAAATAACCGATTTCTATAATCTTTGATTTATTATTAATTTAGCAAATACAATGTGGACCATTGAAAATTGAAATTCGTGAGCCATTCAGAAGATGTCGGATTTTTTATCGAGGCGAAGTGAAGTTGGTTAATTTTTTAAAGGAAGCTGATTTCAAAATTTAGTATCTCAAATTAATATTTTAGAAACCAAAATCAAGAATCACTTTTTCTAACCATTGGCGGCTGGTTTAAGCCAACTTCCGATGCCCGATATTTCTATTCGAATCTGCGCCTGGAGAACTCGATTTCCAAAAGTCCCTGGAAAATTTCGAAGAATTTATGTAGATATCAGAGGTATAGAAAATGATTTAAATTTAATATTGCATCTCATTTAGCCAACGAAGCCAACAGGATTTTGTGCAATGGGGCGAAGCTTGCCTCGAGATCGGACTTGGCGGCGAAACGATGCAAAAGCGCTTCAGGGGTCTAAAAGAAACCAGGAGGCTTCCACAAAAATTGACAAGAGAAGACCAAATTTCAGTGTATTTCCAGGTAAGCTGGAAATGTACGCTTTAATGTTTGTTCTATAGGACGGCCACCGCTTCTTATGGCGTCTCTCTGACTTCGAAGATTCGGCCAATAATGTTGAACACGGCGTTTATACCCATGTTGACTCTAATGTTAGAGGGATTGCCTTGAAAAGTACGGCTTCGGTTTCTTGGCCAGATGAGGAGCATATCGTTCGATTTGGATACGGTAAATAGATATATTCTCCAATGTGATCTAATTTGTAAGGCAAATCGAAAGAAGCTGTTTTTGCTAAATTGAAAGTTCTTGATGTGGTCGAATTTTCTAAAGCAGCCAGCACTGTATCGAGGGTTTATAGGTATTTTTTTTGTTTCGAAGGACTAGAATTAAACTAATTGATTTAGAATTGATTGTGATCATGAAGGATCTCGAGGCATCGCCTTCATAACAATAGAAAATGCTGATCTATTTGGAGAAAAGGAGAAACCGTTGCTATTAGCAAATGCACCAAGTTATACCGGTACAACGGAGGAGCTTGGGCTTCATGTCGTGCCAATATCCACTCGGATGTGCCAGGATCCGGAACTAACGGGTGGGAAAGGATCAAATCTTGCAAAGTTGACAGCATTGAAGAAAGAGGTGACTTCGCCGTTCCTTTAAAATCTGTTTTGATTCAGTTCCAAGTCCCATCTGGTTTTGTGGTGACGACAGCGGCGTATCGAGCTCATTTGAAGAAAAATCAAGGGCTGTATAATTTGATAAAGCGATTGGAGAAAGGGTTAGTAAATTAAGAATAAAATAAGGAAACATATGGATTTAGTTAAATAACTATTTTCAGAGATGAGGAGGAATTGGGTTTTTTGCTTGAACAAATTGAAGCAGCGTTCTTTGGATCTGAAGGTATGTACCTAGTAAAAACTGTAGTTTGAGTCGGTCTAAGTTAGGCGCTAGTTAGGCTTCATAAAAAAACATAAAACATCCCGATCCCAGTCTCGAAGGAACTGCTAGCAAGCCTTGACTATCATTGCAAATCCGAATGTGGCGACGCTCGACTGGCAGTACGGTAAGTAAGGTACAGTAATCTTTATGATATTTTTTAGTTCATCTGCTCTCGGTGAAGATGGAGCTGACCTCTCATCGGCAGGCCAACTAGAGTCCGTTCTCAATGTGGAAAAATCAAGCGTAAGACTATGCAAATAAAAATATAACAAGATTTACAGATCGAGGATGCTCTGAAGAAGTGTTGGGCTTCGAACTTCAGGCGTGAGGTGTATTCTTATCGAAGGTAGGCATTTTTTGTGAGCGAAACTTTTTCTTTGCAGGAGCCATGGCCAACCACTGGCCCCTGAAATGGGTGTAGTTGTTCAAGAGATGGTGGCAGATGCCGTGGCCGGGGTGATGTTCACTTGTGATCCAGTACGCCGTGATCCTACCCACATCCTAATAAATGCGATTCGTGGCGCAGGCGACGATATTGTATCAGGAGCTGTCACACCGGATACAGTTTTGTTGGATAAAGCTGGGAATGTGCAGCAGAAGGTAAGTTAAAGTGATGATTTTAACGTTGTAGCGCTAGCTAGCCAAGAAAATAATTTTTGATAATTTTTCAGCCCGAAAACTGCTGCCTTACGGATACTGATATCGCAACCCTTTCCTCAATAGGAATCTATCTAGAAACAAGTTTCGGCCGACCCCAAGATGTCGAATTCGTAATTAAAAATTCGATTGTATACCTTGTGCAAAGCCGAGATGTCACAGGTGCGCATTAAGGTAAAAGGGTGGACGAATTTTGTAGGGCTCGATCGAGAAAGTGAATTTGAGTTGGCAACGGAGTTCAATTCTGGAACTTTAACCGATGAGGAGATCTATTCGACTGCTAATGTTGGGTAAGGAATATAACTTAACAAAACAATAAGCCTATGGTTTCAGTGAGGTATTGGCAAAACCACTGACACCACTCGGCGTCTCTGTTTCCTATCCAGCATATGAGAAGGCACTTTGTGTAAGTTTTACGACAAATAAATTAAGAAATAGGAATAGAATTAAGTGGAAGATAAAAAATTTGATAAGCGGCTAGCTTCAAGTTTCCAAAATTCCAGAAAATGTTCCAATCTTTCCAAACCGGTCGTGTCCCCCTCCATCACGATATGGGCTTCCACATGTCAAGAAACAAAGTTTTCATGAATATCGGAGAGGTAAGTATTTAGGATTTTGATGTAGAAACGCCTTTCAGTTGTACCTTCGCCAATGGGAAGTGCTGGAAAAAGATCCTTTGTCTGAATATACGTTGGCCGGTGAAAAGATGTTGACCCCAGAGATGTATGCGATTGGCAGGAAGCGGCATACCCCTCGTCATAAATTGTTCCCACTCTGGAGGTTGGGATATATGCTACATGTAAGTTTAAAGGGGTCACAGAGAGAGAGAGCGTCAGAATCGAGAACCAGACCGCTTCCTGGCTCTTTCAAGAGGCCTTTTTGCCCAGTGAAGATAAGCTAAATGAACTTAAATTGATAGTATAAACAAAAACATATTTAGGCAACACTATGGGGTGGCAAAAACACCCTTGGATCTGTTGAAAATGGCGCCAAAACTTTGGAAAGCTTAATCTCCACTTCCGGCACGCCGGAAGAAATGATGCGCCAGATTTTGCGCCAAAAAGAGCTATTTTCGCAGGTATTTACGCAAACAATTAGATACGAAACTAGTCGTCAGCTGATTTATGATCATGCCTATATTTCATCATGCTCTTCGTTTACCTATATTATTGTTGCAATGATAATTCGCGGTGGACCGGGTAAGAATTAATGCCTTACTTAATCAAAATAGGACACCAGCTTTTTACGTTTGTATTTAGAAGGCGATCTAACCTCGGAAATGCTCTCCGATATTGCTACTCTTTTCGGAAATAATGATTTAAGCGTGATTTCGGCCGAAGTTCCAAACTCACTAAAGGCACATTATTCGTTTTATCAAGCAACTTGTTTTAGAAAATAGCAAAATCTGTGAAGCGCTCACCGATCCGCGCTGAATTCGAGAATGCAGAGGGCGACTTTGCACTCAAAATTCTGAAGAGTGACCCAGAAATTGCGCAACAAATTGATGGTATGGTAGAACGACTAAAGATTCATCTCTATTTTTCGAATTCTTTGGAAAACACGGGCATCGTGGCCCTGCGGAATTAGATATTTATGCGGAAGAGTGGAGGGAGACCCCAGATTTATTGGTGGAAACTATAAAGGTATGTGAAAAGGGGGAAGAACGAATAGATTATTAGGCTATGCTAAACGATCCAAAACTGGAGGAAGATAAAGTGTTGCTGGAGAGCGGCGAAATTATGGAGAAATTGAAAAACAAGCCGAAAGGCCTTGCAAAGTAGGAGTTTCGTTATTGTTAACTTATATTTAAGGAAATTCCTAAAATTCATGGTAAAGCAGACATATTCGGGCGTGGCTAATCGGTAAGATATTTTAATGGCTAAATCGAATAATCAATAATTTAGCGAATTCGCCAAAAACCTCCTTGTAAAGGGCAACGTGGCAATAAGAGCGAATATTCGTAAATTGGGACAGACTCTAGCTGATCAGGTATTTAACGGAAAATTTACGGAGAATAATTATCAACTTAAATAGATTCTTTTCAATATGTAAACTAATTTAGGGTCTGCTACCTGATAAGGACCTCGTTTTCTATATGACACTCCACGAAATCCAGGAATTAATGCAAACCCGCTCTCCCAGGCTGATTTCAAGGTAAAAACAAATTTTCTAGAAGCTACAAAAGTATGGATTGGAAAACGGAAGCCATTTAAAGAGGCCTAAAAGCAAATTAAAACCGTTTGCAGGGCAATGCGACGCCGAACCCACTTCCCAAAACAATCCGACCATAGATATCATCATGTCATGTGGGGTTGTGTCGAACCGGTAGGTGTTACTGTAGACATTATGGCATCGTAATTTGTATTCAGATAGAAACCGAGCCAGTTGAAAAGTTGCGAGCTTTACTAGAGCTTCAAGGAACCCCGGTTTGTGAAGGGAAGGTCGTAGGAAAGGCTAGGGTCGCAAAAACATTGGAAGAAGCTCGGGGGACGCAGGTATAGCATTGAATTTTAATCAATAAATAATTATTCCCAGCCTGGCGAAATTCTAATTACGAGATTCACCGACATTTGCTGGTCGCCGTTTTTCCCATTAATTCGCGGGATTGTCACGGAGATTGGAGGTCTACTATCACACGGTAAGTTTTGAAAGTGTAGCGACAGATTGAATATTAATGGAATAATAACAAGACTAACTATTTTTTAATTTTTAGGAGCTGTGGTGGCTCGAGAATACGGTCTCCCGAGTCTGATTGCTGTCCGTGACGCTACTGATGTTTTCCAAACCGGAGATCTCGTCTCGCTTGACTCATTTAAGGGAACGATCACCAAGATGGAAGCTTAAACCTGTGCATTAAAGATATCAAAAATATTTTAAACATTTCATCTTATACAACATACATCCATGCCCATTCTAGCGTAATCAAGTACATCTGCGTAGCTGCGCCAGGGTGCACTGGCAGTTTCCGCTTCGACTTTTGTCAATATTGACGCGGCGCTTGAAATAACACAAAAATAAAAAAAAAACATTTGACCACGTAGAACCGGAAATTATATTTTAAAAATTAGTGCCTGAAAGGCTCTAATTTTTGCTGCTGCTGCTAAGGCTCCGCTAGTAAATTTACAAATGCGCTAACAATAAACAGCAAAACAACTCCGCCAAACGAATTGTGTTTTGAAAAAAAAACAAAATGTAAACCGGCTTCCCACTTTCGTTATTCGTATTTGACGAGTAACCTAACGGATCCGATTGCCCTCGTTCTTGGGGAACCACGTTGGCCCAGTTTACCACCACGGGAAGGTGGCAAGGCGGGGGTCGTGGCCCCGGGCGGGACTCGAACCCGCGCCTCTTGGGCTCGCGCCGCTGGGCATTAACCAATTAGCTATAAGCCGGTAGTCGCCCGACGCCGGAGAGAGAGAGAAGGGCCTAGGCTCCGCCCCCTCCCCCAGGGCGATGCTCCGCCCTGTTCCCCCAATCCCCCGTACTTACGAGAAGGTTACGAATAATGTTGTAATCAGCAAGAAACAATAAAAATTAATGATCTAGACCAGTTTTTTGCGCTGCTTTCGAATCTGCAGTCAGTTTTTACCCGTGGCGCATCTTCTTTGGGATTCTGGACGATTCAGGGTTTGCGGACGGGTTTTGAGCCATGAAATAGCGGAAATATCGATAAATAACATTGGGGAAAAGCTGATTGCAGATTATAAATCCGTGCAAAAAATTCTCGCGCCTACCTTTAAGTTTGGGCTTCAGCGCGAACCAATTATCGATTCGCAACCTTCCCTCGTTTGCAATGAATACCACAAAACGCCAGAGAATTTGCAGGCCGTTTCATCACACTTTTTACAGCTTATACCTTGTACATTAATAATATCAACAAATATTTTATACTTTTTATCTCACACAACAGCCCCACCAGACAACCATGCCCTTTCTAGCGTACTAAAATACATCTGCGTAGCCGCGCCCGGAGAGGCCGGCAGTATCCGCTTCGACTTTTGCATATGTTGACGATGCGTCAGAAATAACACAAAAAATAGAAAAAAGCACTTCTCGAGGTAGAACTGCAAGTTATATTTTATATATAAAGTTAGTGTTTTAAATAGCATACCGAATCGGCAACATCCAAAAATACATTCTCCCCGGCTTCAAATAAAGACTGCTGCTGGTTGATCGATGCAAAATAGAATAAACCCGAAAGAGCAATCCAGACTAATAATTCATTTGCAGCCACAATTAAAAATGCCTTGGATAAGCTGTAGTTTTCAGAGTATTGAAATCTAAACGAAATTAAGATTATTTAGAGACCTAATGGCCCACTTTGCCGACAAACTATGCGTTATATTTTGGCGATCTTTAAATAATAAACGATTTTGCCGGTAGAGTACGAAACATTCCTAAAACACTTTAATTTTTTGTATTCAAAATACCAGCAAACACCCAGCCGCAATAACTGCAAAGCAAATACTAGCAATAGCATCGGAAAATGGAACTATAACTGAATTTTTATAGTCTTTCATTCGACTCACCAATTTTACTATTGTAAATTAAAAGCATGAAGGTTGAGCAAATATGCTAAAAAAGTTTGATTTTTAACAATTAACTTACAGCTGAAAGGATCAGCAATACTCGGAACCAAAACGGAATTCTAAGTTGCTCGTAGTTTTCTGCTTTCTGCGTGGCCACCACTCGTTCCAATATGATAAAAAATGAATTAAAGGCATCGGAGTATACGCCAAAGAGGTAGAGTACGTTTGAGACGTTCTGTAATGTATGAGATTTTGATTCTTAGGTATTTTTTAGGATTTTATTTTTAGCTTGACTCTTGCTTTTAGGATCCAGGGCAACACGCTGAATCACAAGCTCTCACGAAAGTACGGAAGCGTATGGGAATGTATCATGAGATTTAGAATAATTTTTGTTTTTCTGCAATTGCGGTCGGGAACCTACCCGGGCTGAGATCCAATTAAGGTTTGCGGAGATCAAGATGCAGGTTAGGGCACCGGCAACTACCCAGCAAGCGATACAGTTGGAGATGACTAGGCAACTAAATATGGAAAACACAGGCTTAGGATTCGGCTTAAGTTTAAGCTAGGGCCAAGCTGAAGTGTGGGCTGAGGCTGAGGCTTACAAGGATACCTCCCTAGCTCGAAGTTCAGCTTCGATTAGCTACATAGCCATCCAAAAAGCCCAAATCCAAAAAGCAAGAAAGTCGTCAGCGTCAAGGCCCGAACTCCTAACCACTAGATTGGTACACCAAGTACTTGCCGACTACACCACGCCAACGATGGATGCCTCCCTTTTGGAAAGAGGCTTTGAAGCGCGTGGGGCAGATCACCCCAGCCAGGCAAAAAATGCATAATGTTTAAAATGCTTTTTCATAGCGTCCCTGTGGATTTGGGCAAAAATAAATATCGGGATCGTGTTCAGCGCGAAAAACTACATCTGATAGACTATATAGCTAATCGAAGTCGAACTTCGAGCTGGGGAGGTATCCTTGTTAGGCTCAGTTTTAGGCTTAAGCTTAAGCTGAGGTTTAGGCTTGGACTAGACATTAGACATTAGACATAGGTTTTGGCTTGACTATTTCCTGGTACGTGGGCTTTGGTGTGCACTTAAGCTTAGATGAAGCTCACGCTTAAGCTTACGCTGACAAGGAGTGTCCTTTTGGTGTCATCGGCAAAACGATTCGAGACCCCGCTCATTCGATAGAGGATTGAATTCTGAACAAGACGTGTTGTTCATTTTTGCCGAATGGTTGTCCCTGATTTTATAGAATTAAAAAACCAAGCGCGAAACCTTAACAACTCGCACCCCAAGCACCAATGTATGGGCGTCGCCGGCAGTTTTTTAATTTTATAAAATCAGGGACAACCATTCCGCAAAAATGCACAACACAGTCTTGTTCAGAATTCAATTCTCTATCGAATGAGCGGGGTCTCGAATCGTTTTGCCGATGACACCAAAAGGACACTCCTTGTGAGACTAAGCTCTTTGCCTAGGCCTAAGACTAGAGTAAGCTCAGGTAGGTAGGAGGGATGAGTACCTTCGACTTAAGCTGAGTTAAGGCTTTGTCTTTCAATTAACGACAAATTCACCATTTATACGTACCGAAAATTCACATGTAAATAACTCATCGTCGTCATAATTTTATAGCATATCCAACCCGCAAAACAAATATCAACCGCGCAAAAAACTAATCGAAATATAATATACCACAATTCCATCATCAGCAGCTGAAAGCCTCGGGGTGGCTCATAAAAATCGCAAGTAGACGCACGATCCTGGGTTCCAGCAATCCCACCCCACAACAATTAACTCTTCCCAGGATACGCAATACGGCATACACATACCTAGACCCGGAATGCATAGAAAATTATAGCGCCCACTTGCGCTGTCGAGCAATTAGCGGTTTTTCGAAAAACTGACCCCTTTTCAAAGAACTCTAGAAACAAAAAGTATTTAAAATCGTCTGGAAATAACTGCGAATCTTTCAACACTCTTCTCCCAGGTACAAAAAAAATTTCAAATTCATTTTTTATTTAGATTTTACACAGATTTTTGTTGTATATTGCTTTTCCAGGCTGAAAACGGCTCTCATAATATTCCGGAAAGCGACCCCGGCGATGCTATATAGATTTCCGATAGCAGCAATCCACCGAGGCCGTCTGCGTGGCCCGCTTCCGGTGCCTCACAATGTGACCTTTTTCGAAATTCATTTTTGGAAAGTTAAACTTTTCTTTATCGCTAAAACATCAGGAAACTTTAGTTTTTTAGACTCACCGCGAGACTCATCCCTGGATGCCGAATTGGTTCGGGTAGATGCGGAAGGATGGTGAAGAATCCAGCAAGTGTAAGTGGTTGCTTAGGCTTCGCTTAAGTCTAGGCATAGTGGTTTTCAATGGACTGAGAAATTTACAGTATTTTCCAATGTGCTGGAGCTAGGACGCCAACTGCTAAACGGCGCCCTAAATGATGCGCAGAAAGGAGCGCAGGAGGAGATTGACAACGTTCAGGATGGTAAAGTATTCTTCAGAAATTAAATACAACCAGGGTTGAAAAGCCGCTTCGCGTCTTTTCAACCCTGGCCCCCGCGTCTAGCGTCATAATATGCTTCATTTTGCATAATTTTCGTGAATTCTGATGACAAAAAATGAAAATCTCTCCCTCCGCCCACTATATAGGCGCGCGCCATTTCCGGCATATGCTGATTGATTCCTAACAAAGTGGGTGCTCCATTTTCTAACAAAAACTTAATTTTAACGTCGAAAATAGCATGATTTGCAAAAACTGATGTGTGTGCAGTCATCTCAGCGCCATTACGCACCTAATGACGTATCATACGTTGCTTAAAACCCTTTCCCTCTCGAGATATCCTCCGGACACCCTGACGGAAGTTGCATGCAAAGTGGCACACACACACACACTAACACACAGACACTATTTTTTTATATATAGTAGGATAGAATGAATAGATTGCTGCTTTTTGCTTTCCAAGCCCCTTGAAATCTATAGTATATTATAGACAAATATTCAACGGAGATCCAGAATTTTTGAGACATACCTTTGAGTCTTTCAGAAACAATAACTTTTCTCGATGCCCTACGAAACGTTGCCTATAGTTTGGTAGTAGAAAGTGGGAATCTAACAATGCGATTTCTTGATGAGGTAAGGAAACCGTGTTTTTAGGATCTTACTAGTTTAATTTTAACTTAGATGGAAATCAAAGCTCGTGAATACGAAAAAAGCGTAACCGAAATGGTGGACGGCCTCCACACCCTCCCCCGAATCCACGACTTTACTACTGACGACGCGCTATACGGTGGGGCTACCGTGTACGCAGATGTGGCAGATTGGTCAGTGTTCCCGATGATGTTCATCGACTTTCTGATGATAATGCTGATATGGGTTTGTAAAATCGGGAATTATTACCAGAATTCTTTAGACGATACTGCTACTAGTGAATCGGGATTATATCCATGTTTTCTTCGGGCTGTTGAATTCTTTATTTAGCGCACATTTATTTTGTCAATTTACGTATACTGTGCTGTTTATGTTTATGGGGTTGGTTATGGAGGAAAGGAGAGAGAGAGAGAGAGAGAGAGAGAGAGAGCGAGAGTCAGAGAGCGCGAGAGAGCGAGTGAGCGATAAAGAGACAGAGAGAGAGAGAGAGTGAGAGACAGCTACGTATGGTAACCTCCTTTTTCTAGATGGAACGCGACCAATTTCCTCTATCTTACTTTTATCCTAAACCGCACAGTCACCCTATTTCTTGGAACTGGCTCCGTGGCCCTCATCCTAATTGGCCTAGCAACCCACTTGAACCGACGCCCACCAAGAAAGTTGTAAGTTTAAAGGTCTAGTGACATAACTAAACCTTTCTAGTGAATGGAAGATATATCTACCATTACTGGCGATGTCGGCCCTTTTCTCGTTTGCCCTCCTTCAAGAAGTGCCGAGGCGCTTCTGGCATTGGATGGCTGTCTGCTTCGAGATTTTCGCGCTGATTTTTGCGTCCAACATTTTGTTCTTGGTTTTAATACTCTTTTGATAATGGTATTACAAAATTCCTAGACCATCCTACTGGCGCCATGTCGGAAGGGTCGGATATCTCGATTCGAAAAGGATGTCTCCGTTCTGCGTAGGTGTATTTTTGTTTTTAATATTTTTAGATGCCAAAAGCAACCTGGTCGGACTGTTCTTCTACCAGATATTCGTGGTATCAGCTTTGTTGACGGCTGATGTTGGTAGGTTTTTTTTTAAAAGATCATAAAGTATCGTTTTCAGCCAGCATTTCGGCAGTCGCAGCAATTTCCAAATTCACTGAAGTTGCGCAGGTAGAGGACAGTTGACCGTAACTTGTAGTTGGATGTAGTTCAAATCCTGTGCAAATTGTTTAGTGTACCCTGAGCAAAGCCCCCGCCCTCCAATTCCCATGTGGCGACATTTTCTTCCTCGTGGACAACTCGTACTTCATACGTCCTTTTACGGTCTACTTACCGGCAATCCTGTTTCTGCCCTCGTTAAGGTAACTTATGAATGTCTTGTAGATTGCTCTACCCTTTACTCAACCTTGAAAAAGCAGACGGTGAGACCCGGTAGTTTGCTTTCGTTTTCGTCGACTGATAAGGCCCGGGGCGCTCTTTCTATTTACCATTTTTGAAGTGTTTGACTCAGAGTGCTCCTGGGGGCATCAGTTGTTCTTGCTTACAACTCGTACTCTTTTTAATTATTTTTATAGGAAAAATTTGCCCTGGCGAATCTGGGGTAAGCCGGCGGAACCGGAAGTGCCCGAAGAAGTGTTGCGGAAAAGGACTGATCACCGCGTCCCTTCCGAAACAATGAGTGAATAAATTGTGTGGGGGGATCTGTAGTCAACTTTAAAATATAAGCACTTTATTTTGTTGAAAACCCGTACTGGTATGAGGTTCACGTTCAATATATACAGATAAATTGACGAGATTTGTCAAAAAGTCGATTCTTCAGCTAGAGAAGAACATCATCTCTTTTCGTGCCGAATCGAAGCTCTGGAATGATTTTTATATTATTTAAAAAATTTAATGATCTAAATAGAACCTATAATTAAATCAGGAGACCTTACAAAGTATAAAATCTTACCGTAGCCAAGCTCCTTCAACATCGTTCGGAATACAAAATAGCTGGCAAGGCCGAGAAGCAGGAAATCGAGAGCCCCATTTCGAGTCAAGAAGTCGGAAATGGATTGCTGAAAATTAGTTTATTTATTAAGTAGGCGTTAATTCAAAATCATTCTAGTTGAATTATACAAACCTCGCATAAATAACAGCCAAAAATCCAGAAAAGTCGAAGTACTTGTAAATAGTACACAACGGCCATGTGGATGAAGTAGAAGAAGTTCTAAAATTTTTATTATTTTGATTGTTTTTGACATACGATTTGAAAGTAAATTTAAGGACGCCACGGCTTTCGAAAACTCACCAATTCGACAATGGCCAGCGTTGCCAGACAGTTTGGGAAGAATTGTTGGAGAAGGTATTGGAGCAGCAGCATTTTGATGATACTAGAAATATTATATTAATTTTGCATACGTTAAAGATACATTATGATGCAGGGTATAAGGAAAATAATTAAATTTTTAGATCAAAATTAAGGAAAGCAAGAGAAGTATTTAGGCAGTGATTTTTAGCTTTCAAACTGTTGCAAGTATCCAAATTTAATTTTTTTGGCATCTTCCCCGGCCACCGCGTGTCCTTTTTATATTTGGCCTTCCGCAAAACATCGGGGTGCAACGGGAAAGCGGAACCCGCCCACACACCACTGATCACTTTGAAATAACGCCGGTGTTCCCCAGTTTCTGCAGCCGGCTAAGGAGGTGAAGCCCGCTTTTTTGTGCAGATAAGACATCTGAGATCATCCTACAGCTGGGGGTGTCTTTGACAATACCCCAAAAATCCGGCAAAAGCGTCCGAGTGCAAGGGTTTCATGTTTGTCAAGTTTAGCACTTCTGCAAAAACGGTTCCGAAATGGGAATGGAATTGGATTTTGTGATTTGCGATTGATTGGGAGGTAGGAGAGTGTACTTTAGGTTTCTCAAATGGGAAATGATAGATTTAGAAAGAAGGGTCATTAATAAAGTCTTAGAAACAACCAATAAGCTTGAAACTACATGTTTGAACTAACTACTCCGCTACTTACTCCAGGTTTGAAAAATACAGCTTCAAACACAACAAAACTACTTCAAATAACGGAAAAAGAATCTTAATTTCTATAGTAAATTTATTAAAATCGTATTAAAGTTTCCAGCTATACCTAAAAAATTTAAAACTACAGTCTATTTCCGTCAATAGCGATAGCACATCTGAAAATTCAACCTCTAGAACGGACTAAGTCTGAAAGTATCATTACTGCTAAAAAAATTCAAAATACAGTTTACTTCCGTCAAATAACTCTAACAAATATCAAAATTATTAAATCTCAAGGCACACGACACCCCAAACCTTCCAACTATCGTCTCGCCCACTCCACCATCCCCCATTTTATAGTGCGCGAAGAGCGAAAGAGCAGTGGGAGGGGCTGATGGGTTGTATTTTTGAACCCTCATTACCCGGAGTAACGGAACAACGATACACCGATTGTCACCCCGGTCCATGTGAGTGCTGTATTTCCAGGGCTATACCCCCAAACCCCCCTAATCAACCCCCAAACCCCGGCGGTGAATGTTCCGCTTTTTGGTGGGGGGAAAAGGCAGTCCGCTGGAAAACAGTTTACACAACAAGGGGTAGACTTTAAACTATAGGAAGAGACTTAAAATTGCTTCTATCGGGGTGAAAAAGTTATCTTGAAAATCCACTACTTGATCGGCTCTTTGAAAATATTTTGAAAATAGGTTTTCTCTGATACGATTTTCATTAGTAAAAGCATCTTGAAATTTGGTATCGGTACCTCGCGCTCTTTGTCACACTGCAAAAGCCAGGTGCCCCCTAACGCTAGTTTCCGCTTTAAAACCTGTTTATTCATTTTACCGCCATTCCCACGCCAATTTCCATGACATTCTATCGTCAATCATTATCCAGCTATGTTTAAAATTAAAATCTAAGACGATCTTTATACACTAAAGTCTCGATAAATCAACCTCTCACCCGACAACGAACCTAGTGAAGCCGGAGGCTGTTTTGCTGTTCCACTGCTCGCCCGTCCCCTCGTTATTTACAGATTTTCGCGCCACTCGCCCACAAAATCGGGCCGAAAAAAGGAGAGCAAGAAATCAGACCTTGTTGGCTGTATGGACAGTGTGTCCGCAAAAAAAATACTCTTGGCTACAAGCTTGATGGGGGAATAGGGTCTGAAATCGGGATGTGGAGATGCTAAAAATCCTAAAGTTATACTTTACAAAACGACTCTGGTCTCAGCAACTAAAAATACCCACATCGAAACCTACAGGAACACAAATTTTTGGTCAGAAAGGCTAGGCTAGATCTCCTGCCCCTTCAAACCCTATGCTAGCCCAGGTTACGGTCAAAAGTAAATTTTAACGAAATTAACAAACTTTTTCATAACCCTATACAAAACTTATCAATAAACTTCAATTTTTGCTTGTATTTCGTACCGTACCTGGCTAGAGCTCAGTACGAGGCGCGCCGCATCACGACGGGATTCCGTGCTCGCGGCGCGGAAGAAAACAACATCCCCGAAAACAAGCCCTGAATCAAAACAAAACTGTTAACAAAATAACTTTACGATTATTTCACTATTTTTACGACCGAGAATATACGTTGGTGCTTATTTTTGAAGCCGCACTGCTTTGGAGCCTCAAATCCCTCTCTAGCCTGACAATATCTTGTTCTCAGAAATGAATTTTTCAAGCATCGTGATGCATCTTAATTCTCCTCTTTAGAGATGGCGTCTAGTTCACGGAATTGGGCCAAGCAGCTTTACTGGTCGGCCATCCCGGCTTATGGTTGTGGATATCTTCTTGTACACAGTAAGATCTTATTGGATTTCTTGTCTATGTTTAGGCATGCGCGATTATGGGCTGCCCATAGAATATCTATACGTTGATCGACATGCCATGGAGCCATCGGAAGGATTCTTGTCTCTGGTAGAGTCTGAAGTGGATAAAATGAAGGGACTTCGAAATGCAAAGGTATTTTCCTTCCGCACCAACGGACAGTTTTATAGTTCTCTTAGTTAAAAGTTACGATGACGGACAAAATGGAGCCGAAGGTCTACGGAGGATTTTTTCTAAACCGAGGTGCCGAGATCCAGTTTCCGTTGCGATATGCCTTCTCGGATGTTGAGCACTTGAGAAGACAAGGTGCCCATATCGAATTGGATCTCGGATATGCGAAGTGAGGTCATTTTTATCATCCCTTATTTTTCTTTAGGAATCGGCGTAAATTGGAAGTGAACAGTGAAATATGTCAGCAGCTGTTCGAGAGGATATTACTTACCGATTCTGCAAAACGTTTTGCGATTCAGCGAGAACTGCAAATAGCTAACAGGTATCTTAATTTATTGTGTTTACACTTATTTTTAGTGGGCTGATCTTCTCTTTTCCAATCATTACTCAAGCGGCGGTTTTTCTTGGCGGATACTTGAGCGTCCCACTGCTGGCGCCATTTTTGGGACCTACCATTCCCTATGTCTTGGCCTTCTGTGCTTCAACAGCGTCATATGTGGCGGTACTGCAATTCATTAAGCTCAATCCGATTTTTAGCTGAGGCCCGTGTTCGATGGCTACTTAACAAGGCTTGCTGATAAATTGACATTGACCGAGTGAGTATTTTTTATATATCTTATTGATGATTTTTTAGACATCCTGAATATCTTGCGGGTGCCCGAGACTACTTCCAAAATGTCCTGAGCCTAAACCGGTTACTACGGCGGATTATGGGCGCGGAAGGCGAAGCGTGTATTAAAAAGGTATGCGAAATGAAACTATCCAATTGATTTGCTTTAGGATGGCGAATCCCGGCTTGATGCTCTTCCGATCCACACGCGGCTAGCGGCGGTAGAAGAGCGAGCTCAACAGTCGAATAATCGGGTCTAATAACCCATTTCTATTTGTCTAGAATAAACGGTTAGAGATTGCTTTTTACGACACAGCATTGGAATTCCCGATTATTGCATTTGCTGTATTGGTAGAAACTCGAAGCCTGGCTGTTTTGGAAGGTTGGCAGAAACTCCCCTGAATTCCGTCATTTTCTTGTTCCCGGTGGCGTGTCCTATTTTCGATTCAGGGTGATTGACCGGATGCTTCGTCCAGTCTTTCATGTTACACGGCGCGCTCTCAGCTATCGGTAATAAAAATTACGTTTTTTTATTTTACGATTTTTAGTGCTCTCAACGAACGAGGCACTGAGTTTTTGAAAACTCGCGTGGGTCGATATGTGAAGCTCGGGATCCTTGGCGGAACCATCGTTCTTTACCCGATTGGCTTGTTGATAGCTGACGGGCCATTGGTGAGATCTATTTCGAAAAGCACTTCTTTTCTTTAGGTGAAGTTTACGTTTCCATGGCGCTATCCTTGCGAACCGGTCCCTGCGCAATTTGAACGGTTATTGGACGAGGTTATTATCGCTTTATTCGTGTAATTTTTATTGTTTAGGAATACGCGCTGTTTCTGTTAGGGCAAGGCCGAAAACCTGAAGATGCGGTCAACAATTTTCATTTGCTGACTGATGCTGGTGGGGTTTTTTTGAGACTAAATTAAAGATTTTTTTTAGAAAAGCAAGATTCGGTCGCCCGTGGGTCACTCGGGGTTAGAACCGGGCTGGAAGTGGCTCTGCCGTTTTTCTTCACTTACTATAATGCTGCGGATGCGCTTTGTGACTTGAGGTTATATTTTTGAGTTTTGAGTGGAGAGTGGTTGTGACCCTGAGCTGTCTTTTTGTGAGGTTCTTTTGCGCCACCGAATTGATGGTTTTAGACAGCGGTTCCCGAAGTCGCTTCCGCAATTTGGCGAAAACATTGAAATCGACTGGGATTCGCGCCTTGGCAAGATGCTCGCTGAGACTTTTGTTCTAAGTGACGAGGTGTAGCTTTCAGCTTTCTTTAATAATGATTTTAGGCACGCCGGTTTCTTGTACAGCGTGACTTGCTAGCCCATGATGGGTACGCCGCGCTTGGCCAACGGTCCCTGACCTATGCCACTTTCACGGCCTTCAGTGGTCTACTTGTCTATGCGTGAGTTTTGCTCCTACATCCCTTATTCTTGTTTATTTAGTTTCCATTCGATGTCTAATCTCTTCAAGGGATCGTTTACTTCATTTGTGGTTTTCTACTGTCTCTTCACAGCCGCCGCTATTTATGGAAGCCATCATTGGCACTTGTTATATAGGTAATCTGCTTTTGTATCTGTACATTCTGTGTGTCTTTTCAGGTACATTACGGACATTCACGCAGATTCTACCTCGGCCCGTTTATCATCTTCCCATTCTGCTGGCGGCCGGGAATACTATTACAAATGGTTGAAGAGGAATAGGTAACAACCTTTAATCTGACGCTTACAAAATCACGCATTTAGGATTCTTCGCGAGCTTTGCGATCCGCTCTACACGAAAGTGACATGGTCTGGAGATGTTCGAGGCATCCCAACGAAGATTGTGACTAGGTTTACAATATCTCTAGCTTCAATATTGATTTGCAGATATGATCTCCTAAAAGACGCGGATGAAGATGATGTCGAATTGAGTGACGTCGTCGGTGGTGACTTCTAATGACTAGATTTTTTTGTTTGTAGTTAGCATCTGCCAAAATGTTGCTGTTATCTAGGCCTTTTGTTCGGTTTTCTTTGTTTTATTGCCAAATAAAAACTTATCGCCACATAAACGACATTCCAGCAATAATATGTTTTCCGTCACCCGAAGCTTAGATTTTATCCGAAGAAGCGTGCAGCCGAGTCGATGAACGTGTTTGAACCGCCGTTTGGTATGCCGAATGCTTGGCCGACCTGAATGGAAATGAAGGAATCAGGGAAGGATTTCAATTTACCTGGCCAGCGCCTTGGAAAAATTGTTGCGCTCCACCGTATGCTAGCCGCCCACCAGCAGCCGCCAGGTCCTGTTATTCATTCGTTTAGAGGTAGTGTTATTTGTACGTTGCTGTCTTTCTATGGATAACAAAAACCCTCTCCTACCGTTAGCCCATCGTCGGTGCCAATTTGACCATGTGCGGGGCGGTTGTAGGCTTGTTCGAAGCCATTCGATGGGCGTTGAATTGGAACTTCCCCTGGAATTTTGAGCGGTCCTTTTTCTCACCAAACGGGGGCCGTATTGTTTTAGACTCACCTCTATAATTCGGATTTCGTGGTGCGAGGGGCGGCGGAGTGTTAGACAATAATGGAGCTTCGCCCGGTTCCGCTTTTTGCCGAAGCTCGATCTGATGCTCCCGGAAAACCTAGAATGCGTTTTTGCCCTGAAAACTATCGGCTTACCTCATTTAGTACTGGATCCTTGTACCCAGAGATCTCGTAGAGGGATGGTGTTCGAAATTCACCGGCCTATATGCTGATCGAGAATGAATCGTGCCCAATCTGTAGAGACCTACCCGCAATATCCAACAAATGTTGCTGAAGAACAGCGTGGAAAGTAGTCTCTGCATTTCTGGTAAAAGCTTTGAAACTGGTTTTCGATAATGAGGTAATAATATTGAATGGATTTTTGAAGCAAGCTACAAGTATGCGCGTCTTTTTATAGCACTTCAGAAAGAATTTCAAAACATAAATAAGGTTTTTAGGAGGTAGCTTTGAGGGCACGATGTGGCTGGTAAAATTCGCGATTGTCTTTCTGTCGTGTTTGGCTGGTTGAGTGGGAATGATAGCATGGATGGATGATGGGGTCAAACCTGTTCCCCCCCTGAGGCACCGCTCCACTCAAGGCTGTGTGAACTCTTTGTTCCAACAATACCCCGACCATTTTGTTTGAATGAATTTATTCGCTGACCCGTATACCGACGCCATTTGGGGACGGGGATTGTAGACACCCGTGTGTACAGAAGAATTGAGTGGTGTGGAAATAACAGATAGGGTTATTGGAGAAGACAGAAAGAAGATGAGGTTTTTAGCGAGACTTGATTTTGGGAGGTTTTGGCTTGGGCGCAGCTTTCGGATAGAAGCGTTAAAAACCGTTGCTTGCTCGGTTAGCCTAAAAAGTGCGTTTTCTGGGCTAGTTTCGTGTGCTGAGTTTGAATTTCACACTTTTAAAGTGGGAAAACGTAATTTTAGCCTTCAAACTACAAACCGGCGGACCGGAAACCGCTTTTTCGCGGGTGTGGTAATTTACTCTTCGTAGGCTAAGATTAGTTCTTATGGTTAGATGAAGCTTCTAGCGTTTGGAATTCGAATAGCCTACAAAACTAGCCCAGAAAACTTCTGATGAGGCTGATCGAGCTCAACTTTTTTAGCGCTTTTGCTGTCACCCAACCCAGCACCTTTTTAACGCTTTCTCAAGCCACGAACTTGCCAACCTACAAGGTACGCTTAAGCTCATATTTCAAAATATAAACTTTTTAGGAGCTGTTTCTACAACATGGACAAAAGCCAACAAAAGAGCATCGATTAAACCATCTCCTCGCTGCAAGAGTGTCGATCGCTCGACGCCGTCCGTATCATACGATCACCGGGACTATCACCAGTGCTGGAATCCATCTGAAACAAAGGAGATGGTTCTTCCCCCTTCATCCACTTCTCGAGCCAATGGTAAACAAGCATTGCTTTTACGGTTCTTTCGCGTTATCGGGGGGTGTTACGAGCGAAAACCCACTTTTTTCGTTAGGATCGATTTTTCATATAAATAGAGGAAACGTTTCTAAGCTGTTTTTGGCATTCCTAAACGTAAGTGCAAAACTATAATTTTTAGAAATTTTCCTAATCTTTAGATAGTTTTTACGCTTGAAATCTAGTTACATTTACTAAAAACGCTATTCAGACGTTGAGTATCATGTTACTAGGTATTTCTGGACGAACAGGAAAAAAGTAGCCTCTCCCCCTCCCGCGATAATGCGAAAGTGCCTCTTTTACTCACAACCCTCCAGACTAGATCTGGTTATGAAGCGTCAAGATGCAAAAAAAGAAAAAGCGCATCCATCCAGCCGACATTCAGGTTCAAAAAGAATCAGAAAAGGCAAATCGCAAACGAGCAAAGCTACCGTACACACCCTAGTATTGCTAGGTGTTTCGTGGAGCAGAGCGGTGCCGAGAGCCATCAGCAGGTTTGCGTATTGGCCACCACCATTAGCGTCGCCATCGGCCAGCTGAAAATCCGCCGTCGCTGCTGTTCGATGATCGGTGATCGGGATACGGTTACGTGCACAGACGGACCAAGAAAAATTGCTGAGATGCTCGAAAACGGCCGGTTCGATCGATTGGTTAGTTTGGTGCAGAAAAATAGCAAAAAATGAAACGTTGTACATTCGCTTGAGCGGCCAATTCTTGTTTTTTCTCGTTCTAGATTTCTGGATAGTGCTTGAAAAGATGTGCACGGCGTGCGAAAATTTTTGCAAAAAGGAGGTTTCCGGAAAATCAGTTTTTAGAAAAGTAACTTTTTCGAAACCCAGTTTTACGAGAATCAAAAGTACAAAAACCTTTCCTTGTATTTCTTGCTCATTTTTTGCTTTCTGATTTATAACTAGAAGTAAATTTTTCGCAAAACTGATTTCGAAAACGAAGCTGCCGAAAAATTAACTTTCGAAAAAATGTCTTAAAAACTGATTTTTCGAAAATGTGATTCAAATGCGATGTGCGTGCTGCATGGAACTTCATTTGTCCTAATAACATCAAAAACCACCAATTTAAACGCGCTTTTCGACTTGCCCCAATCCCGCACTCTCAAACATGCTACCCGAAATCGACAGTTGACGAGAGAAGCCGACATTCCAAATTACGGCACGCAAAATTACCCAGCCTTTTTCAAAGAAATACCAGAGAAAACTCACTGAAAAATAGACTTGCAAATGTGCGGAGAGGAAAAACGGAAAAAACCCATTCTTTCAACTGACCTCCATGTCATCGGTGAAGCAGGTGCGTCCCGTTTCGCTTTGGTTGATTTTTGAGTGTTTGTAGTTCTGAACGGACTATATAGGGATGATTTTAATGAAAAAGGTTTAAGATCTTACCCCGAATGTCCAGAATGCGATCCATTTTCGGATTTGGACGGCAAACTCTCGTCGGAGGGATGATTGGCATGAGACGTAGATGGGAAGCCGTAAAACTCCGGCAAATATTGTCAATAGGGATACCTGAAAAGAATAGAAAATAATTTATAAATAAGCGGATCGCTTACCACATCAACGGAAAATATGTAGAATACGCGAAGCTCATTGGCAAGATAGTCGGGGTGGAAATGTTCTCCAATGGTGATCAGCTGTAATTGGATTTCTTTATTGTACTGTGGTGTTGGTGCTCACCACATTCAAGCAGTTCGACATCAAATATGTGAAAACGACCAAAAGCAGAGCTCGAGTTGCAGCACGGACTCGTTGCTAGAAATTGTTTGATTTGGAGCTCATATCAAGCTCGTTACCTTTCGCTTAGCCTCACTGAGCTTTTGGACGCTTAAATAATGGAAGTCGGTTTTCTTGTAGGCGAAGATAATTCTGAATTAATAATACATATACACAATAGTTGCTTTACACGAACCGGATATTTAAGATCAATAGGACGAAGAAGGGGAACAGGACAGTAGCAACATTTCGGAATGCTACTTTCCAGTATGTAGCATAGGCCTGAAAACGGGTAGTAGAGGGATTCGCAGGATTTTTGCTAGCTATAATACACTTACTTCATTTAACGCTATATCCGATACTCCAATCTTCCATTGCGTCATCAAACCCTCACATTTTGGGTCGTAACTCCACTAAAAATAAGTTTCGCTCTTTATAGCCTTGTGATTCAAACCGTGATTTCAAAGGCCATTGTCAATTTGGTGAAGAAACCCATTAATACAGCAAATACCGAAATGCCGACGCTACAAAGGGAATACCAGTCGATTCAATTAAATTAAAATTCATACCGATTGCGGGTGAGAAACTTCGATGTCTTTGTGTGGGGCTTTACTGTTGATGCATATCGTTCAACGGTGGCCGCCATAATCAAAAATGTTGATGAAGTCATGGCGATGTGGGAAACCGTAATTAGGGGGATCATGTAGTGGTACCTAAAAAGGTTTTCTTACTGGATTTTTTATAGACTTACCACGCTGTCAATAAGGGTAGAGATTGAAAATAATCGGCAAAGAGATTCAGGCTCATCAACGGGATGTAGGCCCTAAATTCATAGGGTTTATAAAGATTATTAAGCCTTAATCAGCTTTATTTTAGATTTAGGAAATTTTTAAAGTTTCAAACAACTAACCCGGCCATAAACATGTCGAAAAAGGCAAGTAATCCGAGGTATAGATTTGGAGAGGCACGATGTGTTTTTCTAAAATTTGGGAATTTTTGCTTACGGTATACACTCTACCGTTTCATTAGCATATAAAATACAAAAGCATTTTCAATAAAGCTGACAATGGCCACACTCGTCCCACCCACTCCGACCAGCCAAAATCTGAAAGGTATAGAATTCTTAAGTTCATTCCACGAGGTTCCCTACCTTTCTGTAACGTATGGCGCTTCATAGAGACAATCATCTATCAGCTCTTCGCCAAATTCCTCCTCAATCGCCGACTCGTTCATCTCCAGTCTCACCACATTGCGCTACCCAATAGCCTGGAAATCCTACTATATATAAAAAAATAGTGTGTGTGTGTGTGTGTCTGTGTAGATTTGCATCCACTTCCGGATGTATGTTCCGCTCATAACGGGTTAGGGAAGAAGTTTTCGTACATGTTTGATACGTCATTTGATGCGTAATGGGCTGAGGATGACTGCCGACTTAATAGATTTGTTAAAATGTACTGTCTTCGACATTAAATTTAGGTTTTTGTGTAAGTACTTTTGTTAGACAAAATTTGCATGCGCCGGAAGTGCATGGCGCCTATAAAATCAAGCCACAGAGGAGATTTCTCATTTTTGTCAGCGGGATTCGGGCAGAATATGCAAAGTCTTTTTGTCATTGGACGTGGACGGGGCCAGGGTTGAAAAGTCGCGAAGCGGCTTTTCAACCCTGGTGAGATTATAAAAAAAATAGGTATCGCACAAAATTTTGAGCTGACGGTTTGGCGAGCATCAGTGGAAAGCATTTGGGAATTGGAGCGTGTGAGATAAATGGGCATTGGATGGTCGTCAGGAAGCCCGTTGAAGGGGCCATAACACGAAAACAAGTCATGGTGAGCAAATTTTTGACGTAGGAGGAGTGGCAGAGGGGTATTAAGCCATTTAAGGGTAAATTAATTGATAAATTGGGAATTTTAGGTAGATCATGGTAGGTCTGCACCTGGCATAGTTCTTTGCGCATCCGGATCTTAAACAAATATGAAAAATCCGGTCCGGCGCATGCCAATTGTTTTCTAACAAAGAAGGATCAGAGGCTTTCAGAAAAACTTAATTTTCACATCGAAAATGGCTGATTTTCAAAAATTTGTCAAGATTGGAGTGATTTCCAAACCACTACGCACCCAATGACACCTAAATCAGACCCTGAAATTTTTTCTTTGCACGATATGACTAGAATATGGTGCCGGAATCCTCTTGCAACTGCACATAGACACATAAGCACTATTTTTTATATATAAAGGATTCATTTGAAAAATTATTCATGTTCTATAAAAGATTCGCCCTTAAAAACCTGAACCCGGAACACCACAAAAAGCGCCCAGGCTAGAAAGCGCTGCGAATTTTGCATTTTGGGGCCCGGCATAAAAGGCTGTTGTCGCCGGGATGGACCAGAGGTTTTGGGGTGTGCCGAGGATGAGGTAAAGCGGATGGAAGGGGGGGGTAAGTGAATTCTGGACAACGGCCATAGCCTGCCAGCATCTGTGGAAGGTTTTTCGGGGGAGTTGGAGGGGTTGGAGGAGGAGGAGGAGGTGCGGCTCACTAAAAATAGATTTGTTCCCAAACAACTGTTAGAAGAGTTAATAATAATCGATGGTAGCCAATATTGATGCTAGGGGTAGAAAGGAGGATATTTAAAGGGACAGGCAAAGCATTCCTAGGAATTTTTTTTGTACCCGCGACACGCAAAGTGTGCGCTGTCACGCGTGTTAAAAAGCGCGTAATCAGCTAGAAAAGAGCGCGCGTCACGTGTGGCGTGTGCGGTAATTCTACAGGGCTCTAGAAAAATTCATGCTCTCTAGTTTGAGCTGCTAAAACTGTGTAGAGTTAAACTACAGACTGCCTTTTAAACCTAATTTTTACGTTTACAGTCATCGATTCAAGTCCGCTTTAAGTTGGCAATACACACAAAACTTCTGTAAAAACCACAGCGTCAAAGTATAATTACACTTTACCGCCAAAACCCCCATCCGATTTACTGCCCTATTAGCACCCCCCCACAAAAACCACATCGAAATAGGTGCATTCCGGAAAATAACGCCAAATAACCAGAGAAAGCGATCTATAATTTTTTCCAATTACGCCAATAAGCTCCCAAATACACCAAAGCACGCTATTTGCCCCCAGCTGCACCTCCAAATATAGCATAGGCAAATTTTTGATGCTCACGGTACGGCTGATCGAGATGTTCCGCATGCGAAAATAGCAGAGAAAAATGACTTTTTGCCCCTAAATAGGATACCGCAACAAAATAGCCCAAAGCACACCGGAAGCTAAACCGGGAACCACTTGAGAAGGGCTGGGCCTGGTCAAAAATTCAGTCCCCCAACCCAAAAAAAGAGTGTGCACAAAATGGAAAGTGGCAAGGAGGGGGGCAGCTTTACGGGGGGCAACGGCCAAAAGCGAGGTGTTCCCAGCAGTCGTTTTTCCCGGGGCCCAAATTTCGGGGAAACGACCTCGCGAAACCCGAACCCAAGGTTTGGCCAGGGGTTAGAGGCTAAAGGGGGTGCGAATTACCACACCTTTGGTCTGAAGGTAGGGCACGAAACTTGCTGCAAACAATGAAGTTCCGGAACGAAACGCGAGCTGTTTCTCTCTCTCCCCTCTCTCACTCTCTATCTCTCTCTTTATCTCTCTTTCTCTCGCTCACACGCTCTCTCGCTCCCTCACTCTCTCTCTAACTCTCTCCCGCTCTCTCTCGCTTGCTCTCCCTCTCGCTCCCTCTCGCTCGCTCTCCCCCGCTCTCTCGCTCTCTCGCACACATTGTCTCTATCTACTTTTCGTGTCACTTTATGCTTTAAAAAGCAAATTTGCTATTTACTTAAATAAAGCGTATTAAATTGAGCCCATCCAAAGTCAGACCACACCTTGTTGTCCTCCTTAACTGCAAACTATCGAATCGTGAAATTCCCAGCACCACCCAGCCACTTCCGCCTCAACATCCCCCACAGGTGCGCAGTAAAAACCCACACCCAAGCACTTCCAGGTCAAACCTGAAGAAAAGTAAGGTAAGCAAAAACAAGGCCAAGCTGTAACCTAGATAATAAATGCTTGACAATGCTGGATCGGGCCATTTCTTCAAGCTGTTGAGAGGAGAGAGACCTCCAGATGGGAAATCTCTAAGAAATCGGAGACCTGTGCGAGTCGGCGTTACGATGGGGGGCTAAGAAGCCGGGGCATCTTCGGCTTGGCGCACCCGTTCCGGGAGGGCAAAAATAAAAAAATAGTTCTCAAACAACGGGCCTGGGAAGTCTGGGGAATGGCGTAAAAACTGGAAATAGCCGTTTAAAGGGGTATTGAAGCGAAATGACGAAAAATGAAAGATTGGAATCGGTGCCGGAAGGGACTTTATCCTCTAGCACGAGATATTCCATATTATCACTATTTTTACACTTAAAAAACTTCATAGAAAAATGCAGAAAAACAAAAATAGGAAATAAAATCGTCTCTCCATCCCGTTTTTATCCCTATTCCAAAGAACACCACAAAAACCCCCGAAAAGTAATACGAAAAAATCGTGCGGAATCACAAAAAATAAAAGCGCCGTCGAAAATACGCTGGAATTGACAGCGAAGCGCCATTTCAGGATGGCCCACTGTGGATGGAGGGCCCAAAAGGAAAGATCCGAGGGGGAGGCTCGACTGAAAGCCATTTTCCCACCTCGGCTTATCCTTGGGCCCTCCTAGGACTGGCAGAATCGGGATGGAGGAACTTGGGGTGATTTCCGTAGCGCGATACAAAGCACATAAAATCAAAATAAGAGACAGAGGCTGAGAGGTTGAGAGAGAGGGAGAGAGAGAGGGAGAGAGAGGAGATGGAGGGGAGGGACAGGTTGGGAGAGATAGGGAGAGAGGGGAGGGAGAGAGTTGGGAGAGAGGGGAGAGAGAGAGGGAGAGAGAGAGAGAGAGAGAGAGAGAGGGAGAAATAGAGAGATAGAGAAAAAGTGAGTGAGAGAGAGGGAGAAAGAGAGCTAGAGAGAGAGAGGGAGAGAGAGAGATAGAGAGATAGAGAAAAAGTGAGTGAGAGAGAGGGAGAAAGAGAGTCAGAGAGAGAGAGGGGAGAGAGAAAGAGAGAGCTAGAGAAAAAGTGAGTGAGAGAGGGTGAGAGAGAGAGTGAGAGAGAGACAGCAATAAGGATTTCTGGTTAACACCAAGATGTGCTTCCTGGAAAAACTAATCTGTAAGGGCGACGCCTTTTCGAGGAGAGGACCCAAGCGTGTGCCCTTTTTTGAATAATTTAGACGATTTCTGCTTCCATCCCATTACGGATCTGCGAGTAGATGTCGAATTTATAAGCGGTGTGAAGGAGGAAGGGAGAGGGAAAAGGGGCAGTCAGGTCAGGTGGAGATCAGTCGGATTTTCTAAGGAGTTGATTGAAGGAGGAAGTGACCGGAAGTAGGTGACGGGTTTTTAAAGGGAGCAGGACAGGTGCGTGAGGCTTCGCTTCTGTGAGTGAGAAAGCGAGATTGAGAGAAAGAGAGAAACAGAGTGAGCAAGAAAAAGATAAGACGTAACTTTTTCCAAAACACAACAACGCTCTTCGATCCCCATCTCCACACCCTAAATTGAACCAATTGTCGTTAGACAGCAATAAACCCAGGGACGACAAGTTGTAGACGCCGAAGACCAATATAATGCAGCCCCCCGTGAAAGAGGGGGTAGCGACAGATTGGTTGAAGCAGATTCCCGGCACCCGTCATCCAATTAGCGACCCCTCGTCTAAACCACCAACAAAATGCCCATTTTACTATTGTGCACCCCGTTCTGGGCCTATGCAACATTTGCACATTGAAGATGGTGGTCTAATGTACATGAAGTAAATTAAGATGCAAGGGAATAAAACTAAAGGATTAAGCATGCGTTGGGTTCGTTTTAAGTTCGAGCGAAATAATTAGAAGACCACATCTGGCTGAATTCTTCCAACTTCCGGATACCAAAAAACCCGGGGCACGTGAGCTATGTACGATTGTTTAATCACGGGCACATTGGTACCTTGACCGTAGCCTCCGTCAAATCGAATTGTCGGCAGTCGACCAGAATCATTTTTTTTGAGAAAATTGAGGGAAAAATTTTCTGCACAAATCACGTATATCCGAAAGTAAACTTTCGTCTTGTAGCCAGCGAGAGAGGATGAGAGAGAGAGAGAGGGAAAGAGAGCGAGAGAGAGCGAGAGAGAGAGAGCTCACGTAAATCGTTCTGATCACGGGTTTTTGGAAAAATCTAGGCACGTCCGGAGGCACCCTCTATTTTTTAAGCGAAAAACGTAAAGTATGTTCTCGTACCCATTAATGCGCGCATATTTTTAAAATCGGCGGCTCCAAGCTTCTCTGCCCCTTTAAAACCCGATGAAAATCCCCAATCCGCTATTTTCCCCCTAAAAATTCGTTGAAGCAAAAGAGTGGGTGGTGATGGCGCTGGGCGACGTGATGATTAATGGAAATGGGCCATAGCCGCGCGTAGCCCCCCTAGCGCAAATATTTCCCTTTAGTGTTGGTAGTGGTCGAGTAGAGGAGGGGGGATGGCCCGAAATTAGGAACGGAATCTATGGGTGGGCCAAGGCCGTCTAGGCGACTGATTAAGGGGGCCGTTGGGTCGTCCTGGGGATGCACCCAAGTTTTTTCTATCTCTTCCTTTTTTGAGATCCATAAGGGTATCTATTTCGGGGGTGGGTATCTTTCTAAAAAAGTGTAGAGATATCAACATTATCGTAAAATTTTTGAAAGAAGTTGTTGGGTTTTCACAAAAAGGTTTATTCAGGAAATGATATTTTTCGGTAACTATCGTTTAAAAACTACACTTAATCGATTTTGGTGCAAGATGCCATTTTACTGTCCATTTAAATTTAGGTATAATGCCAAAATCCCTCAAAAAAATAAGAATGAAAGAAAAGAGTCAAGAATCCCGTAGAGCGCAAAAATTTCCGCAGCCACCCAGCGCCGGAAGTTTGGCTGGGCTCCCAATAATGCCCTGGCGAGGAGGAGGCACAATTCTGGTCTGTGTTGTGAATGGGGTAAGGGAAGAGCATGGAAATGGTGGGAAGGTTTTGCGGAATGAGGGAGCATTAATGGGAGGTGGATTAAATTGATGATTATTTTACCTAAAGTAGGCGAAAGCCAAGCCAAAACCGAGCCGAAGCCTAAGCCTATGCTACTCTGTTCCGATATAAATAAATCACAACCCATTACATAATAGAATTTTCGGCGGCCCAATTTCAAAATAAGCTCCCAAAAACCGATCACGAGTTACAGAAAATGTGTACGCCAGCTCCCCTCCAGATAAAGCCGGCCGACCCGAAATTCCGGAGGGCTTTTCGGTGTGGGTTTGTGAGGGTGTTGGCCTAATGCATTTATTCCACCCATCCGTCTGTCTCTATCCCCCCTCCAACCCTCAACAAGATGGTTTGGATCGAGTGGAATTCTGGGGGGGGGGGGGCCACCAACCTAAATCGCATTTTCTGACGACGAGCCCTGAAGCAGGGGAGGAGACTCACAATAGAGGTTTGGAATCTATGAAAACATAGTGAGGAAGGAGCACGAGGATTGGGGTTGGCGGGGTGCCAAGGGGTAGACTTTGGGATTAAAGGGGCGGCGAAGTGAAAAACCGGGGTTTGCTGGCTCCTTGACTATCTCTCGCACTCTCTCATGACTGTCTTTTTCACGTGTTCCGTCTACCTCTCGCTCTCTCTCTCCCTCTCTCGCTCCCCCTCTCTCTTTTCTCTCTCACTCTCTCTCGCTTTTTCGCTCTCTGTCACTCTCACTCTCACTCACTCTCACTCTCTCTTTCTCTCTCTCGCTTTCTGCCTCTCTCTCTCACGATGCATAATCGCTTTAGCGAAACACAGAAGGCAGATAAACTCGAAAATAAAACTTTAAGGCTCTATGACTCCGAAATCGATGGATTTTCTGGCATTGGACTAATACCTTAACAATCCACCAATCAAGAACTTGTGCCATTCTTTGACCGGGAAGTACCCCAAAAAACAAACCCGAAAATGAATGACCCAGAAAAGAGCTCCAGAGTCCCTTCCGGCCTAAATGATGGGACCCGCCGAACCGGTGGGTCGTCCAATCGTCCAATTCCCCCTCATCCTCCTCCTCCTCCTCCCCTACCCATCCACCAGACTCAGACTCCCCTGAGGAACGGCTAAAGGGGGTTTTTATAGGGACACATCCATCCGCCCTGAACCCCATTCTCCATTTAAAAGCAATACCCAAGTTGAATTGAAATCTGGGTGTGACGGAGTTTAGTGCAGGAGTATAAAAGGTGAACTCTTCAAAACAAAAACTCATGCTGAAAATTTCTTTTAAAGCTCTGATATATGTGCTGGTATCTGGGGGTCATTAGGTGTCTAATGAAACAAGAAAATGTTTTTATATAAAAAGGCGGAGTAACTTAACTTTCAAGCTTGAAAACTTTCGGTCGAGCTCCCGCCTTCCCCCCAGCCGAAGCCCGGAACCGGAAAACAATCTCGAAATACGTTCATAAAAAATCGGCCTTGCTTTCGGCGGGCATGGATTTGTGTAGCTGGCCCGTTGGCTTAGATTTTGACAGGTTCAGATTCATTAAACTGCAGTTTCCTTGTCATAAGCATTTCGCTTTTGTACTTGAACGCGCTCAATTCCATTGTTCTATTATGAATCAGATTCAACGGTTCGTTTCTTTTTGAGGTGCTCACACACACTCAGAGTAGGAATGCCCAACGATATAATGGATTTTTCAGTCCCTTCACCATTCCATGAAAACGCCCACATAGATTCTTGACCCCGTCCCTTTCCGGCAGTTGTTGGTATTTGGATTCTTGACTTTAAAATTACGCCATTTACTTGTCTATTAAAATTAAATTATAACTTCTGACGGGCTTTTTTTGATCGGTTCGAGGTCAATGCTATCAAAAACAAACTACCCCTGCCGGCGACATAATCATATGCAACAACCCGGCAAACCAGAAAATCACCTCCCTAAAAAGGAGACAAATTTCTGCAAATATTTTCACCGGACAACATAAGCAGCTTTACCACCACCATCAAATGTATAGAGAATGAGAGAGAGCGAGATAGAGAGAGAGCGAGAGAGAGAGAGAGAGAGAGAGAGAGAGAGAGAGAGAGAAAAGATAGACGGACACGCCCATAACAGTTCGTTCCTAAAACATGGACTTCAGTTATGGGGGTGGTTTATTTAGAGAGTCGGGTCATACCACCGGATTTACCCGAGTTTAATTTGATCTATTAAAATAGATTTGAACTATTTAGAATAGTTCCTGAATTTAGTAATCTAAAATACGCTGTTTTGTTCTGGCGTCCGGGTAGAAATGCAAAAGAAAAGGTAGGTATAGTTTAAATTTGTAAAGGCAAAAACGTCATGATTTGTTTGTTTCTAAAAATTTTAAATGGGAAAATTCAAAAATACGTTTACTTTTAAGCTTTTAACGATTTCAGTCGTGATCTCGATGCTCGCCAAACGCCATGGGCAGCCGTTTATACGGCTATCGGATTCTTGACATTCACAGGTAAACTCTTTCTCTTCCCGATTCCTGACTTCATAAACTCTTTAAAAAATTAAAATGATCCGAATCAGGCGCCCAAATGTCGGTATATTTCATGTCGACAATGGCTTATTTGATGACGGTATTTAAAGAATGATTTTAGAACGCTTTTTTTTAGTCATATCAAAGCGCCACTGTGGAAACGTTTGGATACGTTGTCGCGGCTGGCAGTCTTGGGGTTTTGGTGGTATGTTAAGGGCCTAACAATACTCAAATTGTACCTGCTAGCTTGCCCTGAATTTTAAAAGTTTTGGAGATTTAATTCGATCGTATCGACAAAGTTGGAAGCTAGTTTGCCCATAACCCAATTTACTTATTGTTTTGGAAAATTTCAGGCAAGCCCACTTTTCGGATTCTGGCAACAAAAAACCAATTCCACGAAACAACCCGTTATGTGTGGTTTTTTAATGGCAGGATTAGGTTTGTGATGGCAACTTTTTGAGCCTAAGTCCGTATAGGGAATTTTTTCTACGCATTTCTTGGTTACTACGGTAGCTACGTGCTGCCCATGGCACTATTCAGCCGTTTTTTGGCCGGTTTCGGAGCAGGTTTGCCCCTGCATCTTGTACGTATAAGAATAACTTAGGAACCCTTGGTGTGCTCCGATCGTATATAGCAGTCTCGAGTACACCGACTGATCGAATTAAAGCCGTATCTCTCTCAAATGGAGGATTTACCCTCGGATTATCACTGGGTCCATTAATACAGGTAATCTTTCTTTTCAAGAGAGCGTGTTGGACCAATTTGATTTTTATAGATCTGTTTCCTACCCTTTGGAACAATCCATCGTACAGTACTATGGATTCCTCTAAACATGTACACTACTTGCGCCTTCTTTATGACCCTCATTTGTATCATTTGCCTTGTGCTTCTCTTTACCGTTTTTCGCGAGGACTATGTCGGAATTTATTCGGCAGAAGAAAAGAAATGTAAGCCTTTGTATCTATGATTACCTGAAAGAACTACCTTTCCCTAATCCTTGATTTTTCAGCCGACCCATTCCTTGTCATTCCAAAGTACGATGGGCGCCCGGTTGCTGTGTGTTTTTATTTATGGTTTTGTTTGTGCATGGTATCGACGACCCTGGAAAGGTGGTTTTGCATATTTCAAAATGTTGTCTGAGCTAACTTAAGGCATTAAAAACATTAATTTAATATTTTTTAGCATCAGCGTCCCAGTCACTATTGCCATGTTCGGATGGAATAACTCGGAATCGATATTTTACAATGGGTTATTTATGGCTGGGTAAGAAGCGATCAATCAATAAATCAAATTTTAGAAACTGCCTGCTGTCCGTAGTGATTAGTTTGTTGCTGGCAAAGACGAGACTAGGGGATATGTAAGAAAATGCTTTAATGAGGGTTACGGGGTTTTAGAGACCGTCGAAAGCAGATCCTGGGCGGACAGCTGACTTTTTGCTTATTTTTCGTGTTCTGTTACCCTTGGAGTTTTTATGGAAATGGTCTAAAAGCACCGATTTTAGGTACAGTTTTATTTGCTTAACCAGCGGGGGAGGAGCCGCTTCGCGACTCTCCCCCGCTGGACCCCGTCTAGGCCCTATGAATCGAGCGCCCTTCCACCTAAAGTTACCCTGAAGAAACGCATCTCCCATGCAAACCTCTTTGTCTTGACATGCGGCGCACGCTTAATTCGCTAGTGTCGTTATTAGGCCTGCGGCGCATGCTTGATCGGCCAGGTCCTCATCCAGCGGCGCCAGCTTGAGCTGCTGCTTCGAGATAAAGCCTGCGACGCAAGTTTGAGCGGTTATCTCATTCGTTTGCCTGCGGCGCTACCTTGAGCGGCTGACTTCGTTCTAAAGCCTGCGGCGCTAGCTTGAGCGGCTAGCTTCGTTCTAAAGCCTACGGCGCTAGCTTGAGCAGTTAGCTTCGTTCTAAAGCCTGCGCATGCTTGGGCGGGTAGCATCATTCTATACGCTGCGGCTGACTAATTTCATACTAACGTCCCTACACGCAAGTCCACTCCAAAACGCACTTTCCGAGCAAAAAGCAAAGCAACTAAGGTATCCGAGGATCGAACCACCGATGGTTAGATTAGCAAGGCGAAGCGCGAACCACTACACCATGCAATGCTTGGCAGCACGCGTCAACACCCGTTTTATGCCTCAAGAGGACTGCCCGGGGCAGGGGAAGGAAAGGCATCGAGAGGCAGATCCAAAGAGACGACCAAACTCGCGAGTGCAACTGGCAAGAATGAGGAAATTTGTATTTTTCCACATTATGCAAATTAACCCGCCCGGACCCCCAAAAATCAATAAAACCGGCTTTAACTTTGTAAACTTGTATTTTACCGGGATTCTCAAAGCGCCATCGGAAAGAGGAGGGTCGATTCCCCCGGGTGACGGAGAATTAAGGCATTTTGGACACGGGAAGGCCCTCAAATCGGGCCTCGAAACTGACCTCCGCACACACACACACAAAGAGACGCGACCAAATTACATAAGGTAGGATTTTATTTTGTCTGTTATTCAAATATCTCAATTCTTGAAGGAAATGGGCAAAATAGGACCTCAAAATTTTTAGTTAATGGCACCGAGGATCTCGACATATATGGTGGATGCTCGAGAGGGTATTTATGGTGTGATACTACGGCCGCCGTGCCAGAATCAATTTACATATTTTTCTTTGTAATTGGTCTAGGGGTAAGGTTTGGAAAATTTATAATTTTTCCCGAATAGGCTGCCTTCCCGTTTGTATCTGCACCAATGCATGCGTTATTTTCTGAAATGCTAGGGCCAAGGAAACAGGTAGAGCTTCTCAAGCTGCTATTAATGCGACTAAAACGCGCTTGTCTTATAAAAAACTAATTTATATTTAAATTTGTATAGATAAATATATACTTAAATAGAATGTCCGTATAAGCCATAAAAATTATAGAATTATCTTTTAGGGCGCAATGCAAGGTCTTCTCTGTTTCACCGGATCTGTAGCTCAATTCATTTGCCCACTCGTCATTACGTAATTTTTTTGCGTTTTTCTAAATTTATATACTATTCTCAGATCTCTATTCCAACACAACGGGTACCGTATCATCATGATCTACCATTTTCTATTGTGTGCATTTGCGGCTGTGTTGATTGCCGTTTTCTACAGACACATGGTCCCCCTGCAAATTAAGGGCACTCTGGGCCAGACGTCAAAGTACAAAAACGGATTTTTTACAAGGTTTTGAGAGTGGAGAATAAAGGAGTTTTATCTGGATTTTTGACATTTCATGTCGTAATCGAATAACCTGGCATGGGTCCAACTTTCTGGATAGGATAATAGCGTTAGTTTTTAGTGTTTACTAACCCGTCAAATTCATGTTTTTACACGTTTCATTCTAAAAAGCACCAAGTTCGAAAACCCGTGTCGGCATTAGCTTCTCTTTTTGTAGTCTGTACCCTGCAGCCGAATGATAAGCCGGTGGTCAATCCCCCAATCAAAATCGCCGGAAATTGACATCTGCTATTTTCGATTCTTTTACTGGATTTCAAGCTTGAAAATTATTAAAAATACTAGCTTAACTTGAAATCTTTAGCAAATCATGTCCAAGGAACTGGCCACTCATTTTGGGTCATGCCATTGCGGAGCGGTGAAGTGGTCGTGTCTGGCGCCAAAAATCTTGAAGGGCATCAAGTGCAAGTTGGTTCATAGAGCAAATACTATTTGGAAGCTTAAGGTTACAATTTCATTATTTCAAGCAACTTTATAGCTGTTCAATCTGCAACAAAAAGCAGAACCATCACGTCGTGGTCGCGTCGGATTGTTTTAAATTGTTGCAGGTAGTTTTATTAAATGGACAAATTTTGTAAAATTCAGAAAAATCACAAAAATAGCATTAGTCATTGAAAAGATTTTAGGGCGAAGACAATTTGACGACCTATCAATTTAATGAAAAGAAGGCGAGGCATCGATTTTGCAAGGTGAGATTTAGGGATGTGGATTAGGCAGAAGCTAGGCTTAAGCATAGGCTTATGCGTAGGCTTAGGCTTAGGCTTAGCTTCGGCTTAGCTTACAGCTTTGTTAGGACTGAGTAAATCGAAATTTAGACATGCGGAGTGCAGAGTTTTTACATCCCACGCAGCAACCCTAACGATATTGGTAATCTTAAAAATTTACAGCCGGAATTGCCACTTTTTTAGCAATAATGCCCCATTGCATCGACTCGAATACGGTAACCCGAATCGAATGGACATGTTTTAACGGGCAACAATGGGAAGAAACTATGCTCACGCAAGCACCTGTCGCTTTTAAGCCTGAGGAGAAATAGGAAATCTTTCGTTTATAGTTTATCAATAAATTTTTTAATTCACGAAAAATAACGATTGATCTATTTGTCTTGCCTCGCCTTGACGCGTACAGGTTGTCCATCGGAGTCGCTTCTAAATATCGTTGTATAGGGTTTTTTGCCCCCTTAATTCACCTAGATCCAGCACGTCTTGTCAGCATCTTCACCACAATTCTTCTCAATTCACGGTGCCGTATGCAGAAAATGGCAAAGTTGAAAATTCCCTAAAAACACACTAGGGATTACGGTAGCTTGGTACACAAGATTGTTTTTCACCTCCCGGCTTTACCCCAGAGGCTTAGAATTCCAGGAGTGAATCGAATCCACGCGCCGAGTAATTTTCGGTGAGCACTTTTTGTTTAGAGACCCGTAATGGGTTGTTGATCGGAGTGAACCTACTTTTGTGAGGACCACGATAAACCAAATGTACTTGAGGTCGATGGACATTGGAACGAACTTGAGCATGACTTCTGGTAAAAGTAGGAATACTACAGCTGAGGCTGCCGTCATGACTAAAATAAAATGATTTACTTTGTTTTTCGAGGTTTTATTTAAGGGAGCCTTCCAAATACCGAAAAATAGTTTACAGCTTATGAAACTTTTAAAGGCCTTCTTTGTTTTGTTGAAACTATTTTATACTACATGATTTTAAGCAATTATTAAAACGCTTTGTGTACTATTTTTAATGCTTTAGCGAATATCTTCAAAGATCCCAAAAACTAAAAAAAGTGAAGCAACATTTTCCCTTAAGATTACGCTAACTTTTTAATTAATTTTATAAAACTTACACGACGTAACATTAGCACTTTGAAAGCTCTTCTTTTGCTGATCCGTTAACCCGAGCACCCTCTTCGCATGCTGAATGTATTTTAGAAAATTTTTACATCCTAATACTAACAAACCAAAACCAGAAGCGCTTACATTACTCACCCGCCTTAACAGAATCGCGATGATGATGTAGACAACTACGGTAAGTACTATGCTGGCTATGCGGCAGTATGTGTAATAGGCGCCAAAAATTGGATGCGGAAAGTCGGAGCTACTACAGTAGTAGGGGACCATTTGGGTGGAGAAGGCGTTGAGGATTGTGTTGGCGATGTAGAAGAACAGGGCGATAACGTAGGGCCCTAAATTTTTGCCGTTTAAAGGTACGTATAAGACAAGAGTTGGGAATTTGCTGAATCCGGATTCTCTAGGATTTGTCGGATTTGTCGACACGCGACGCGCAGGCTCGGCATTCCATTGCGTAATCGATTACGCTCTTTTCAGCGGTCAATTGTGTACGCGTCGCGTGTCGCGGGTCGGAAACTATAGTTTAAGTAGGTTAGAAAAACGGCAGACCGATAGATGTTATACGTTTTTAACCAACATTTTATAGTGAATTGTCATTTTAAAGGAAAGCCAGCTATTTTAAATACCTTAGAAAGTTTCAACGTGTAAGCATTGCAATTTTTATAATTTAGTAGACTTTTTAATAGCTAACCCACAGCTCATAATAGCCACCGCAAATCGTGGTCCATGCTTATAATACTTTGTAGGCCATATCGCCGCGTACAACCGATCAAGCGCCAGCGCCAAATTGGTTGCACCCAAAATTTGAGTGGATATGAAAAATAGAAACACTGCTGGAGCATAAGAACAGGATATAACCGGAATTGGCGGCGCTGAAAAGTTATGAACCTTGATCGCCTAGAAATTACCCACCAGTTGTCGCGTCATAAACATTATCGTAAAATATCATACGTACTAACGATGTATAAAGCCAAGAAAACGCATATAAAGCATCGGCGGTCATCAGAAAAAGAATTGTGATGAATTCCTTTCGTTCCCGTTTTTCCCGGCTCATCAAAATTTGGGCTTGAAATGGCAGTGTCATACCGAGAACGACAATCGCTGAAAAAAACTTTATTCATATTTTGTATAAGAATGGTTGTTTAAATTGATATTAACGTTACTCACATTCCCCGAAAATTATATAAGACGTCGCTGACATCGCTAGATATTAATGGGAATTAATAGGTAGAAACTAAAAAATGGTTCCATTTCTAGACAACACATCTACCTGTATTGGATTATGTTGGCCGTAGATTAATGCCACCTGGCATGAAACTTTTTCCCAAAGATGTCTGTCGAAAATACGGCGCACGTGAGGAAACGAAAAAAAACTGAAAAAAGAAAACTAGCAAGCTAGATAAATTTCTCAAAAACAACGAGAAGCGGAGTTAAAGCGAAACGCTACTATAGCCAGAGTCGCCAAATCCCTAGTTCAGCCTACAAATTTTGAAATAAATATCACGCCTCCTCCATAAATGACGCTCCCTAGGGGATGCGCAACCGGTTGATTGCTGGCCAATGCTCTACCCTTGTTAAAAATGAAGCAAGGTACGGCGGGGGGTAAGAATTAAAAACAACGGCGAGACGGACAATATTGACGCGCATGCAAACATTTATTTCCTTGTTCATTCGATAATCTAATAATATAAAAAACGTTTGCGTGCGTTTGGACCCCTTTACATGCAATTTCCGTCAGTACTTCCGAGAATATCTTAAAAACAGAGAGGTTTAAGGCATGGTCATTAGGCCGATTTTAGGGTCATTAGGTGCGTAATGGAGCCGAGAGCACTGCACGCATATCAAGTTTATGAAAATCGGCGATTTTCGTTATTAAATTCCGCTTTTAGTAAAAGATTAAGTTTAAGATTAAGTTTCGATCTAGCTGAAGGCTTAGGTAAGCTTAGGCTTGACTTAAACTTGAGCTTAAGACCCGGTAAAACTCCCCCGGAACTGTGATCAAACCTCAAATGCCCCAAGGCGCTAACGGGAATCCCGGAAAAGGTGAGAACCGACCGCGCGTGTAAATGGGTGGTTACCGGAAAGTGGGCTTTGGAGCAAGATGGCAAATTTGGTTTCGTTTTCCGCCGACAGGCAAGTCTAATTGGATCCGGTCGGGCCGATCAAGGGGCGTAACGAAACTAACTGCGTTTCAGCGAGGTTTTTATAGATTAGGGCGTACAAATAACACGTAGCGGTAGGATAGTCACAGTTGGAAAATGAGCGGAACACAGCGGCCCGGCGCCTAATAAAACGTCCGGTGGAATTGGATACCAAGAAAGACCGCAACACGTGCGATAGACGCGTCGCGCCATTGCGAAAGCAAGCCTGCGCAGCTAAAATCATGCTGCTATTTCGCGCCCCAGGCAAAAACCCGTACAGTACGCCTTTTCCCGGGAGCCATCGGGACCGAACCCATGGGCGGTTGTGGGAAGTGAATTTGGCAATAGATAGTACAAAAATCACTCAAATCCTATTTGAACGTTTAACAACGTACTGTTTTTTTGTGTATACTCTTATTTATTATTTATTGATTCGGTAGGAGACTGAAATTTTCTCAACCAACAGCCATCTGGCCCCAATCATTTGTCGATGCACGGCAAACCAACGTTCCAGCGTCAATGAAACATAACTGTAGTCCGTTATTCTCGGTTCTAAACAATGGATTTGTGGAGTGAAGCGTGGTTGCCATCGTTTTTGGCAGAAGCTTTTGCTGTTGACGATCGTATACTGACAAGGTGAGACTGAAAAAGAAAATAAGGTTTAAGCTTAGCTTAAGATCGGCCGAAGCTATCTATCTAGAAACCCTCACATTCCAGGTGTCACTGGTTGCGAGATGAATAAATAGTAAGAAGCCCAGAAGCGCTTCATAACGTATCGACACTGATTTGCATGGCAAGGAATCTGGAAACCTTGTAATAATAAAAATAGATAAAGTTTTTAGACCTTAAGTTCCCTTTAGCATACCTGACCAACTGGGGCGCACTCTCCTTTTACGTACAACTTCGCAGCAAGAGTCAGATTACAAAGTTGGAACCCTTTCACTGCTTCTTTTACCAAAACAACCCCATTACCGATGTCGTCAACTACCATGTCCTAAAATTAATACACTCGCTTTAAATATATCAAAACAAGCCTTAAAGACAAAATACTAAAAATTGCCCTACCACCAGTTCGATATTTTCACGTAGTTTCAGCTCTCCTAGAAGCTCGTGGTTTTGCCGCTTGCCAACTTTGACAACTTTATAATCTTTCCCATCTTTCAGAAGATAGTGTGGCTTCTCTAGAATAATTTAACGTAAGATTGTGAGAAAATTACCTTTATGCATCGATTTATCGCCCAAAAATAGGCCTGTAATTGGGGTTCGCGACTTATTTGCATCGTTGACATTGAAAAGATAGCAATTCGTCTTCCTTTCACCATTATATGGATTTAAGGTGCAGTCATTAAATCGAAGCTTCGAATTGGTAGCGAGAATTTGGCTTTCCTCCCTCGTTGGTAGCTCATATTCATCCATTTCCTGGATAGATTATTAATTACATATGTTTATAACGTACAAAGCTATAGGCCAAGTTTTCGTCGTTTTCCGAGGTTGAATCCGTTGTGTTCTTGGCGAATACCACAAATCCGTTTTCGTTGTTTTTAAAGAAGTATTCTCGATCCCCGCTGAGTTCAATGCGCTTTTCCCGATATGGCCATGCCTCAAATTTTCATTGTTATTTTATTGAGGCATTTAACTTACAGTCGGTCCATTCTGAAGCCAAGCAAAACAATGCCGTTCTTGACATACATACCAAAAACCCGTAATTAATGAGATCAAAAGCAGGATGATGGCGGGAAGAACAAAAATCCATAAAGGGCATCGTGTTTTCTGAAGGATTTTGTAGCTTTAAAAGTGTTTGGGAGATTTACTTCCGGGCGTGGAGCGTGGTTCTGTAATTCGTATCGCAGGAGTAATTCCGGTTCTTCGATATCACCCTCAAGCCATGAAATGAATGGCCAGTCGAGGTGGCTGATGATTTCGTGGTAGGTTACCTAAATTGATTTTGATAAAATTGGGTTAAACAACTACTAACAATTTTTATATAAATAGATTTTTCATAGAAATCTTCTGAAAAAAATGTAGTACCAAAGGGTGTTATTTAAGATAAAATTACTTTTGTACTGCGTGGAAATGGTGCCATTTTGTGAGGTATAGATATCGTCTGATTCGTACTGGTAATTTGTTCCCTATTAACACAAATAAGTGGATGAAAAACGAAAAAGTACCTGACATTGTGTAATAACCTGCATACCTCCTCTGCTGTTGAGTCATTAAGATACCTAAATATCAATTCCATGGCGTAATCGATTAAACCTGCAAACACCCACTCTCTAATAAGTTTTTCGTTTTCCGTTCGCTTATAGGTAGGGTCTGCTTCCAATTTATAAAATGGAGTCAAGAGCAGGTTGTTTTTCTGCCATATCAAACAGCGTGCATTATTTTGTTGGATTCGTTGTAACTGAAATTTGAGGCTCGCGTAGGAATATCGTCCACGCGATTGGGTGCCATTAGAACCAACTGGATCTTCTTGCTGTCTTCTAGACTGTAATACAGAATCGGGATTTAGGTACTCGTTGCCAGTTGACGATTGGATGTTGATTTCGCTTTGGCAGATTGGAGATATTGGATTCAAGGGTATTGCTAAAAATACTAAGAAATTAGGTGCTACTTCCGCTAATTTTTTTTTTATTTTTCAGCTTCTACAAGGGCCAAAAATAATTAAACTAAATTTCTTAAAAATTTGCCTTCATCCAGCAGCATCAAATTATCCATAATATTTTTAGCCCAAAAACAGTTTGGAATTAGCCGGAATCACCGCTAGCCTTGTAAACCCGTTGGAATATTCACCCAAAATGCGTCACCCCTCCCTCCCGCCGGCTTCTTCCGCACCTACCGGACGAGAGATAAAAAGCCGATGGGCCGTGTGGGGCTCGGTTTTTATCGATTGCATCAGCAGGTCGATTGGAGGAGGGGAGATGGGGGATTTTTAGTTTGACAGGAAGTGGTGAAAAAGCATGGAAACAAAAGCAACAATGGGAGGATGCAGAAAGTGATCGCGGGTTATGAAATTTGATGGAAAAATAATATTTGTTGAGTTTCATTTTAGGGAAACTGAGTCTATAATGCTTTCTGAGATTTTGCGGTTATTACAAGGAGGGGACGAATTTGGGTGATAGTAGAGTTCATGCTCATTTAAATATCAGCTCAGCTCATGCTCCATGCTCAGCTTGTATATGATTTTATGGAACCTGAAATTCTCCAGAAAGTATTTTAATCAAAAACTACTACACTATTATGGTTTCAGAAAAACCACCTAAATGCTTCATTTTTGTTAGAGGAGAACGAAAAATTGCAGAATTAGCGGCTAATTAGCAAATAATTTTAATATTTCCGATTTTAAGGAGATTTTTCCCTTAATACTCCTTCAGAAACCGAATTCCCCATTCTAATCAAGTACAAAATTCACCAAAACGCGACCGGTCGCACTCGCTCGACTCGCTTTTTGAGCACTTTTTTTTGGGCAAGCGCCCCGTGTGTGAGTGACCTGATCAGATTTCAGGCGGCAACATGGGGCTCGTGTCTAGCGTCCAGCCAAGCGCGAAATCGGTTCTAAAGGAGTGGGGAACATCCACTATCTCACGCCACGCGGCCTGGCCGAAAAAAAAGTGGCCTGTAGTCTGGCAGGTTAAAAAAAATGGTTGACTGGTGTTGTTGCGAATTAGTAGGGTTGAAAAGTGCTTTGGACGTGTATTTGAAAGTACAATACCGAATTTTCGGCATATACAATACCAAAAAAAACAGCAGCTTTTTCCTATATGATTTTTTCAGGTTCCGGTCATTCTTCTTCCGCCCTGCTACCCATGACACATCCTTCGCTCCTCCGCTCCGAAACTCCTCCTAACAGTCCCTCCCCAAACCCCACCTATGTACAACCTTGGCCGCCCGGTCTACCCTAGAAGAGCCTCATAAATGCTGGAATGAGGTGGAGAATGAGGAGGATGAGTCCTCCTCCCTAAATCTCACGCCATCCGCCTCCTCCTGCTTCTTTTCCCTCTTTTTCACCACCTCCACATTTCAAAGCTCCGCCCACATTCGACCGAAAGATTACGATATGAGCCCGAGGGAGCGGAGAGGGTGAGGAAGGGGAGGAGGAGGTTGAGCTTCCACAGATCAGCTCGATCTCCTGGGCGTACATAAAGGGGGCTGAGGGCCTGGGGTCCATCATTTCATTTCAAAGAATTGCAATAATAATTCCTGTAGGCGACTAATTTTTTTATTGCTGTTTTCAAGATTCTCCATACAATCTGAGTTTTACTATAAAATTTATTAATTGGATTTGAAGAATTTTAGACTAGCTGGAATATATTTGACGATATCTAAGCGCGATATTGAACTTTCCGTTAAAACACGAATTAGAAGCACACAAATTTGCATAGCGAAAAACATTTAATTGATTTATTTGATAAAACCACCAAGTCGCTGAACAAACCGTTGATTTACCCTTCATCAGCACTTCGTTTTCTATAACACAACAAATCTACCGTAATCTCAAAATTACCATTCACCGGAACTTCCGGTCCCCTCGATCTGCCCAAAATTCCCCTCATCCTGTCATTCTCTCCCTGCAGATGGCTTCCGTGCGGTCGTCTCGCTTGGGCCCCCTCCTCCTGCTCACCCTCTTCTTCGTGGCCGGGCAATCGATGGATCTACAGGTATGCTAATTGGCTTGGATTATAATTAGTTGTGTTTTAACTCTTGGAATGCTAATTAGTCGTATGTAAAGTGCTGATTTTAATGTTCGTTTTGCAGCACTGGCAATGCGGCAGCGAGGCCTTCACCAAGAACTTCTCCTACACCCTCGTCCACAACGACTGTCCGGCCATTGCGGGTATAACAACATTTACTTGTTTTAATTGGAGCCTGTAGTAATTAGCCATAGCTGTAGTTGTAGTTGTAGCTCGAGCTTTGGTAGCAGTGAGTAGGGATTACGGTAATAGGTTATCCGTAATGGGGCGTCTACAACCTAATAGTGCCCGGGTGCTAACGCGGAGATAATTTGAATACAATGGCATTTTACAAACAGCATTCCTCCAAATTCAAATTACTTTAATCTATCGTATACGAATGGAATAAGCAAACCGTGGTCAGAAACAAACGAACGTGCTCAAAAACTAATTAAACTAATTATGCAAAACAAGCGAGCAAAGAGCTTTATTCGGTTTTGGCGTATTCAAGTCAATATACAAAATTTAAATTTAATTCAATTTAAATTCAAACTAATCGGGCATTTTTCTCAACAGATTTTTTATGATTTTTACCTTTTTTACCTACCCTACCCCAAAACTCACCTTTACCGAATTTTTTAAAAAAGCAAAATGCCTCCGGACCCTTGGGGGCACCGCTATTAAGCGTCATTACTATGTATACCTAGACACGAAGATTTTCGATCTTCCCCGCCCGATTTTAGTAGAGCCCCGCTTTGCCTTCAGTGGTCCTTTAAAACCCCCTAGCCCAACCATGCACCCGGTTCCGCCAAACAACTCGGCACGTAGATCAGTTCTCCTGTACCCAACTTTTTCCCTGTTTTCCATCCTCTACCCCCCACGTGGCGGTCAATGGGAAATGAGCCAAAGAATTCCATCTCCTTTCCGGAACGGGTCATAAGAAATGACAATTGACGTGACCTCAACCGGATCAGGTTACCAGCCCCCCGGCCGGGTGTCTAGCAGGGTCCAAATTGTGACACCTTCCAAACAGCCAGCCGGGGTTTTTGCAACATTGGGAGGAGATGATTAGGAAAAAGTGGCACCACCCGGTGCTTGGTTGGGTTGAGGTTGAGGAAAGTTTGAGGGGCTAGCTGTAAGGTTTTTGAGGTGGACAACTTTTAGGGAAGCAAGGGTTGCTGATAGGGATGGACCCCAATTACTAAAAATAAAAGTATCCTATATTAATAAAAGTTAATGGCTATAGGATATGTATGAAAATTCACCGACAACGAGAAATTTATCGAGTTTTTAACACTTAAAATATTTTCAATAGATTTGAGCATTCTAAAAAATCATTAAACTACATTAGGTTTTATTACCAGGCGGAAATACAAAAATTATTCCCCCCCCCCGCTAACAGTCGAGTCCAGTACGATATAATTTGAAATATTTTAATGATTTTTAATATACAGTCTAGCTTTATTTTAGCTTATTTAGTTTTTTATCTTAAAAAAACTAAAAATCAAAAGTTTCGGTTGAAAATAAATTTGTATTTTTTTATTAAAAAGTTTAGCATTCTCTATGACCGATAATAAAAAGCCGGTTTAGAAAAATTCCCCTAAAATCTAGCCTTCATGACTGCACTGTGCAAATCCCATTTTTCAACTCCATTCACAAAAATTCATGAAACAGAAAACGTTTTTCCTAGAAAAACATTTCGTTGAAGGCGCACATGCTTCCGGCGAAAAGCATGCACCCCATTTTCACCACACTTAATGCAAAATCCATTAATCGAAAAAACAGCGGTCATGTGGGAGCCATTAGTGGGGTTGGACGGGTAGAAGGCTTTTAAGAATCAAGATAAATGCTTTTAAAAAAAACATGAAAAATGCTTTGCCAATAATTTAAAAATTTTTATTAATTTAAACTTTTATTAAAATTTTTTTTATTAATTTTAAAATTAATTTTATTTGTTCAAAGCATTCAACTTTCTTACAGGCGATCTCAACCATTGCTGCGTGGTCCACGACGACTGCTACGTGAAACAGAAGGGCCAGGAGTATTGCGACAAGGTGTTCTGCGATTGTACTACGGTAGTTTAACTTCAAAATTTGAAATTGATTTTTTTTAGTACGTTCTACACGGGCTGGATGCTGAGAATTGCCAAAGCTATTCGGATACGACGTGCTTGATGATGCCATTTTTCGGGAGTGTCGCCTACGAGAATAGCTACAATTGGACTCGTGAGTTTTCGGGCTTTAAAGGAAATCGAAGTTAAATTATTTTGGCTTCAACCGTACTTTAACCTTCTTTTTCAGCCCCGGCAAACATGCTTCACCTTCGCCCGCCCGGTGCACTGATCCAGCCGTTCGATCAACTCTACAGTGCTTGTCCTGATGTTTCTAGTACGTTTTAAAAAATATTTAATTTTTAAATAGAAAAATTCAAGTTTTTTATTAACTGAAATCTAGCTTTTATTTATATTTTTTAACTGAATTAATTATTAGTCTTAATTTCCCCTTTTGCAGCCGTACTCTCCTCGTGCTCGTACAACTACATCGAATGCGGCTTCTCCGGCAAGGGCATCATGAACTGCGGCCGAGATTTGAGTCGCTGTATTACGGTATATTTTTATATTTCATTAATTAATTTAATAATTATAAACTTTGAAATCTTTTATCATATCTTTTCCAGACGGCTACTGCTGAGATTGGTGGCCACTGCGCGGTGGAGACGGAGCGAATCTCGGATATTATCAAAAAAGGTATGGGATTCTGGCCTGGAAATTGTAATAATATTTTGTTTTCCAGAAACCTACCGCTTCTTCGATCTCACCGACTCATCCAACATGTATCTACTGAAGATGGGATTGCTGGTGTTTGTGGTCGGTTTTGAAGAAGATGAAGTGCGGGAGAGAGACGAGATCTTTGAGGAAGGGAGGGCAGGCTAGCAGAGAGCTTCGAGTTAAGGGACAAGCTAGCAGAGATCATTGAGAAAGAGGAGGGCAAGCTAGCAGAGATCTTTGTGGAAGGTCAAAGCATGCTATCGGAGATCTTTGAGGAAGGGACGGGCAGGCTAGCAAAGATCTTTGAGGAAGGGGAGGGCAGGCTAGCAGAGATGATTGCGGAAGAAGGGGCAGGCTAGCAAAGATTTTGGGGGACGATGATGACAATCTAGCAGAGATCTTTGAGGGAGAGGAAGTCGTCTAGCAAAGATTGAGGAAGGGGAGGGCAGGCTAGCAGAGATCTTTGACGAATAGAAAGGCAAGCTGGCAGTCCTTTGTGGAAGAGAAGGGCATGCTAGCAGAGGTCTTTGTGGAAGAGCAGGGCAGGCTAGCAGAAATTTCTGAAGATGCTCCGGGTTGTACGGCTCTGGTCCATTAGCGGGGGGTATCGGAGGGGAGGCCTCGCTCGCTCCCGTTTCGCTCTCCCCGTTAATGAATAAGAACCGTTAATTTACGGAAAATCTACACGACAACATTAAAAACCTCTTTTCAGATCGTGTTCATCTTCTTCTCGCTGTTCACACTGCTCTACCGGCACTACAATCGCTGGGTGCTGAATTCACGCGGATCGATGGAAGACATCAAATACCAATCTGTCTAGTGCCATTTCCCCCCCCTGTCTTTCCCCTTATTAACCCCCAGTCACTCAATCGTTCTAACCCCTCCCCCCCTAGTTGCACAGAATTCGAGATGATTTCTAGGATACTGTAGCTTCTAGAAAATTTTGAACTTCTATTGGCAAGTAGTCAGCTTGGACCCAAAAGTCTAACTTCTGGCTATTTGCCAAGAAAGCGGAAAAATCCGAAATTGATGTTGGAAAAGACAAAATAAAACAAAAAATTTCTCGTCCTTTGTGCAACAATCTTATATATACATAGAATACAGCGTATTCACGATTGACCAATTAATTGTATTTGTTGTGATCTCATTTAAGTAGTAAGTATTAAGTATGGAGTAGCATGGTCTGCTGTCTATACTTCTCCATTGATTTATGTGTGTGTATTTAAAATGTGTGAATAAACATGAAATATATTTGAAAGAAGGACAGGCCACAGAAAAACACAAAATTATTTCGAGTGGAAGAAAGACTTATTTTAGGTTTAGGTTTGGGCTTGGATGTGGGCTTAGGCTTAAGCTTAAGCTTGGTTTTGGGCTCTAACAGGTTTATAAATGCACCAATCTCAAAATCTTTATCCCAGTTTCAAGCACCAAATTCTAGGCATCAAAAAGCATTATATTCCGGGTTCCATTTAATTTCTGAGGCGAGGTAGCTGACGTTGAGGGCTAAATTATAATTTTCTATCGTCTGCTTGTGTTAAAAATCACCTAGCTTCATCCATGCGCAGCAAGCCTTGATTGTACTTAAAAGCGAGCTTCGCAAAATCTTGGCGAAGCCGTTCAGGGATCCCTTGACTTGAGAAAACCAAGTCGGCGCGACTGAACGTCGACGTTTTCTAAATATTAGTGATATTATTAGTGGTTTTTGAAGCCATACTTTACTGGCCGCTAACGCAGGTGCTCCATTATTGATCGAAATAAAAAAATACAGTAATGAGCCAATAAATAGTAAACATATAGCGTAAACCTTATGTCTCGGTTCCATAGCGATTCGACGAAAATCGGATGGGAAGGAAGGTTTTCGAAAGAATTACACATGGTGCTGTCAATTGCAGTATTTGCGAAATAAGTTGTCCGGGGATGCGGATCAGGCGATGTCGATGGGAGTGTCATGTAGGGATCTAGAATTTTTGAGGATTTCTGTCTCTCTCTCTCTCTCTCTCCCTCTTTCTCTCTCTCTCTCTCTCTCTCTCTCTCTCTCTCTCTCTCTCTCTCTCTCTCTCTCCCCTCTTTCTCTCTCTCTCTCGCTCTCTCTCTCTCTCTCTCTCTCTCTCCTTTCCAATAATTAAGGGAGGCTCCGGGGCTTCAAATTGCACTTGAAATTGCCAGGTACGAGTTTCATGAACTTTTAAATTTTTCGAAGAGTAGCCTGGAAGATGTCAATCGATTAATAAGATTCACACGTTCACAAAACTTGTGATTCCTATTTTCAGCTTTTCCCGGGCAAATTAATTTTTGCAATGTTCACACGTTTCTTAGGGAATGTCGTACAATCCTTGGGGCCCCAGAACTTGGCCCTTTTTAGATTCCGAATTTCTTGCAAACTTCCAAGCTCAATTGCAGAGGCGCCAAGCTTTGCGGGTTGCCGATTTGTGTTGGGAGCTCGGGGCTGTGCGAGTGGCCGGAATCTGATTTCCGGAGCCTGGGGGTGGGATCTGGAGCTCACAAACATGGGGTGGGTGGGTCTTCCTTTGCCTAAAAAGTGCCCCTAACTAGGGGACCGAAGGGTCCGCGACCCGTCAAGAAGTCTCAACATGCTATCTGGGTATTGGATCTGGGTTGCTTTTTTAGGGAAAGCACATCTTATGGGTGTTTTGGTTTTGCGTTTCTCAATTTTCTGGGTATTTTCACTTTAAAAAATTGAATTTTTCTCGTTTTTGTTGGTTTGTAGAATTTTCGATGAAAGTAAGTTAAGTTAAGTTTTGTAGCGCTCACTATAAAAGTCGAAACTTGCCGCCAAATGAGGATGAAAATGATGATTCTTTTTGTAAGTCCATATTCTATAATGTGGCGTTATAAAGAATAACCCAAGGCAAAAAAAGTCGTTGTTTATACTTTACCAACCCCTTTAAAAACCTGCTCACTCCACTTCCCCCCACTCCCAAAATCCAATAAGCTAGTGTGTGCATCGCCGACGACCAATTTTATAGTCGTATCCGTTCTGTCCATATATATTGGATGATCGGCTGTCCAAATAGCCACTTCAACGGGGCGCGTGTGCCCCGTTTTCAACTCGGCATCGCTTACAATTCCTGATTTACCTGGGCATGCTAAATTCACTGCAAAATGGGGCGGCCGCGCTGAAGCAGAATATGTTTGGGGGTAAGTTAAGAAAATATATCAAAGGTTTTTTGTTTGCTAAGTTGATATGTTTTTATTAGCGATTTGACTGAAGAAAATAAATTTCTTTTGGATCCGCAAAAGGGGAGTGAAGATATCTCTTTTGCGGCTCTTCTGATTGCCAAGTCATTGAATAACTAATCTGCAGGAGAGTGAGGGGGTTTTTTGCGATCTTGCTTCTCTCAGATTCACCGATTTGCACGGATAGACTTACTAGATTTTTTTCCTAGCTATTTTTGTTATATAACTTGCAGCCATTAGATTTAGTTTTCAGCTACTAATTTGCAAAAATATGGAACATATGAAGGTTTTGATATAATTATCCTAGGCTATAATTAGCCACCCAAGTTCACGGAAAGCTTTGGAAAATTGGCAAGCTATTATACATTTTGACGTCGAAAATTTACAATTTTCGGTTTTTGAAGGGAAAACCCATGAAAATGTCACAATTATGAGTTTGTAAGCAGTGATTTAACCAGAAAAAGCTATGAAAGTTTTACTAGCTTTTTTCTAACAATTTTCGATAAGCCTTAACGTTGTAAATTGACGATTTGGAGCTTTTGAGCTAGAAAAAGCGTCAATCTGGCTTCTTTGAATTTGCAAGCATTATTTAGCCAACACATCAGGCAAAAAAACGGCAGGTGAAATCAGCGATCAGCAATTTGCTCGTTAAATCCGAGCCCAAGGCTCCCCTCTTTGGCAGACCTTCCATCGGCACTTTGTGTTATTTCGTTGTTGCATTCGGATGTGCGGGCGATTTGGTTGCGGGCCCCCAGGGCGGCGAGTAGTGTTTGATGGGCCCTCTGAGAGGGTATGTGTGTGGGCCCTCGTAGGGGCCATCGATCTGTAGGGGCCAAGAGGCCCTTGTCGTGGTGGCCCACAGAGGCCAGTCTCTCGCTTGCTATCTTTTCCGGGCTCTCTCTGCATCTCTCTCTCTCTCTCTCTCTCTCTCTCTCTACCCCCTTTTACGGGAAGCCCCCCGGCTTTTTTGGGGGTTTGTGTGTATGTGGTGGAATGCCAGTATCCGCCTCTGATTGTCCGCTGCCGCCCATCCTCCCGCCGCGCGTATTTCAGCCCTGAAAAAGCGCCGAAATTTGCCCTTCAACCCGGCCAGGGCCCACAGGCTCTTCTACCCGCCCATTTTACCCTCAATCTGGGGCGTCTTTGAGCCTGAGATACGGCCGGCTTCGATTCTGGACCTAGAATTTTAAATTCATTTTTGAATTCTTTCGGATTCCAATTTCGGTGATAGCTTCGTTAAATAAAATTTGGGGTTTAGGTGTTTTTATTTTTTTTACTTTGCCCTTTAGAGGCTTTAATATTTTTAAAATCTTAAAAAGAAATTCGAAATCTAAAAATTTAAGGCTTTGAGTGCCGTGGAACTCTAATCTTAGGTTTAGCAATGATTATCAATTTATGATAATTTTAAACTGGTAAAAACCTCGATTCCCTTCTGCACCTCCTTCCATCCCATTCACGAATACGCAAAAAATCGCCGCCATCCCTTGCACATAAGCCGCTTTTTGTTGTTTTCTTTGGCTCTCTTGCTCTTTCATGCTTCCTCTCTCCCTCCCCCATGGCACCTTCAGAATTTATTACCGTTCCCCTTAAGCATTCAGGCACGAAAGGGCAGAGCTAATTCTTTAATTTAGCGCTTTTAAGCTATAAAAGATTTAAATCGAAATGTCTGCTTGTAATGTTCTGGTTTTATGCGCTATAAATCTGGCGCCTAGAGTCTCAAATTCCCATCTTAATTATTAAAAATTATTTTAATTAATTAATAATTTAATTAATTTAATTAATGCTAGGCGGTCACGCTCAAAAATTAGATGTAAAAAATTAAAAACTCGTATTTGATTTTTACCTAATTTTATATTTATGAAAATTATACAATCCCTCAATGTATTTTAATAGATTTTATATGGACAATAAGTACGAGCTCCGGAGCCCCAACTCCGATCTTAATTCAAAGATTAATCGTGAATTTCAAGCATTCTCCTAAAAATTATGTAAATTCTAGGGCCCCATTATTTCGCTTAATTTTATGCCCAATAAATTTTGTGGATGTGGATGACGAGCCCGTGCCCCCTTTAATTCCCATCTTAATTAATTTATTTGAAGCCGAAGAGAGGGGCTGTGGATGTTGACGGGAGAGATTTAGGGGGGATGGCGGCACGGCCAAGGGACCCCACCCACCCGAATTTGGCGTGGGAAAAAATCGGAGCACGGGCTGGCTGCTCGAGATTTGTAGTTGTTGACTGGTCACACGCCCAATTTCACCCCCGGGGATTTCTGGGCTTTTGAGATTGGCGGAAGGGGGTCGCGTATATGAGTAGTCGGGCGGAAATCCTTGATGTGTATGTTTTGGTTTTGTTTTCGAGGATCGTTGGAGCTATGGATTTTAACTCTTTTTTGGGGCTTTGTACGTAAAATAATTTTTTTTTCCAGAGTAAATTGAGGCAGGTAGATAAGGTGATACCGATATGTGATACTGATATTTCTGTGTGAGCTCGTTTTTCCGGTTCTTGTCTGCTAAATAATTGCTTGAAATTTTTATAGTAATTTTATAATGTTGTTGTTCGGTTTCTTCGCTTTAAATAGTCGTCTAATTTAAACTCGCAGATGGTTAGGATTTTCATAATTTTAAGAACCCGGTCAAAGTAGAGATTTTTATATTTTCAGTGATTTTGTAACTTTAAAGTGGCTGTGGAAGTATAAGGGTATCAAGAAAAACCGCCTTTCTGGCCAAAAAAAATCGTATGCCGCGTAACCCACCTTTCCGATACCTTTATCTACCACAACGCCTCCAATCCAGCACCAAAATGTCCAAAATTCCATTTTTTGGTTTTTGTTTTTGCATATTATTGGGGCAAAGCAGCGCTGCCACTCAAAAATTTTAAATTCTCCTTATGCCACCTTTCCGATACTTTTCACTACCACCCGAAGTACTGAAAATTCGAAAATTGCTCTCTTTTTGCATAGCCACCCCGGGTTTGTTGGCTGTCATCGGAAGGGCTGGTGGAGGGGAGGGGGGCCCGGTTCCCATTTCAGTATGTGAGGGGAAGAGAAGGCAGGGCAGGGCTCTGGGAATTTGATAATTAGGCCGATGGCTAGAAGGGCCATGCACAAAAAAGGAGAGGAGGAAGGGGGGAAGAAGGCTTTTGGGGTGGGGGGATACCCCCCCTGACTGCTGCGATATACTCTCCTCAGGCTGCTATCCATCATCTCTAATGCCTCGCACACCGCTTCAGCCAATACCTTCATCTATAGGGAAGGGGTGGGGGGTAGAGGAGGGCAAAAAATGGGACCTAAAGTGGCCGGGGCACTTTTTAGAATTTATGCGTTGCGGGGTTGAGGTGAGGGAAGGGGGAAAGTGCTCGATTCCAATTTGGTTTTAAATTTTTGTGGGGTCGTAGATACGTAAATTGGTTTGGACCGTTACTGGAAATTCAGAATGCAATTGCGCACCTGAATCTCGGCCTTATTATTATCACTGTGCTCAATTTAAAACACGCATTCCATACCCAAAAAAATATCATTGTTTTCATTTACAAACCCACCAACTTCTCTCCTATTTTCCAACAATTTTTTGACTCCTTCCCATCCCAGACACTCCTCATTAAATAACCCATAATTCCCCTTGCATTTTCAGGCATGTCCCTCACCAAGAAAAAAGAAGATGAAAAGGAGAAAAAATTCCTCGGCCGCCTTTCCTACAAACTCGACTATGATTTTGACAAAAATGCATTAACGGTCACGATAATCCAAGCCGAAGAGCTGCCAGCCATGGATTTGGGAGGGACATCAGGTTGGGTTTGGGAATTAAAAATATATATATGCTGATTTTATAGATCCATACGTGAAAATCTTTTTGTTACCGGACAAGAAGAAGAAGTTCCAAACGAAGGTCCAGCGGAAATCGTTGAATCCGGTTTTTAATGAGAGCTTTACGTTTAAGGTATGATTTTACGTCAAAAGTTAATTTTGTTGTTTTTGATTGGGCCGTTTTTGTCAGAATTTTCTTTAAGGGGATCAGGAAGACTTACATAAATTAGAATAAAACAGCTTTTAGTTGTAAAATTTGCAGAATCTATCTGTTTCCTCTCACCTGGGCCCTGTCTTTCTCTCTCTCACTAACTCTCTCTCTCTCTCTTTCTCTCACTCACTCACACTCACACACATACACACACATTCTCTCTTTTGTTGATTTGCATAGCGTTTCCGGTTGACTATTTGTCCTTTATAAAGGAGACCTGGTTTAAACCTTTCCCTTTAAACTGAATTTTACTATGAAAATCAACAAAAAATTCATGGGATTTGTGAGGTCTTCTAGTCCTGAATTGACACAATCAGTATCTCCCCTTTCGAAACGTTCACATCCGCCAAAAATTTGATTTTCCGCCGACTTCTCCGATCCCCCGGGGGCAGCTAGGATTTGTTGTGGGAACATCTTTGACCAATCGCCCAATCCCAATTCCATCCCAATTCCCTAGCACCAATTTTTCCGGCAAGACTCCGGGGGCAGAAGCCACAAAAAGCCGATTTTTGGAATGCGAAATGTCCGGGGGGTCGTGGACAACAATCCGTCGGGGGCCCCTGAATATTTTAGCCGGCTATTGAAAACGTGGATGGACGTCGTCGGGCGAAAAGTCGGGGGGGCTAAAAAAGTGACGCGTGGCAACAAAATGACAAATGACTGACATGGGGAGGGCCAAATGTTAATTAGTCACAAGTGGGCCAAGGGGATTCGTGCTAATTCAATGGTGGTTCTCCATATTGGTCGTTATTTGGAATTTCGAGCAAAATGACTTAGGCCTAATTCTAAGCTTTAATTTAAACTTAGCTAGCTTCAGCCTAGAAAAGCCTAAACCTAAGCATACCATTCAGCTTCCCTACAACGAGGTGGCCGGACAAACACTCGTGCTCAACGTGTTTGATTTTGATCGATTTGGAAAGCATGACCAGGCAAGCTAGCAAAGATCCTTTGGGACTATGGTTAATGCCTATCTATCTAAAATTATATAAGCTTAAACCAAGTTTTTAGATAGGCCAAGTCTCAGTACCACTCGGCCGGATAGATCTGGCAACGACAATTGAACAAACGATGGCCATCGAGAGTCCGCCGGTATGTATCAACTTTAAGTAGAATTTCACTAATTTTGATAATTTTTATTTTAATTTTTTATAGCTTATTGAGAGTGTTGGGATTTCCTATTAAGATAACTATTTTTCTTATTTCCAGCACGCAAAGGCAAGCCATATAAATGTTAACCCCGGTGTCAAATATCCATAGCTTCACCCCCGGTTTTTCATAGATTTTTGTGGGCTTAGAATAACGCTTTTTAAGGCTATAAATAAACCTTTAACTTTGTATTGCAGGAAAATCGGCTTGGTGAGGTTTGCCTAGCGCTTCGATATGTGCCCAACAAGAACAAGTTGTCTGTAGTGGTGATGGAATGTAAAAATTTGAAGAAAATGGACGTGTTAGGATTGTCGGGTATGTTGAATCGAACTTTGAATTCTTACGGACCCTAATTTTCAGATCCCTATGTGAAGATCTATTTAATGATGCAAAATAAGCGGTTGGAAAAGAAGAAAACGACGATCAAAATGAAGACGCTGAATCCGTACTACAACGAATCGTTCAGTTTTGATGTGCCGCCGGAGAAGATGCAGGTTTGGTGTTCTCAGTTTTTATTAATGGTTTTAATGATTTAAGAGGGTGCATTTGCACGTGATCGTTTCGGATTATGATCGCGTTGGTTCGAATGAGAGGATTGGTCAGGTGAGGGAGCCTTGAGGAGGGGGCAACGAATTTCCGGCTGATGAATTTCCGGTAAAACGGTGATGTGTCTTTCTGGAAAATTTGGAGAGATTAGGTTAGGAATTTAAAGGTTGAAAATCAAAGTCTAGAGTGCAAAAAACTTTTCAAAGTTCGCTATGGCCTTTAAAAACAAAAACGCAACCTATTGGTAGTTACTATAAGTGCAGCAACGGGACCGCGTTACATCCGCCAATCGGTTACGCGATTAAATTCCTCACTCAAGGAACTGCCCCTTTAAAAACAAAAAAAAACGCAATTTATTGCTGGTTTCCCCTCAACAACAATTCACAACCCTCCGTCTTTAGGTGCTCATCGGGAACAACGCAAACGGTGTCGCCCTAAAACAATGGCAAGACATGCTGGCCACCCCGCGAAGATCCGTCGCCCAATGGCACACACTGCTCCCCTTCGGCGATGATTAAAATTATCCAAACCATCCTCATTTATTTTTTCGATATTTCACTCCCTATCCACGTCAAAGTACTCTCCGCTCGCTCATATCAACTGTCAACAAAACAAAACACGTTTCACTAGTCAGGAATCTTGGGGTTGACTACCCTCTTTTAGTGGCCAAATTCTTTCAATGTTTATTTAATTTTCCCCCTCTGTATTCCGGTGAGTCAAAAATTTGTGGTATTTTATTTCCCATAAAATAGGTTCTTTCATGATGCTGAAAAGAGGGGATTTTTCGGTGGGGTTGGGTGAAGCATTCAATATACGCGACGTGACCGCCACGCGTTCATCCAGCCTTTCTGTTAGAGCCCCTTTAATCCCTCCCTGTGCTTGTCGATACTTGTACATAGCGTTTGGCTCGGCATTTTCACATTTATTTTTATTTTCTCTCCTTGATTTACACATATGATTTACATATTGTCCCGGACAAGGTCGCTTTTGTTGGAACAAAAGAATGGATAAATTATATAAAACGAGTGGCGTGCATCGTATTGGTTTTTTGGTTTTACAGCCGGCCGGCCAGTCATGGCCGACTGCTGAGGAAACAGGCTATAAAATTCGCATATAGGAGCCGATGCTTCCGGAGGTTATAACAACGTCTTTTTACTACTAAATTTAAGGCTTAAACTCAGCTATGTTAGATTTGGATAAGGTTTTAAATCGAAATAGTCGTAAAAAACTATCTAAACTGCTTCTTTCTTGCAAAACCTGTTTCTTCAGGCAATTTTAAGCGTAATTTTAGAGTTGTTAGCCTAAAAAAATATTGTTTGATGTAGTAATATTTATTAATAGTAATATGTGTATCTTAATTTAATTTTACTATACCTGCATACGTTAAATTCTCGACATTCTGAAACCATTCCTTGAGCCATTCTTGAACCATCAATATGATTTTTGCCTTTTTATTGCAAACCTAACACTTTCCACCTAATTGCTAAACGACAAAAAGTAATGAGATTTTCTTCTTTCACCTTTTTCACCACCACCCCCCGATTTTCCATTGGGGGGTATGTGGCACATGACCTTGAATCGGGCGGCTCTCAACTCAAATTGGAAGCCTTTTTGATAATTGATTCTTATTGGGCAGCCGGGAATTCAATTACGCCTCCCAACTCTATGCACCCAATTCGAAAATAGTTTAAAAATAGACACCTCTAGCTCTAGGGATCTACAAAAAAATCAGGTACGTTTTTAAAGGAACCATGAAGTCAAGATTAACCCTAGATTGATTTTGTTTTGCTTTCCAAACCCTTTTTAAAGTTTTTTTTACTCTAGAATGCCCTCCCTTCCCAACCCGTTCTCGCCAAATCTTCTTGTATTATTCATGGGAGCGGCTGTTATTGCCTGGAGCGTCTCGGAATTAAAATCTATGCAATCGGAGCTTGCTGTAGCCCTAACTACCGTACTCCAATTGGCGCATCTACAACAGAATTCCGGGTTGGCTGGCAGATAAATAAAAATATGAAAAATTCAGAAATTCTGCTCCTAGCTCCCAGAAACCAATCGCATATATTGATGGGCATGGAGAGAATGTAAATTTATTTTTATTCGATAAATTGAGTAAACTTTTCTAGCCTGAAAATGGATATATGATGCACATTTTTGAGGTGTTTCGTATGATGGGTTATGAAGTTATCACGGGTAAGTTAATTTTATTTAGGAAAATATAAAAGATCCTAATCAATGTACAAGTACATTAATCACAAGAAATACTTCTTAAATTAGCTCTCCCAAAAGTCAAAAATCATCCAAATTAAATCAAGGTAAACCTACGCCCGGGACATATTGGGATGTAATGTGGACGCATGAATACCCCTGGACAAATGAGATTTATAGGTGATTTTCGTTACTTCAAAAACTTAAATTTTTTTTGGCTTAGTTGGGTCCTGCATTAATTCTATATTTTCAATATTTTTTATTTTAGCGCTCACGTGGGAATGGCAGGGTCGGATCAAATAATTAACCACGTCCCTGGCTCCGGTTATTATACAAGTAAGGCGAGTTTTAGTTAAGACACATTTTTTTGATTTATGCAATTTCAAAATTTAATAATTTTTTTAGAAATACATACTGATTTAGTTTTAATAATTTCAGGTTGCACTGGCCACGGCAAACACTACCTTCGGTGTCCCACAAGCCTTTCAGCTTCCCGATAAAAAAGAAAAGTTCTTAAAGATCGCAAAAGTTTGCATTAATGCATTTTCCAATATATCAATATTTAAGGAAAACCCCGATTGGCTGTGGGTCCAAAAAGACAATGCCCATCGGAATATCGTCATCAAACCACTGGAGGAATTGGATTTTGACAAGAAGGAGAGCTTCATACAAAAATTTGTTGCAAATCCATTTTTAATCGACAATCGGTAATTAATTAATCAACCTAATACACACTACTTAATATTTTTTAGAAAGTTCGATATAGGGATTTATACCGTAATAACGTCTATAAACCCGTTGAGGGTATATGTTTATGATGAGTATTTGATACGGTGGGTTAAATCAAGTAATTTTGTTATTTATAATATGGGTTCTGCCCAGAGGACTATAATCCATTTGATATTAAAAATGTTGATAAGTATGTTGTGGGTGATGATTATACACCTATATGGGAGGTATTAAAGTTTTTTAATTAGTTTAAAAAATCCAGATTCCATCCCTTAAAAACGATTATACCGACAAAAAGTTTGGATTCAAACGGACACTTGAAAAATATATCAGAAAAATCGGGAAAGACCCAAGAAAAGTTTGGGCAGATATTCGAAGGACAATTGCTGAGGTAATGGAACCTAAATTACCATAGAGAGCAATATTTTTGATAGGTTTTCCACCATCAACAACTAAAAATGCTATCCTCAATTGAATTCATGCCCGTCAAAGCCAGATTCTTTGAATTAAGCCGATTTGACTTTATTCTCGACGAAGATTTAAATGTTTATTTAATGGAGGTAAGTCTAACTGATTATGCCACTGTATTAATATAATTTCAGGCAAACATGTCCCCAAATCTCTCTAGCGGCCATTTTAAGCAAAATCAAGTGCTCTACGAGCAGGTTTGAGGCTTTGCGAAAACCAGCATAGATTCAGGTCTTGCAAAACATTCTATCGTTGGCAGGCGTGGGTAGCCACCTTGAATTACAAGCTCAACGATATTTAAGGTTGGCTTAGATCTTAATAAAAATAAAATGTTTATTTTTAGAAGTCGAGGCGGCCTTTTGAACTCTGAAGTATCTGATCGAGATTTATCGCTGGATTTTGTAGAATGTGGCGAAGCGAAATGCGAGAAGTGTGATGGAGACCCGGTTTGTAGTTTCTAGTCTGTACTTTAAGAACGCAGACGTTAAACTTTATGGGTTTTATAGATTTGCCGACTCTGTGCCCAATGTATCGATGACAAAATGATTTCGGCGTTACGAGAAACTGAGCGCGAGCATCTTTCCCGTCGCAATATGGTCCGTATCGATTTTTCTAGCAAAAATGAGGTAATACCCCGATTGTCGTGCTATTTGTACTATTTTTATCATAGAAAAACACGGCCGAAGATCTCCTGCTCCACCATTGGCTCCTAAAGAAATGTGAACAACGCGCGGATTGGTGTAACGTGTAGTTTGTGGTTTATTCGGGTCGATAAATCAGAGATAAATTTGTATAAAGTGATAAATTTGTTGTGCAAAATTAGGTTCCAATGAGTCCAAACGTCGATCCGAGTACGATACCTTCTAGGGTGCCCTTGAGGAAGCCTTTCAGGGGTGAGAAATGGTGTTTTTCTCGTATGGGCGCGTAGGCATATTCAGGAGGGCCCTGAACTCTAGCTAAATTTTAGGAGTTATTTAGCTTACATATACATAAGTCGGACGATAGGCAGGAACCAGCCGTGGTTCGATTAAATATTCTCGATCGTAGTCTCGGGGTGGTAGTGGGGGAACCTTAATTTTGAATTATTTAATTTTAAATTTATTTTTTAGAGACTCAAAAATTAAGTTGACGCCTTAATATTAGATTTTGTGGAGTTTTCGGGGGGATTATGCAGGATTTCAGATATTTTTTAAGGAATAGCTGATAAATCGATTATGGCCAATTTACTTACCTCACGACTCAACAGAGATCGTTCTCGAATTCCTAGGGGGTAGGGCTCTGGGATGGGCTGTGGGAGTAGTGGCATACTTTCGTAGGATCCGCGAGGTTCCTGAAGAAGGGATAGTACTAAAAATAAGAAAAAACCTACAAGGTATCGGGGAATTTGTGGTGGAGGTTTTCCATAAAGTGGCGTGGCGTAGGGAGGAGCGGTGCGGAATGCAAGGGCGGCCTAAAGGTAATTTTCCGATTTTTTTTTGGCAGTGTCTTTTGGTATTTTTTAAGGATCTAAAGCTGGAATACAAGTTATGTTTGGAGATTCCACTATTTAATGATATTTGAAAAGCTGAAACTCATGTATACCATTTTAATGGTTAGTGGAATTCTTAAAGGACGAAGGGAGGACCGGAATACAAGTAAAAAGACAGCCAAAATTTCAAAATTAGCCGGTTTTTATTCGTTTCAGCGTTTAAGGATATTCAAGGAATCTATCATTTAGATAGATATTTAATTTACATAGAGGTAACAGTCAAGTTTCCGAAATTCAACAGCTAGTAGCAAGTTGCAAAAGTTATTGTTGTTTTTTTAGTTATCCACGTAAAATATTCAATCTAGCTTTAACGATTTGACAATAATGAATAATTAAATCATTATTATAATGCTACTCCAAAATATTTTTAATCCCACCCAATCACCTACCGTCGATAGTCCAGTATCGTAGGGCATCGCCGACGTAAGCGCCGTACAACACGTCAACATAGCATTTGACAGCATTACTAGGATAGTACGAGGCCTCATCGCAAAATACAACCACAGCAAATGAATTCAGTTTACTTGCGTACTGTGTCCGTAACAGATGAAAAAGGGGGAGGGACACAACTCGTTGAAGGGTCCATTCTTTTCTCAATCGACCCAACAAGTGCTATACAAATACCCCAAGGGCATCTTCTCACCCATCCCTATGCCATCCATATGTACCACAACGCGACCGTTTCCGCTCTCGGACATTGGGATGGAGCGGAATGTACAGTCAGGAAGAAAAAAAACGATGGGATAGGAAGTGGAAGTGGAAGTTAATGGAGCTTGAAAAACTTCCATAAAGTTTTCGAAACATCCAGGTTGTCGAAAGTCTTCCATGGTTCCCGAATTTGCACCAAGAGGTTACAAATATAATTTAAGGCATTCAAAAACGTAGAATTTAGAAATTTTTTCGTTTTTTACTGCCTGGCTTTAACCCAAAAATTTCTTCATAACACCTTAACTATTAACTTTCAAGGTTTGCTAAGCGCAAAGGCGAATTTCACGCAAAATTCTACAAAACATCCAACTCGAAAAAATCGCTAAAAAGGGCATTCCCGAAGAAGTGAGCTCGAGCTCCGACCTACGGCCCTTCGATTCAGCCTACCCAGCCTCGAATCCACTTGAACTCATTTCACCTCCAATTTTCCGGAGAGTCACCTCCACCCGCCAAAACTTGTCGTGAGTTTGACCGGATGTAGTGCTCAAAAAGGAGCCAAGAGAAAATCAATTAATATGCAAAATTTATTAGAGAAGGCGATTATATTTTTATTTGCAGCAATAAGCGTAGAACTCGCCGTCAACACAGGTCGATCCTGAAAATTCATAAAGATTTATGAAATTACGGTTAGAAAACCTGAAGGGCAGAATTGATGGCTACACTTCCGGCCCATCAGCGTCCAAGTGGTCGACTGGAATTAGATTCAAATGAAATTCGAGTAAAACTTACATCTGCCTGTTTCACGACGGTTTTAGCGTTTGGGCATTTTGGGTTGTTGGCACGGTCTGAAAATCGAAATTTGGTTCGCCTGAAATAGCTAACATTTTAAACACTAACTAAATACTTACCCATCGCAGCTTTTGGGCAGCAAAAACCAAAAAAGGCTCCCATGTGGCAGACGGCATCCTGGCAAACTCATTGAAAACTAGACGTTTTGTTACCTTAGAAGCACATTCTCGCTGCTCAAACGTCGCGCACAGGCCAACATTCTCGATGCCAAAACCGCAGCTACTGTAGTCTACTAAAAATCCAAAATTTAAACGAAGATACGAAATAATAAATAGTGGTTTTTATAGAATATCATACTATGTTTTTAATTATTTAGTGGTCAATCGAAATAGAGTCGCGAATACTTACGCGGCATGCAGGCACTATAGCAGTCGCCGGAAGTGGTGTAGCGGTTTCCGTTTCCGCATGATCCTTTGTATAGGAATGGGAAGCATTCCATACGTTCAGAATCGAACCAGTACTGTAATTAAGTATAAAACGGTATAAACTACACATAAATAAAGTACCCTTATCTCTGGTTTCACTCCATTTGTCGTATTCCCCAGTTCCGGCTGGCCGCTACAAACTGTAAAAAGTAGCTTTGAAAGTATTCTCGACCAGAAATTAACTGCAATCAGCATTTTATTGGAATTATATTTAGTTAATTATTTAAAATTGAAGCAATATGAATAAATGGTGATTTCTTATTTTACTCGAAAATGGTTGCAATTGTAAATCTATTGGTTTTAGATTTTTATTTAAATTAAACTAAAACATACCTCTATCTTGCCCCGCCACATACCCAACAGCCAACATAAACCAAAACAACATCGGTGCCGGTTGAATGGATAGGGTTGAAAAGATTTTCCGATCGCCACAACCCCTGTTATCTGCTCACTTTTTATACGCTCAACTTGTTCTCCGGGGTGCGGGAGCAGCAGACCTAGGATGGGATATATTGTTTTTTCGGGGGACACGCGCAACCAGGAAATAAATCGCGGCCGTTGGAGGAGTTTTAGTTCTTTTTTAGAAACATTGGATGTTATGGGTCCATTTTTAGCATTTGCATAATCTGGACTGTTTTGGGAGGGGTAAACGGGGGAGTTGTTCGTAGTGGTGGTGCGGACGGCGCCAAGTGGCGAGGAATTTCAGCAAACTTTAAAGGATTCTGGGTTAAAATCTCTGGAATTAACAACTATCCCCCTCGCTCTCATACTCTCACTCACTCTCTCTCATTTTTTTGATGTACTTGGAACTTCTCTAAAATTGATGATGCCCTTTGTATAAGCGCGAGAACAAAATAGGGCAAAAAAGCATAAGTCTCAAAAAGATAGGGCCCCACTTTACATATCATTTTGAGATTACATTACAAAAATGTGTGCCAAACAGTTCCACATTATACTCCGTAAAAAAGGAGGTGGGCCATCGGACTCGTTTTCGAGATCCTAGGACCTGCGTGTTCAGAAAAGTTTGCAGCTTTTCGCCTCTAACTTTTTTACCGCGACTTCCGTTGAAATCTATTACCGAAATGTCGAGCAAAAATTTCTGCGGCGAATGGTATCCTGGACTCTAAAATTAAACCTAAATTTAAAGTTTTACAGGGCCTCCAAGTTCGCGACGCCCGAAAATCGTCCCCGACGCAACCTCTGTACATCTGTAAACTCTTGTGAAAGAATCGACATTCTGTAAACCACCATTATGAAAATCGGAAATGTGCGCCCCGTTTGTACCCACTTGGGGGTTTGGCGGAGTATACGAATTGTCCTAACAACGCCTTGTCAAGATTAGCTGCACATCGTCGGGCCCATGTAGCCCTTTCCCTCCCTTTTCGATTGGTCACGTTCTTCGGCAATTGATCGTCAGCTTGGTGCACTATCGCGAATCGGAACGTCCATCTCTCCCGGCCGGCGCGGTCCATTTGTTGAAATTCGAGACATCCGAGACTAAGCCCCCGAAGACGGCGAGAGCAAAGTCCGGAAACGGAATCCCCCACCAGATCTCATGCTCGGCCACACGCCATTCCAGGCTTTAACAGGCAGGCACGGATAGCTTTTGGGCTACGGCAGGCTCCCTTGCACAAGGCGGCAGCACACGAGCAGGCCTTTTCTAGAAGCACCAAAAAATTAGCGGAAAGCACGTCACCGCCCAAAAAAACCCAACAACGATTCGGCGATAGAGATTTTATTAAACCGAGAAAAGGGACACCATTTGCCGACTAATATATATAGTAATGAAATCATTAGTTAGAAATGCGAAACGAGTAGCACAGGGAAACTATAGAAAAATACAATCACACACGTGTTCTAAGAGGGGGGTGGACATATTTGGGCGGTGGTGGATTCAGCGGAGCGATGGGCGCTGCACGGTGCGTGTCGCCGCGTCCGGGGCATAGTTGCGGACCCACGCGTGCTCCTTCACCTGCAAATCGAGGGTTAGCAAACGCTGCTGTGTAAGAGTTCCGGATTCTTAGCGGCAGGGGTAAATTCGAATTTAAAAAATGGGAAAAATATAATTTTTTCGACGTGTACTTGAATTTTTCGAAATATTTCAACGTTTTCGGGTAGCTTTTCCACTTGAAACATAGTTAAATTTTACTAAAAAGTCGAAATTGTGGGCATTTTGGATTTTTATGAATGAATTTTTAATTCAAATCTGCCAAGTTTTTATGCTTAGGAATAGTTAAAAACAATGTAGAAACGCTTCCGCTATTTGTAAAAAATTCCGGCATCTCCCCAAATCTTGAAAACTGACCAGTTCCAGCCGATGGCGATCGTCGGGCCGTTCGCGGATGAGGAGGCTGATCAGCGCCCTGGCCATCGGACTGTGGCTGTCGGTGAACTAAAAAAAGAAAAGATATAAATAAAAAAAGGCGAGGCGTTACCGGAATGTGGGCGACGCCAGTCAGCCACTCGCTGCCTTGAGCCGGATAGAAGGGCTGGTGGCCGGCCAGCGCTTCGTAAGCCAACACGCCGAGGGCCCACGTGTCCACCTGGAAACAACAAAATAACGGTGCTTCTCGGTGCTAGGGGGGGGGTATAAAAAACCGGCCGACAAAATGTAAAACTTATTTTGGCATTTTATATTATTTTTGTAAAAAAAACTGACATATGACGATGAAAATTCGTGCTGTTTAAAAAATTTCTCAGCAGTCAAAAAGGTACTGGTCTGTTAGCGGTGGGGTATATGTGGTGGTATACGTACAAGATGTATAAAAATGTGCATTTTTTTATTACTGGAAACAGAACCCCCCGCTAACAGTCCAGTACCTCAAAATCTACTGAAAAATTTGGAAACGTACCGTTTTGTCGTAGCGACGGCGGAGCAGCTGTTCTGGGGCCTGGTAGTCGATCGTTCCACAGTAGGTCATCCGCGACTCGCCCGTCTCGACGCGTGTCGACCAGCTAGAAAAGGGCAAATTTAGAAGTGGAACAGAAAGGTCATACCCAAAATCGGTGAGGAGCGCGTTGTCCTGGGTGTCGAGGAGCACGTTCTCCGGCTTCAGGTCGCGATGAATGACGCCCGACCGATGGCAATAGTCGAGGGCTTCGGCCAGTTGGCAGACAATCCTGCAAAATATACATAAAAAATTGGAGGGACAAAAATTATTGTTACCTGGCTGCCAATGGGTCGCCAAGGCCGCGGTGCTGTTGGATGCGGCCGAACAGGTCGCCCTGCAACAAATTTTATAATCCGGTTCATGAACAAAACGTTTAAAAAATATACAAAGCATCAAAAATTATTGCCCTCACATTCTCGGCAATGTCCATGATGATGATGAGCATGTCCTTTTCGTAAAAGTAGCCGTGCAACTTGACCACGTTCGGATGCCTAGAAATGGAAGTTGCCGACGCTCGAAAAGCTGCGAGAAACAGCAAAAACAAGATCTGAAAACACCGACTTGAGCTGGCCCTGGATCGCGATTTCCTCGTTGACGAGATGGACGGCGTTGTGCTGCATGAGGAAGCGGAGCGACACGTACTTCAGCGCCACCTTCCGGCCGCCCCGCTGCGCCAACGCCTTCGCCACGATGCCAAACTGAAAAGAAAACATGTTCTAGCCGCATTCGATGAATAAACTGACCCCTCCACGGCCGAGCTTCTTGATCACCTTGAAGTCGCGGGCTGACCAGGCCGGTGTCCCGTCCTTCAGCGATCCGCCCTCACCGTCTGCCATGTTGCTGTTGCTGGTGGTCGGCTTCTGGTTGGCTTCAGCCCCGTGAGGCTTCGGCTGAATCTGAAAAACATCAGGTTTTTGAGTATTTCCGGAGGATCCAAACTGTCTTCTTTCAGTTTCTTATACAAATAAAGGGAGTGTTTCGTACTCAGCTGTTTTTCAATTGTAAAACTAAACGTAAAACCAACAAATACAACCCGCAAAAATTGAAACATATGAATTTCTCGACCAATTTCAAAAGTCGCGACAGAAGCTATTTTGCTTTTTAAAATTAACTAAATCTTGCAAAAAAAGACCACTCCTATAAAAATTCTAATGACAATACAAATCTGTACATATAGGAAAAAAATTAGTACGAAAAAGGAAAAATGCTCAAAAACAAATCTAGCTGTAAACAGCTACGAACCGGCAGTTTCTCCGGCACCTTGTCTTCCTTCTTCTTCTTCTTCTTCTGTTCAGCAGGCTTGACTGGCTTGACCACTGGCTTCTTCGCCCCGATCGACTGAACGACGTTCTTGCTCGATTTTGCTTGAGCATCGTGGGGAATGTTGATGGGTTCGGGCTCCTCATCGGCACGCTTTGACAGTTTGGGGCGCGGCGCGAAGGGGGTGACCCTCTTGCGCGGGTCAGCCGGAAATCCCTCGAATGCGACACGACGCTCCTGAAAATGAGGATTAGAAAATCGCTTCCGAGAAGTCTCACCGGCGACAAGGGGGTCGGCCGTCCTCGGTTGATGGTAGGCACCGGCTTGGCGAGAGTCGAGAGGAGATGAGGCTAAAAATAAATTGGAAACAACGATAAAGTGTTTTCTTCACGTTTATCGAGTGGCGGCTATTTTAGAGAGGGGCAGCAGGAGTTAAATAAAGAAATCGCCGCCGTTTTGTAGGAATGTTAGGCAGTTTTGTGCCCGTTTTGTAACTATAAAATCGTCGTAAACACGCTCAAAATTTTTGGTGCTTTTTGAATCAAGTTACGCTCAGCTATGGCCGGTTGGAAGGTTCAAAACCGAGATTTTTGTTCGAAAATCTATGAAAAACGGCCAACAAACAAAAAACTTCGAATTTTCGAAAACTTTTTGAAGTCGTAGTTATTGAAACTAAAAACTGAAACTGAAAAACTAAACTGAAAGCTAAAATGGAGTTTATTCCTCGGCCGGATTCATCAAAAATAAGAATAACATGCCCGCAAAATAACTGCCACCCGACGAACGAGATGCACAAAAAAGCTTACCAGAGGTCCCGGACGAGGGCCCAGCGTTTTGCGAGCAGCACAGGGATCGTGCTCTGTCGAGGTGGTGGCCGTTGGTACGGCATCTGCCATCGGAGCGGCACTGGCCGACGAGATGGACATCCGGCTCACCGAAGCCCGTCGCAGCGTGTTGACGACGATGGGGCGCTAAAAACAAGAGAGAAAAAGCAATAAATTAAGATCAGCTTCTTCCGGACCTTGACATTGGGAGGCGGCTTGGCTCGGCTGCTCGGACGCGCTGCAGCAGCTGCAGCAGCTGCAGCAGGCGGCATCCTGGCCACGATCTTGTGCGGCGGTGTGGGGGCAGATTCCTGGGGCATCGGGCATGGCTGATGGAGGCGAGGCGGCGTCTGAAAAAAGGAGGTGTTGTCAAGTAAAAAAAAGTAATGGTACTGGACTGTTATCTAGCACTGACTGACAGGTATCTAGCAAAAAATTTCGCCGTTTCTTAGTGTGTTTTCTAGCGTTGTTATTAGTTTTCGATTGCTACAAATTAAAAATTTGAAAGTTGTTAAATTCAGGGCGACCATAAAAGATCTGTGAAGAGAAACCAAATATTGCCTCCATTCAAATAGTTTTTATGAACTTTCTATACTTCGAAAAAATACGTAAAAAGCTGCCTAAATAAAGGCTCACCGCTTTCGGCGTCTCGCACACGAAGGAGACCTTGGGACGAGGCGGTGTCTGGGTGGAACTCGTTGAAGCCGCCGTGAAGTCATTGCGCACTTGGCGGGGAATCGGCATCAGCGGGGGGCGTTCGGCTTGCGTCACCGGGGCTGAAATGAAACGTTTGAAGTGTTAGATGGCGGGTTAAGGGGGTAAAGTAAACCGTAGCCGAAAAAAAGAAAAGAAAAAAGCCCATGAAAAAAGTTTCAAAAGGTGCACGCCCAGAATTTGCGGCAATAAGGACCTAAGCAACGCGACGCTCCATTCGTCAAGAAAATGTATCGGGCCAAAACTTCGTAGCCTTATAACTTTAAAACTAAATGGAATCTTAAAAAAAGCGATTTCCAACTGTGTAGAATGGGAAAAGGCGATTCCAATGATACCAAGCACTAAGAAAACTGAATTCAAAAAGTATCGAAACGAAGGCGGTTTTTGTTGACGACTTTGTGAAAAGTGGTATTTCGGAGGGCTAACTTGCTGTTTTTGGTATCATTCGAACCGTAAAATTCTACTCTGCAATAATTCATATTGGGTTTTCATTATTAAGTCGGTTTGAAAAAGTTATAAGAGCTTAAACTTTTCGGCGCCCGCTACGTTCCGCTCCAATCGACGCTTTTGCCCCTCCCGACACATTGCCGTTTTTGGCCTGTTTGACTGGCCGTGGGTGGGTAAAACTCCATATCTTGGTGTGCGCGACAGCGGTGGTTCGGTGAATAAGTCCAATATCGAAAAGTTCTACCCATACGGGGAAGACGGGCGGCCCTGTCCTTCAGAATCGAGCTCGGCCCACGCCGCCCAAGCGCTGGCATTGCCGAAGCTGCACGCGTGCGAAGCGGACGCGGCATCCCAGCGACATCCGGCTTCTGGACAGTCATGGTGAGGAAGAAGCCCGTAATCGAACCTTATCCATGATGGGTAGCCGGCGACTCTGATGGGTGCGATGTGAAAAACGCAACAAAACACTGTTTGATATATCTCCTTTCACATGCAAAACTAGGGTCACTTCCGGAGCTCGGCTTCAAAGCCGGTATTCTTATTAGCATAAGGGGCGGGGAGACAAAGTGCCTGTGCAATATAAATCGTCTGGCTGGCCTAGTAATCAAATGCATAGCATGTTTCTATGCTATTCTTAATAAATTGAACTATATTCAAAGTAGAAAACCTTTCAAAAAAGGTTAGATAAGTGTTTGAAAGTCGACATTTCGTCCATTTTGGGTCGAAAAACCTTATGTTCTCAAAAATAGTATGTTTTAAAAAGCTTTTTCATTTATTATTTCCATATCAAACATTTCTTTAGCCAAGAATCGTTGGTGCGGCTGCTTTGTTGTCTTCACGCCTCAGCCAACTCGCCAACACATATCACAGGAAGCCCCTAAAGGTAGGTTGGCACTTGGCTTTTTTGTTACAACCAGCGATGGCGAACAGCTCCTTGTTCCGGCCGGCGGTCATCCTGGGATCGGGCCTGAAAATTGTTGTTTTTGGATCCCCATCACATTGCGTTACCCCAAACGTTTCATCTCTTGGAAGACGCATTCCCACGAATGCCATTTTGGTGGCTTCTTCAAGCCCTCTGACTTTTTCCTGTAAAAGCCTATTGAGGCAACTGTTGTGAGAACCTACTCAAGGCGGGTGCGGCGACGTCTCGGCAACGCGCGGGCAATGTGAGCACTAAAGCATAACGTCTGTCCTTTTCATTCTTCGGTATTGAGGATTATTATTTATGAATTTCAGGTATTTTACGCATTTTTCAAGCGCACAAAATGCCTAAATGTCGCTAAAATAGCGCCAGTATTTTGGTGGGCGTTTACGCAAGTTTACGTTGTAGAGTTTTTGTCGGTGAGCGGGATGTGCATCTCCTTGTCGGTGGCGACGACGTACTGCTCAAGGCTCACGACCGAGGTGATTGCCCACTATAAAAGGAACTGCTATTTCCAAAGTCTCGTTTTTAGGCTTACCTTATCATCCGCCTTGTCGGGCGCCTTTTGCCCTGGGGGCACGTGCGCCGAGCCGCCGGCTTCTAGATGGGACAATAGTTCGGTAAAAGCTTTAAATGATCAAGCCTCTTCCATCATATAAGAAACGTGAAAAAATGCTGCCAAGAACCCCAAATAAATATCCGCTTTCGCACGGAAATATACCGGAACCGGCTTCGACAGATATTTTCTGCTCCTTGTAGACTGGCGTTTGTAGTTGTCCGTCCGTGGAGATGATCATGTGAGGGGTGGTGACGACGTGGCTGACTTCACAACACTATAAAAAACGTCTGCTTTGAAAGGTTGTTTTTCCAGCTTACATCATCAGACTCGGCCCTCTTTCGTGGGCGCAGTCGAACAAGTCAGGCTGGTATCGCCGCCAGGATCATCCGGGATGGCGCCACCCGGCTTCTTCTGCACGGGGGCGATTATGGGGTAAGTATTCAATGCTGATCAACCTTGTCCATGAACAATTACGTGAGACGCGAAAAATGCAACCAAAAGCTCCCAAGTAAAATATCCGCTTTCGCACGCAAAACCACGGTCCGTTTCAAGGGTCTGATTCAAAACGGCATCAATTCAAGCTCAAATAGTTTTCGACACGCAAGAGACACAACGACAGGACCAGCAGACCGCCCCGTTCCCACAACCAACTCGAAAACGTTCATCAAAATTTGTGTAGCCAAAAGGCCATATATTCATGACCCAACAACATAACAGCAAGAATTTATTTGGGTTCAAAAAACAACGAAAATTCATTCAAACGTTAAAAATTTCAAAAACTATGTTTTCTTCTTCTTAGTAATAAAAGTTAGCAGCGGGCGTCGTCAGCATCGTCGCCAAAAGCGATCCGTCGACTGGCCACCAATTCCTCGTGCAATCGGTATTGTTCGACGAGTTGCCCCTCCGACACCTGAAAAAAAAACATATGTCACAAATAAATTCGAATAGGCCCCGGGATTTCAGCTATCCGCTATTGCAACCAGCACTTTTAAGCTCCAGTTAATATAAAAGCTAAGTGGCACCTAGGCTGACTATTCTCCTACAGGAAGTCTAATAAGGTTTGGTACAATGTCAAAGATATCAATCGATAACGCCTGAAAAGTATATTTTCCTAAATTCCAAATATAGTTCCGAAAAGTGAATGCCCCAAAAACTCCCTAAATCGGCCCGGCGAATCCAAGCTGCAAGGTAAGCTATAACTAATCAGGAAGAAAAGATACGCTAAGCTCCGCCTAGGGCTAGGTTAAGAACAAAGTAACCTAAGCGCAACATCTCTTATTTTCTAGCGTTCCTTTCAAATACAACGTTAATTGTTATAATTATACCTTCATGATCCAGTCTTTCGCTCCCACAATCAGTCCACGCATTCGAAGACGTTTGCCGGGTTGGGTGGCCGGACCATCCGGATAGAAGAGACCCTAAATAGGAAATGACACACAACCAAACAAAATCCTCACATGGAAGCGCGGATGCCCGTCGAGAAGTAACCTGAAAAAAGAATTACGTCAACGCCAGAGGTCCCAAGCACTTACTGATCCATATCTGGACTGGCCAGGTTCCTGACGCACACAAACTCGAGGTCCGGCGAGGCACGGCTGTTGAAATAGTACAGTGGCTAAAACAAAAAATATAGATAAAGGAGAGGCGAATGTACCTCATTCGGGGCACCACTGACCGGCGGCTCAAAGCGCAGACAGTCGAATCTGAGGTTACGATGGCGCTGGACATCACGCGGCAACGAGGTGCCCACCGTTAGCCTCTGCAAAAATCAGATGGTTATGGTACGAAAGGGACGAGCAACGGTACTGGACCGTTAGCGGGGGGAGATGTAAGCAGCCCTGATCTAACTGGCAAAAATTATCCGCCGCTTATATTTTATCTAATATAAGGTCTTTATCGTGTTTTAGCAGCCGATTTTCACTAACAAGCCATCAAAACAGTTGCAAAAATTTGGAATATTTGATCAACTTTACGAAAATTATAATAATTTTTTTTGATAAATTTCTTTAGTTAAAAAAGCTTAAACGATACTTAAACGCTGTTTTTGATTATTGAGACCCTAAGTTCTCCTAACTCTCTAATTCTTTCTCATTTCTAAAGTTTTTCGCATTACAAATATCCAAATATCGATTTTACGACCAATGAAATAAACGGCTGAGTTTTGACCAAATCTTTCCGACTTTTTTAAAGTTTCTAAATTTTCTAGTTCAATGTAGTTATACACTAATACAATGTATTACCCTTACCAGACCTTTCTAGACTTATACCAAAAAGTTCGGTGCCCGTCCCCGATAATGTGAAAGAATCATAATTTTCCTTTGAAATGAGCCTGATTCGGCAATTCTATGTTAAGAACAGCCTATGACCCGATGAACAAGTAGGAAAATAAAACATAACGCCGAGAAAAGCAGCAAACAATAATAAATAATATATGTAAAATAGCGCCTGCATACCGGAGTATATTCATCATCGGTCTCTGGCTCATCACCGTCTTCCTGGCCCTCGAATTCACTGTCGCTCAACTCTGGAAGATCCAGATTCTTGTTGAAGACCGGGCTGGTGTCCTTCTTCTCCGGTTGTTGCCATTTCGAGACCTCCTTTGGCAGCCCGCAACCAGCCATCATCTCCTAGAAAGGTAAAGATGTAGGTATTTCAAAACGCGCGGTTAGGAATGAGAATAGGTGAAACGAAACACTTACATACAGCGCCGACGGCTTCGAGACTAGTTTGGCGCCGCCGCCGCCCGTGGATTGGCATCGGTTGCCGTATCCTTGAGGTGCCATCTGTTGTAGGCGAACAAGCTAAAAGAAGATCATAGCCTTTTCCGAACAATAATTACCTCTGCGGTGGGGATGTAGCCAGCCCATTGAGCCTCGGTCGTAGTTTCTACCGGACGACCGTCGACCGGTGCCATTCCTCGATAGTAAACTTGCGGGTCTATGGAATCGCGTTCGATGGAACCCTGGCTCTAAAAAAATAATAAAATATTTCATCGCGCCATTCAACAAGAACAATAAAAGAGGTTCTGGTTGGTTCGCGGGGGGGCAGGACGTCCAAAGCGTCTCTTGCGCACCCTTTGATGCTATCGAATATAGCGCCAATAGAATGTTCCAAAACAACAGCTAAAATATCGAAAATTACAAACAAGCTGAAAAAAAGTTAACTAAACTTCTTGGAAGCCTTAATTGACTCTTCCGAGGGGTTTGAATTACTACCAACACTACCTATTATTTGCGGCTCAATACGAACGCGATTTTGAAATCACGAAGAACTAGAAACAAAATTAAAAAACTGGCAACCAAGCTCCCCACGCTAGCGAACCAGAACCAGCAAAAAAATACAAAACCCTCACATCAGAGGTATGGCCAGGCGTCAACAAATCGTAGCGCGGCGTGTTGGGCAAGACGATCTCCTCATCGCCGAGGGGTTTTTCTCCGCCCAACGATGGGGTCGAGCTGTCATCATCGTCGTGGCCTCCGATTGCATTGTGGCCGTAGCCCTCGATTGGAATGTGGTAGAACTCGTCGCTCACGTCCATTTCCGCGTAGGGGTCATAGCCAAGGTCCACAATTTCGTTAGCATCGGCGGTAAACGCGACGACGGACTCCTAAAATAGTATAATTAGCTTTATAATAACGAATTCGGCACCATGACAGCTGCGCAACGATGTTTAAGTCAGAATGATTTCTTAGTAAACACGGGAAAACCGTGTTGCTCAAATGTCGTTGCTCAATTTGTCTTGGTCCCAACAATTCTCCTTATATTGGCTTAAAAACGGTCGCACAGTTCGTATGGAACCTGAACCAATATAATAAAAACTTAATCGAAAGTTTAGGGCAGCAGCCGTTTGAACAGTCTCGCCAATTGCTTCTGTCGCCAAGGCCTTGACATCACCATCATCACCCGACCCTTCCGGCTTGGGCTCAACCAGGGCTAAAAAACAGTAGAAGAATGTCTTATTAAGAAATAATACCGTCATCAGCAATGCCGCTTTTGGCCAATCCGACCTTCCCATCGATTTTGCCGGTCTTCCTATAGTGCTCGGTGACGTTCTTCACGTGCGCTTCGAGAACGAGAGGTGGAACCTGAACCAATATAATAAAAACTTAATCGAAAGATTAGGGGCAAAAAAAAGAAAAAGTAATGAAACAAACCTCATCCTTCATTTTGCCGATTTCGGTAAGAGCGGCACCTTTAGCACCCATAGCAGCCAGCTGCTTCGCATATTTGTCGGTCTTGTTGGTGACGTCAGCAATGTGCTTCTCGGTGCCATTGGCCTGTCCTTCTTCTGGCTTCTCCGCTTTCACAGCCTTAGGGTTGAAAGTCGGTGGCAACGGTTGAATCGTTTGTAGGCCCATTGGCTCCTAAAATAGAATAATTAGCTTTATAATAACGAATTCGGGACCATGACAGCTGCGCAACGACGTTTGAGCAACTGGGGGAAAGCGACCTTTGAGCAAAAATGATTTCTTGATAAAAGCGGGAAAACCGTGTGCTCCAAAAACTGGCAAAAACGTCGTTTTTGCCCGCGTTGCTCAAATTTCGTTGCTCATTTGTCATGGTCCCACCAATTCTACCTGAGTATATTGGCTTAGAAACGGTCGCACAGTTCGTACGGCAAAAGCCAGCAAGTAAACTTTTTCTTATAATAATCATTAGGTTAAACTAGGTAATAATCTAGCTTCATTAGTCATCCAAGGTATCAGAGCCTACATTATAGCTAACATTAGTTACTTTAGGGTCTAAACACTAAACAATACAGGCTATTAGCACGTGAGAACAGTACGACCTTTCCAACTGCCGTCATCACTTATACCTTCAAAGCCTCGTCGATGATCTGGCCGATCGTCTGGGCGCTGGAATCGCCGCGGTTCTAAAAAAAATGGTAAATCCTATACAGGGTGACCACCGAAAACCGGCTATATTGGCTTGGAAACGGTCGCACAGTTCGCACGGCAATCGCGAGGTAAATTTCTAAGAACGACCATTATACGTTAAACTAGGTATTATAGCTTAAGTAGTGATTTAAGGTATTAGAGCCTACATTATAGACAACATTAGTAAGTTTAGGGGCTAAACACCTATATTTCTGCAAACTATTAGCACGCGCGAACAGTACGACCTTTCCAACTGCCAACATTACTGATACCTCGGCCGGCTTAGTGCCTGTCTAAAGTCAGAAAATGGCGCTTCAGTATAAAAAACTCACGCAGCCTGGAGCAGAAATGTCGGTCGTCGGCCCATAGTACCCGACCTCAGCATTGGTCGGCGGCTAGAACAATGTTAAAGTGATAATTGCCTAGCACAAAACCTTATCAGCAGCATCTAGACGAAAGTCTTCCCTGACATCATCGTCCGTCATTTTCAGATTCGGCGCGCGTAGCAACCTGTAAATCAAAGTCAGAATTTTTCGGTCAGATACATTAAGGCACGGTTGAAATCATTGAGAACCATAGTTGAGGCCGGAGACTATCGTTGGGCAAGAATCGAATGTGTAAGCGGACTCCAAGTCTTTTCGTCATACTAGATTAAAAATATTGGCACTTATCAAGTTGGGGGGGGGCCACTTTGGTTTTCGACTTTTTTAGTCTTTCTAGGCTAGTTTGTCGTGCTGGTTTCTGATATAACAAAATCAGCGTAGTAAAACACAATTATCTAAACGTTTTTAAGATTTAGAAATGCTTACACCCAATTTGAGCCTAAAATTAAGGCTTCGTGCCACCTGGGGCCTAGTCGCTTCGGATGGGTGCGAGCTCGTACAGGGTTTCGAAATCGAGGCGCCCGAGGAGCGCGTAGCGCCCAGGCGCCCTGATTTCGAAAGAGTGGAGCGGCAGCCCATCCGAAGCGACGGCCCACCTTGCCTGACAATGCGGCAAGCCTAAAATTGCGCATAATTGCACCCTTTGTTAATAAATTTTTACACTGTTTTTCTGGATAAACCCAGCCGTTTCGCATGCTGTTGCGGCTCTATTTGCACTCATTGTCAGCGTAAAAAACTACCCCAGAAAGCGTCGAAAAAGCGATAAAGAAATGTCTCCTAATATGTACCCAGAGTGGCCCCCCCCCCCCCCCCCCAACTTGATAAGTACCAAAATATTGCTATAACTAAGATCAACAAAAGGGAAGGCGCAACAATAGGCGTGAAATACTCGGTTAATAAAGCGCTAGCGGGCCCGCCAACTTCATCAATGCGCCAGCCGCGCGCGCCAATACGGAGAGTGCGAGCGCCATTGGCGCTTACCCAGAAGGAAAGCGCTTCAGCAGAGCGGAAGAAAAGGAAGGGATCGCAGCCGCGATTGAAACGATAGCGTATAGAAACAGCAGCTTATTCTCTGTGCACAAATATAGCGACAAAAGTTTTATTCAAAACGGCGCACAACGGTTAATAAATATCAGGCCGGCAAGGAGAACAGAAAAAAGATTCACAGAATAATCGACGCTAACGCGTTATATTACAATTCACATATTAGTTCCAGACAAACAGAAAAATAAGGCCTGCTAGTTGCCGCCCTTTACAATGACTTGAACGCTGCATTATCAAAAAATATCAACAATGAGACGTTAAGCCAAATGTAAGCTAGGACGGTAACCTCACAAGGCCGAGACCATGGGATGCCATATCGCGCACACGAGAAGTGGAAGACAACTTGACGCCGAGGAAGCTAGTCTTGCTTCGAAAGCGGGCCGCTGGTGTCCATCGGAGCACCTATAGACAACATTCAGAAAAGCCGTGAAACATTACCTTGGTGCATAGGAGGCGTCGCGGCCTCGGCGTTGTCAACAATCGACTGCCCGGCAAACTGCTGTTGAACTTGTGGTGGGGCCTGTCCCTACAAACATAGAAGTTTTATGAATGGGAAAATTGTCGGTACCTGTGGATATCCAGGATAACCTTGCGGGGGATACGGGTACTGCTGCGGTGGGTAGCCGGGACGCGGTTGTTGGACGGGGGCGCCCTGTGGCGGGTAGCCCTGCGGTGGATAACGGCCCTGAGCTGGGTAGCCGGCTTGAGGTGGATACTGGGCACCAGGTGGAGGGCGATAGCCGGGTGGATATTGCCCGGGAGGTGGTGCACCATAGCCTAAATAAAACAATTGGCCGTCAGGAAAAACGCACCTGGATAAGCGCCTGGCTGCGGGGGATATCCTTGATACTGTGGAGCAGGCCCAGTTGTAGGTTGGTAAGCAGCATTTGGAGCAGGAGCTGGGGCACCGGGAGGCGGCTGAACGACCGGAGCCTAAAACAAAAAGGTAAGCCAAATAGTCAAAAAACATACCGCAGAGTATTGTGGTGGCTGCTGTGGAGCGGGCTGGCTGATGGTCGCATTGACAGAGACACTGGCCGGGGTCACGGTGGGAGCAGGCTGCATCGTTTCAGCCTGGCTTGGTGGAGCAGCCACTTGGATTTGCGGAGTTGGCTGAGGAGGTCCAGTTACTTCGAAGCCGGGAGGTAATCCTGCAAAAGAATGTTACAGCATCGTCTATGCGCGAATTCATGACCTCAAGTAATGTTAGAAAAAGAAAATTACCGGCGGGAAGAGCACCCGCGGACTGCAGCTTGTTGTGAGTCTCGTGTTTCGCCCGATTCTCCAGATATCGAAGCTGATCCATGTGGAAAGCCTGCCGCTCGAGGATCAACTGCTGGCGCTGGTGTTCAAGCTAAAAGCACGTGTAAAAATAATAGTCGCTTTTCTTACCGCTTCGCGTTCCTTGTCCATGATAGTTTCGAGCTCTTCAAAGTGTTGCAGCTTCTTTTCCAACTTCCTCATTTGTGTCTCAACAAGCTGGGCAACCAGAGACTTGATGCGGCGCTCCTCAAGTTGGGCCAGGTGCTAAAAAGCTTAGGATTGTACCCGGTGAAGAATAACTACCTTGGCCTTTGCAGCAGCCGCGCCGAGTGCCGCCGCAGCAGCCGTTTGAACAGTCTCGCCAATTGCTTCTGTCGCCAAGGCCTTGACATCACCTTCATCACCCGACCCTTCCGGCTTGGGCTCAACCAGGGCTAAAAAACAGTAGAAGAATGTCTTATTAAGAAAAATACCGTCATCAGCAATGCCGCTTTTGGCCAATCCGACCTTCCCATCGATTTTGCCGGTCTTCTTATAGTGCTCGGTGACGTTCTTCACGTGCGCTTCGAGAACGAGAGGTGGAACCTGAACTAATATAATAAAAACTTAATCGAAAGATTAGGTGCAAAGAAAGAAAAAGTAACGAAACAAACCTCATCCTTCATTCTGCCGATTTCGGTAAGAGCGGCCTTCGTGGCTGCAGAAGCAACCCGCGGGTCGACCACAGAGGCCAAGAATGCGACAGTTGACATCACTGGGTTGCCACTCTGGGAGAACGGAACGGGCTGGAAAGCTAGAGGTCCGAGAACGCTGCCGTTAGAGTCGCCTTCTTCTTTCAGATATGGGTCTTGGATCGGCATCTTCAGGAAGTGCATGATGCACTCGTGTTGGTCACGCGTACCAACGTGGTCGGCAACCTGGAAGCACAAAATGTAAAGGGTTCGCTCACAAACTTAACGGTTCGTGCTCTAGATGAATAAAGCCATACCTTGTTCCAGTCATCCTTGAACATTTCCAAGCCCTCGAGCAGCAACAACGATTCTTGTTCAGTCCATTCACGCCCAGGAACAGCACCTTTAGCACCCATAGCAGCCAGCTGCTTCGCATATTTGTCGGTCTTGTTGGTGACGTCAGCAATGTGCTTCTCGGTGCCATTGACCTGTCCTTCTTCTGGCTTCTCCGCTTTCACAGCCTCAGGGTTGAAAGTCGGTGGCAATGGTTGAATTGGTTGCAGGCCCATGGGCGTGTCAGCAAGTACCATAAAGTGCGAGGTTGGTGGAGGACCGATCGGCTTTGGGCGACAATCGGATTCAATCTAAAAAATTCCATTAGCAAAAAGAAATAACGTACCTGGTTGTTTATCAAACCCCATTGTTCCAAAAACTGATGAATGCGGAGGATCGAGCAAATATCACCGGCAAGGTTACGGCGCACTGAGGTAGCAGTCATGTATTCGAAGGGAGTCAGCCGGTAGGTATCGATCATGAAGTTCCGGTATGCCACATAGCTAAATCGAAAAATAGTGCCTGCTAAAAACAACTAACACTTCAGGAGTCTTGCTTTTGTTCTTGCCATTGAAGAATTCCGGAAGGCCACGCTTCTCGAGTTGGTGAATGGAGTTGTAATCGAACCTAAGCGACAAATTTGAGCCTGCAGACAAAAGAATACCATGAAGAATAGCTCGGAACAACGATGTAATGAGTCTGCTCGATAACGTTACCATCGTTGCTCTCCTAAAAGTATTGATAAAGTATTAGATCAGAAAATTTTCACCTTTCCGTTTTGCTGACTTTCCTCGTCTAAATCCATCAATTTCTGGGGCCGAGAAGCGTTGAACTCAGGATCCCGCTCCTTTCCTTTCGGAATTGCCACCGGAACGATGCCGGAATCCGTGTCGTCATCAACGGTGTCTTCATCGACGTACTTTCTCTTCGCACTAAACAAGGGTATGCTGAAAAATAAATTGTACTTACCTCTTACGGATCTTTTGGCCGCTTGGGGTAGCCATGGAGCGTGGAATCTTCTTCACCGACCAATTACCGTTTGCCTGAAAAAGTGGTATCTTAATAAGGACGGCTATGTGAATTCCCAAATGGCTAAATGACAGAAAGCAGGTAGGTTATCGGCGCAGATGGCCGGGTCAGAGGGGCAAATTCAAGCTACCATGGCGCCCCGAACGCTGTGCAACCGCAACGCTCTCATTCAAAGGGTCAGTCAAAAGAGACGCAGAGAATAATCCCCCACCAAAGGGGCACAGGCACTCGCACAAAATCGGCGAATACATACTACAGGCAACTTGTATAGTTCGAGAGCTCGAGCAGATTTGTAAGGTTCAATCTTTAGTCTTTGTAAAAGGTCTAATAAAACAATTTCAGGCGTTTTGAATCGTTACAGCAGCACATCTTTAGAAGTAGAAAGCCCAAGCTCTAAATCCCACGTTCAAAAGGCGTTAAATAGTTTCTATCAAAGGTTCTCATACCCCAAACTACAGAGCAAAAAGTTTATTATGTAACTATGCTCGGAAATACCTACTTTAGAAAGCTCTTTGGACTTTACAAACTGGTAGAAACCCCGAAAGATCGAACAAGGCAATGTCATCGTACTACATGACTTCTACGAGCAAAAGTAATAAGCTAGCTAGCCTGAAGACGATGAGAATGCGCATTAAAAACTTTATAAAAAACTGACATCTTTGGAGAACCGCAAAATTGGGATATCCATCTTGGTCAGCGCCTTCCTCGGACGTCTTTTTGTTAGGACCTTCTGGCGCGATGACGACATTACCAAGGTCTAAACAAAAGTTCAATAGATACCTGCATGCAATTTTTGGATTCTGACAAAAAAGATCATGCGAGAGGTGAACAGGGAAGAGAGTCAATAAAAACAAAAACAATTGAATCGGTTGAAAAATCGAAACGACAACCGGCTCCGTCCGCGACATTCCACTTTACGAATATCCCCCTGAATTCAGGCTATCGCTCCGGGACCCTGGAAGGGACTTTGTTTCCGGATAACACGAAGCTTCCGCTTTTCCGATGTTGGTCGCAGGTTGAGCCTTAGCAGGCGGATTTTTATCGGAATCTGTCGTAATTTGCTTTGCGAAGACCCATAGCAGCATTTCCAACAAATCGTGAACGTGTGGAAATGTACTTTCAATGCCGGCTTTTCTGTCAAACGTATTTATTAGAAATTGCTTTACAGCGGTGCACATTGGCCCTTGCAGATAGCGCCCTGGCGATCCTTTTGCACCGGCTTTAGATCGTCGCCAACCAAATAAGTGACACGTCCGGTTCCATCCAACGTCACCTAAAAGTTGATGGCCGTTTTTAATGTGCCAAAATAACACACTATTGATATTATGATGCCTTTCTGTCGGCTTAGAATACTGTATTTATCTACATACCTTGACTGCCGCCTTCTCAACGCCCTTCTCCCAAGTGGTAATCTGCCAATCATGGAGCCCACATTCATCAGCCTTTTGCTGGAACGTATACTTCTCCTTCTTCTTCGTGATGTTCCATCTAAACAGTAGCGATTACTTCGTAGTTTTTTAACAAGCCATAGAATTTGCGATCTATTCACTTACTTGTCACTCTTCTTGCCATTTGAAGCGGTGATCTGGGCCTGAAACGTCCGTTTTTCTTTCTTTCTGAATAAGATTTCCACCTGGAATGGCTTGTCCGTGTCCGATTTGACGTGGACGATGATGTCGCACGCCAACGCGGCGGCAAGAAGAACGGCGAAGACGAGCAGTAGCTTCATCTGAAATAACTGGAATGACAAGCGGATGCTTTAGGATGTAGCTATATAGTAGAAGCAGATCGAAAGCTCAAATTGCCGCGTACAAAGCGGAATCCCGGGCAGCAGACAAAACTGTTTATTGTGAGGGGCAGCCGGGGTGTTAGTTTACAGCGCCATCGTTTTTCCAACAAATTGGCTGGGCGAGGTCGTGATCCCAGCAGTTTTTCAGGCCACCGCGGTGAGAGATGATACCGAAAATGATCGTCGCTTTTTATCAATGCTGGTTGAGCTTTTCGCGATCCTTTTTTGGTGAAGCTGATTAATGAAAAAGGATGAAGAGTTACGTCAGAGGGTTTCAAGCCGGTTTATTTGGTACTCTACATTTACAGATGTATCGCATTCCTCGGCGATTACGATTTTTGGGCTGAAAGCATCGCCTAGCCATCAATTTTTATTAATCAGCATTTGGCTTCGCTCGGTCGTTATACCACAACATCAGAATTGAGCCGCTCATCACAAAGCGACCCGCTGAGGACGGGGCTACGTATTGGAAAACAAGCTAAATGTTTTTTATACTTTTAAAGGGCTAGTTGATAATAGATTTTCTGTACAGCCTTGTCAAATTCCGTTCGTCTACCTTGTATTTCCTCGCTTCCCCGGCATCTGTAATTAAATTTCAATTTTCATACGCCCGATTGCACATCTAATTCTGAACGACTAGAGGCTGAAAAGGCATAGCCTCGAGTGGCCAACACAGAGGCCAAGGGCATCGATCCTGTTCCTTCCATCCTCCCTTCCAGGGTTTGGCCCCAGTGGCCCATCGTAAAAGCAAGGGGCGGTCTTTTTCAAAAGCTTCACCTCCACGTTTCTGAAGCATCGACGCGGCCTTTTCGTATTCAGGGTCCGGCGTTTCGTGCGCATTCTTTTTGGTTCACTTTTTGGGGCCGATATTTTTGGTGGGCAAACACGGTTTTGGGATGAATCGAGGTGGGGGAGTCGGCACTTGAAATTTATTGCTAGGCGGAATTTTTTTGAAGGAATGTTGGTTGGCATTTTGGGTTTATAGGTGAATGTGGTTGAACCTGAATTTTGGAATGCTAAAGTTTAGTTTACGCTGCCAACAGGAATTTCGTATGTTTCTTCAAAAAATTATTTTCCACCAGTTTTTACGCTAATTTAAATCTTTATAATCTAAAGAACAAGGTGAACATCTTCATATATATTTTAGTGCCCTGTACCACAAAAAGGGTCGGTATCCATCGATAGTTTGAGATCTTTGAAATTTATTTATATAGCTTACAGGATTAAAATACTTCTCCAGAGAGGCATTTCCAACAATTTTAAACCTTTTTTTTGCATCTTTCTCTCCAAGAAGCTGATCCCTATCACATTTCCGGTGCCGGGTTCAGCTTTATTTACAGAGCGGAGAGGGCCATCCGAGTAGTGAAGTAGCGAAACATTAGCGACGTTCTCCGCTCGGATGGAGGGTAAATAGGCCTTGAGGACACATAATTGAGTCCCGGAGGGCTGAGCAGCCCATGTGAGCATTCACCATCGTCTTACACGCCTTCGCAAATGTTGCCCGATTGACTAATGCACAACATGCGGGGCCTGGTTCACCCCTGTACAACCTATTTTTGGGTTATTACTACGTTCAATACCGTATTTGCTTTAATATAAGTCCCTTGGGAGATGATGGTTTTGAAAAATATGCTGAGAAAATTTGTCAAAATTCATTTAAAGTAAAACCAAACAAAAATTAGGTTTTTATTTGCTTTGGCTCGGTGTTACCATTCATTTCCCGGACGTTTAGATTGCCAAAAATTGCTTAAATTGCTGTAACTACGGTAGTTGGATGGATTATTTGAATGGAAATTAAGCGCTTCACACTTTTGTTTGTGGGTCGCCGGTCTCTTCCACGAAATACACCCCCTAAATCTTAGAAGCTTAATGTGCGTATAATTTCCGCCAGAGTGGCTGGATCGAACAGCTGGAAGGTTTAAAATTAAATTTTTGTGTTGTAAGATTTTTAGTTTAGATTTCATAGGCCTGAAATTCAAGCTCCATGGAGATTTTTTGACGCTAGGGCTATTAGAATTTTCATAATGCCGAAAACCTGTGGTTTCGAGGCTTTTTCAGATTTTTTTAGTTTCGCTCCAAATTTTCCAGCAATTTTGCAAAACCAGTTGTACAAATAACATATCCATTTGGTGCAGCTAAATCAATCAATTCGTCAGCCCGCCCAGGTTGTCCATAAATCCCGATGGCCCTTTGACTGGCGGATGGGTCTCTCCTCACGTGGGTCCTTTCAGTCATCCTCAGCAGCTTTTGCAAGTGTAAGCCCCCCCTCCGGCCATGTGTGACGGGAACATCTCAAAAATCTGCCGCAACACCCCGCGGGCAACCGCAGCGGCTACTCAAATTACTTGAAGCTTTGGCACCTAGGTGATTTTGGAAACGGAACTGTTTGAGCGAGCCGGAACACTTCAAAAAATTATCGTCCTGTCTTTACTCCGCTATAAGCTCAGGATCTTTAGCATTATCGGGGTGGGGACCCATTTTTTTGGATTAGTCCAGGAAGAGGAAATATTTTTGTAGTGTATTAGTAGAATGTATATGTATCAACCGCAAAAACTAGTTGAAAATAAAAAATTTCTAAAAACTAAGAATTTTGGCCGAAATAGAGCATTTACTTGTATTTTTAATTTAGCTATTTAAGAAATGTTTAGGCTTTGGAGGAGGAGACAAAACAGTTTAGAAACATTTAGATTTATTATATTAAAAAGTTCAATACTTTTTCACTCGTGTTCATAATCCTTACATAAACAACTGTTTTGATTTAATGCAATACGACATTTCAAATATTCATCAAGTTTAAAATAATTTAAGATAAAATATGCTTACAAATCCACGTGCTTTTTCTGCCTATTTCCTTGTATTAATAATAGGTATATTTAGATCATTTAAATTTCAGAATGGACAACCCTTATGCATCAGCCAACATTACAGCACTCGTCGTTAGCGCAACAATTCTATTATTTTGCGCGCTACTGTATATTGTATTCCACACTACACGAGCTATGAGACTACATGCGCATCGGCAAAGGCGCGATGAGTATGGTATTGAGATGCCGACAAAGAGTATTACTACGGAAACGATAGCTTGATAGGTAAGTTGAACGCATGGCGCCATCGGCGCTCGCTCTCTCTCTCTCTCTCTCTCTCTCTCTCTCTCTCTCTCTCTCTCTCTTGCAGTCTCTCTTGCATTTGCACTAGCGTCGTGCCCTCTCTCTCTCTCTCTCTCTCTCTCTCTCTCTCTATCTCTCTCTCTCTCTTTCTGTCTCTTTCTCTCTCGCTCTCTCTCACTTTCTCGCACTCACTCTTGCATTTTATCTCGTGTCGTGCTCTCTCTCTCTCTCTCTCTCTCTCTCTCTCTCTCTCTCTTGCACTCTCCCCCTTTATCTCTCTCTCGCTCTCAAGATATAACTAAACTAAAAATACTAAATTATTTTTAGCAAAAAATCGCCGAAATCCATCCATCCCTTCAAAATCACTTCTACGATCTCAGAACACCCCCATCCCAAAATACCGGTCGCCTATGTACAAATTGCAAAAACCACCAAATTGTGCAACAGCCAAGAATAAATCTATTTATTTATTTCTTTGACTAGGTCAACACGACAGCTTTCAGCAACACCCGATTTGTATTCTGATCCCGGAGCCCTGGCCATAGTACCGAACGGATTTGCGTTCGACTCGGGTCGGAGGCTAAAAAAAGACTTATTCGTCTTCAGGGCAAAGTTGAAGGCAAATTTCCCTATTATTCTGAATATTAAAATTTTTAAACTTACCCTCGAATCTGGTATGCTTTTCGGAATCGAACAACGTGGCCTCGTATTCAATTCTCATTCTAAAAAAATAGTAAATGTTCGTAAAATCGAGCCGAAAACTTTATACCTAGGATACCGGCCGTCAATACCAGCTACTAAATCCCAGCAAACATCTACACATTCCAGAACGAATCTTTAAAAAAATTAAGTTTAAAAAAGTTAAATCTAAACAATTTTGACTAACCTATTGAACCTTGTACACGTCTTTAAAGATGGAAAATCATAAAGAGTATGCCAAATCTGGGTAGTAACTTCCTAAAAAAAAATACTTAACGGTCGTAATCGTTTATCGGAGCACACCTTTGCATTACTCATCCCGTGTTGACTCTTCGCTCTCCGATACATATGCCGGTACAGCGCTACTTCCAGCATGTTAGCCTCTTCGTTCTCCTTCTTTTCTTCGCCTAGAAAGTTGCAATTTTTTATTATTGCAACATTTTATACCTTCTTCTATAACATCGAATATTTTATTAAGGCGCATTAAAACAGATTCAAGGACCGAACGATAGGTTAGCTGAAAAATGGATAGAATTGTTTCAAACTTCAAGAATTACCACTGCAACCGATAGAATCGTTTTCATCTGCAATTCTTCTGAGCCCCGGAATTCCGGAAGACAATTTAAGGTTGCCATTAGGTCACCTCTAGAAGAAAAATATTTTAGCGTAATTATAGTTATGACGTACTTGTCCTTATCGAATAGGTCTGAAAATCGCTGAATCAAGGCCCGAACGTCTTCTTGGGAGGAGCAGTTGTAGTAGCTGGTTGCTTCTGGGTAATCGGGTTCTGGCCAGAGTCTAAAGGAACTTTAAAGGTTAAAGCTTATGCATTAAAGGGAGGGTGACAGGTATCAATTTAATACTTACCTTTCTGAATGTCGCTCGACACTATTTTTCATCAGGTGCTCCACTTGAGCTTTTGCATTGGTTAGTTCATTTTTAAGGTGATCGATCTGTGATAAGAAAGCGCATTAATGAATATAAATATTATGAAAATGTTCTGGCACATCTTTAAGCAGTACATCTGTGGCCAACTTACATGCAACCTCAATCGTAACGTATCATCCGGATTTGGATTATGATAATTACGAATAGGATATTCATGAACTCTCCTCATCTCGCCGGATTCTAGAAAAGATTAACTTGATAAATAACGATTAAAAATATCTCAAAATTCAATAAATCGTCAGAAGATAGGAAAGACAACCCGCCCATAAATGGCAAGCATTTGAGGCGTTCGATCCAGGGGGGAGTGTAGGTGTGGCCGGATAGCGGTTTTTGGCGTTGGCCTTGAAAAGCCAACCCCCCTTTTGCCTTGCCTAAACACCCATTGTCACAGCTGGACGGACACAAGGAAAAGGCGGAAAACAGAAAGGAAAAGAAAGAATGACATATGCCATCACAATACCCCCTCGATTCTGAGATGTCACGAAAGTGTGCATAGGTTTAAAGGGGCTGGGAAGTGGGAGCATCGGGATTTTCGTTAAACTTGATGCCGAAAGATATCAGCGACGTTAGAAAAGTCAGGGGATATTTAGCATCCCTAAAGAAGAGACCCAAGAGTAAACGGAATTGGTCGATTTTCGCGTTTCATTTTGCTTGAAAAATATTATTGATTTTTTTAGTAGAAGCTGTTAGCTTCAAATAGCAACTCTTTCTTACACTTTATTTTAAATGCCACAAATGGACAATAAATTAGATTCCTAGTGTAGCTGAAAATTGGGCAAAGGAATGCGCATGTTTTTCTACCCTACCCTACCCAAAAACCGGGTCAACCCATTGAGTGAAAAGTGGCTGCTATCAAAAGGTGGATCTTGCGGGCGAGAAGGGAAATTGGCTACCTGTGTGTAAACTAGATTTAATGGAATAATAGCAAGCATTTGATGGTAAATGAGGTAAAATATCTTAAATAAAAATAGTTACTCTAGGGTTTCAAAGACTCCACAAACCTAAAAAATTTTCAATATTTTCTTAGCGTGTTTTTCTCTGATATTTTGTGGCGCTTTGAAGCGATAAAAGTATGTCAATTTATATAAAACAAGTGAAATTTTTAATTAAAGCCATTCCCATTCTAAATAGTGAATTTCCTAGTTTAATCTAACTAAAACCTTTTAAAATATAGATACTTATTCTTTCCGGTCTTAGGAAAAAGATAATTTTGCAGTATGATATTGTAATAGCTGTAGCGTTTAGCAAGTTATAGTGTAGTCATCTAGTAAACTCTAGTATACAGCAGCCAGCGGTCAAAGAATAAAAGAAACGCGCACACGCAACACTTTCTACGTGGCCACCCTGTGCAAACCCATCCCATACCCCCGGTGATGGTTCCGAATTCTCGGGTTTCAGACCGGATTCAGGAAGAAGCCAATGCCAGGGTGCTGTTTGTGTTGGTTGTTTGGGTACGTACACAATCCCGTGGCCAGTTCACAATAAATTGCGTGGCAATACCCTTGACGAACCTGATGCTAGGCTTGTGGATGAGATGGCTGTTGAGATTTGGATGGAGTCTAAAGAAATATTGTAGGCGTGTGTATTATAATTAGAACCTGATGAATTTGGAGTTGCGGTTGTGCCTGGCTCACTTCCGCTTTCATTTGAGCATCCGCTATCGTAATCTTGGTAGCTGGCAATGTGGAGGAGCTAAGGAAATTTGGAATTTTATTTTATTTGAAAATTTTTTAACGTATATTTAAAGGTAATAAAAATGCGAAAAATGTCTGTTGTCCACAGTTTGACTGCCCTCTAAGTACTTTTAAACCCTCGATCGCGAAAATACATAAGGTATTCTATCAAAAACTACCTTTTCATACGCGGCATTAAATATAACAATAATCTCGGCAATCACAGGATCCGTCGAATCAATTCTAAACTTTTAAAATTTTTAAAAACAAATTCCTACTGAAAATTTGTGGGAGCAGCCCGTTTAAACGCATTAAAAAGCCCGACCAACAACCGATCCGAAGCCACCCGTTTTCGAGCAATTCGAAGAAGTGAAGTTAGCTAAATAGAATTTTTCTGGTTTCATGCATGATATGTTGAGTACCGTAAAACCTACGTGATTATTCGACGTCGCTTCGGCCAATAGCTTTTCTACCCCCTCGTTGTGCTGGAGACGCACGCTAATCTCTGATAACTTCAGTTGCATTTGTCTCTGGTGTGAAGCGGAGCTAGGCGAAGCTTTGTTTTCTAAAAATTGGTTTACTTTAGAGGAAAATGTTAGCTCTCACCATTACTCTTTTCTGTAATTTCCTTTAATTCATTGATATTGGATTTCAGTTTGTCTTCCTTTCGACTCATCTCGTGTTTTGAGGCATCTTCAATTCTGGATTTTTTTTGGGTTTTGAATTTTCAGGTACAGTATCCTTACCGTATCAATCCTTTTGATGAATTCACCAGTCCATGGCATCCGAGGCTTTCCAGGCTTAATTCAAGCTGTCGTTTATCCGATGCAGCACGAGTTAATATTGCGGGATACCTTCTAGCTATCACTCCAAGAAGTGCGGCCAATGGTCTCTCATGCGACTAAACAAAACATAAAATTTTAATTGTTTTGAAGTACCTCCAAACTAGGCAACGTTTTAGGGCATGATTTTCCATCCTTTTCGCTTTGTTCTAAGTAGGCGACCCACCTAGAAAAGATGAAATGAAGCTAAGCAAGCTGAAACTGACCAAACAATCCGGGAGAAAACGTCTGGAGCTTGCAAGGCTGCTGTTCTTTGCTTGGCATCAAAAAATTGTCGCTGAAAGTGGATTATTTTTTGTTGTTTTAAAAAATAAATCTACCTCTTCGCAATGTAGATAAAGTGCTTCAAAAATTGGCAGTGTCCACGGAATAGAGTCGACTAAAACACCAATAGCTGGTAGAAGGGATAGGAGAGCTTCGAGGTCATCCCCGCGATATTCGTTAATCTATAAGGGTTACGATTTTAATATGTAACTACTTCAATCAAGGTCCTTAGGCATCGAAAACTACGTAACATACCTTATTGACGTATTCGCGTAGGGTTGGCGGGTCAAAAGCCGGGTTGCCGGGGTCCCAATGGCGGATGAGGAGTCGGGTTTTGACTTTTAGACCGTTACGAACTTGAGGAAACTGAAATAGATGAGTCTATAAAATTTAAAAAGAATATATTAATATAAAATTATCAAGAAAAAGATAATTAAATTAATCAAAGAAAAGTCAATTAAATGGTAAAAAACGTACCTCAAATTTCCAACCAGCTGCTTTCCTTGTACCCTTTTTTTCTTCGGACATCTTGGTTCTGTAATTTTAAGTTCACCGTAACTTAAAGTTGATAATATAAAAAATAAAAGTTAGAAGATAGGCAGAAAGCCGGAGGCTGGCCGATGGGGTGGAAGCACAATTCATGTTTCTTGAGCCGGTCTGGCTTCTGTTGCCCCCCGTACTAAATGCTAAGCCCTTGACGTCGGAGGGATGGAAACGGAGGAGAGGGAGGGGGGCAACAAGAGAAGGTATGCAAATTTGATGCCTCGATCGAGCGAGGCGACCCTTATGGACATACCTTAAGGGGTATATCTTTGTAGAAATGATAGTCAAACTGGACCGGTTTTGCCTCAGGGATTTTGAAAATTGACATAAATTCTTGAATTGGAGGAGAGAAAGGTAAGCAGCAACTAGAGTACGTGTAATAATTTCGATACCTTTTCTAGACGGTTTGAGGCAAGATTAGATTGTATGAATTAAAATACAATATTGCAACTATTAACACTGGTTATAATCCGATCCATAGAAATCAAATCGAAGTGTTTATCGCCGGACCAAAGTCAGAAGCCCCCAGATGGGAATCGCGCGCGGCGGGAGGAGGCATCAATTGTTGATTCGGGCGCCTGAGGGGCGCCTCATCGGCCCTTGAGGGTCCGCAAGAATACACACAACAAAAATTAAAGGGGGATTGGAGTCGGCAGTCTACATTGTAAATTGTGACTAAAACGAAAGGGATTTTTCTTAATTTAATTATTATTTTTATTGCAATGCTGAACCTGGTGTAAAAATTTCAAGATAAAGTTTAGGGAAGATGATTGAACAAAAATGACTTTTAGAAAGATAACTTTAGGAAGGGTGAAATTTAGAAACAACTAAAATAGGCGATTTTAAGAGGTTCCAAAGGACGAAGATCCACGACGGAAAGATCTACTCACAAAGCTGGTTAATCATCTACTAAAGTATCCACCCAGTACGCAACATTCCTAAACACACCCCTCACCTAGGTGGAAAGCGGTCAACAATAGTAGCCTAAATGGTGTCTGCCGGCTCTGCCCGCCACCCGCAAAATGCGCGAACCCGCCCGTCGCAAGGGGGGCATTTTCCTGCGGATTTCGAGCCATTTGACAGGTTCTCGGGTGGCCGATCGTCTTCTCCCCTTCTTCCTCTTCTTCTTCTGCAACCCGAATTCTGTCTTTCAACCCCAACCCCCCTCTGCAAAAAGTCAACACCCCTCAACCCGATCCCCGAGATGACGGGCCAACCTCTAAAACCCGGCCACCCCCCACGCGGTGCCCCATTAATTCAGCCGTTCGCGTTGAGGGTGCCGGGTAGAAAATGGGGCTGAGAAACAAATAATACCTGGGACTGGGGTCGACGGGGGATATGTTGCCCCCCCCTCCCCCACTAGCTGACAATGGAAATTTGAGATGGCACTATTTGTGACAGGATTCAGGTTTCGACCAGCGAGCCCAGAAGCTGAAAGTATTAGGTTATGTCAAAAATCCCTTTAACTCGCATTTTCTTATAACCTTTGATTATCAAAAAGGGCAGAACGCGATCAGAAAATAACGATTTTGACGTACGTTGTTAAGATCTAGAAGTAAACTGCGAAAGTCGGGTCAAAAACGCGCATAAAAATTATCAGAGAAGCAGCTTCTTAGCCACATTGCTTGGTATGTGTGTTCCAGGAGCGCATCAACCAGCGTACCACTATGATCAAGGGTATTCAATATTTTCTAAAGCACAGATATTTTATCTTTTAGAAATGGAACAGAGACATGCCCAGATGTCTGAAGACTATAGGGCTCTCACTACAGACTACAGTCGCAATTTAATCGGTTTAAGCGCTATCCAAGCTGTCTTTTCGCAAATGGCTTGCAAAAGGCTGTCGTTTCCATCTTGGGCTGCTAGGAAAGGCGTAAAAATTCTTAAATTGCGATTTTTGTAAAAAACCCTTTGGTCAGAAAAACATCAGAAAAGCCGCCCGTTTTGCAATTACATCAGTAAATGATAGAAAATTTTCAAAATTTAGTGAATCAAAGAGACGCGCTGGACTCGCCTTTCCGAGAGCTTTGACAGATACCTAAATCCGAAAAATCGGACACTTCGGCGGCCGGCTAGGGGAAATTTTTTGAGACACCTTGTATGTGTACAAATGTAAGTTTTTACGAGCTGAGATACCATTTTTCGGAACGAGCCGCCAAACTACCCCAGTAAAAGCTCCTTTTCAAAACAACCAAAGTGAGCCCCCTATTCCGGAATAGCACCGGCGATTTTATCAAACTTTTTGGTGTGTTTATATTTCTAGAGAGACCATTTTATTCCAGGTATTTTCGGTTGGTTGACCCTGTACAGTCTTGTGAGATAATTTAGAGGTTGGGGTGCTTGGCGAGGGCGAATCCGATCCTCTTCTGGCCAATGTCGTAAACGTTGCACCAGGCGCGGATGAAGGTGTCTCCAAGGATCCAGCTGGGGCCGAAGCCTATAATAAATGTTTTGTTTAGGTTTTTGCCCCTCATGCAAACTGCCTTCTAAGAACACTAAAAATTCACTCACCGCCGCCGTCCATGTCGAAGAAGGTAAGGGCGCAGTTGCCCTGTCCAAGCTCAAGGTCGACGACGTACTCAACCGAGGGCACGTTGTACTTGACGCCTCCAATGGTGAAGACGATATCGGGAAGGGTCTTCATCTGCGAGCAGGGAACGTAGTACAGCTCGTTCTCGAAGTCGTACTGGGCGTTGGTGGCCTTGACGACACCGTTGATGGCGGCGGATGGGGCTCCGATCCACGAGGTACCGGTGTCGGAGATGACCTGGTCCTTCTTGGTCGACGAGTACGATCCGGCGGTGAATCCATCAATGGGGAACTGCCAGTAGGTGGTGGCGGACAGGGGGACGTACTGGACGTTCGAGTCGCAGTTGACGGCATCGAGGGCTCCGTAGGTGATGAGACCGGCGCTCTCTCCCATGGGGATGTGGTCGGCCTTGCGGTCAAGCCAGACGGTGAAGATGGGTTGGTCAAGCTGGGGAAGGAGGTTCTGCATCGGGGGGACGACCTTGTCGACGGCGAGCGATGGCCAGCCAAGACCTAGAATCTTGGAATTAGAAAGTTTGTTTTAAAACTAAAATTTTAGAATTTGGAACGCAGGTAGAAGGGAAGTATTCTCCTAGTTTTGGTGTTTTTTTTACATCTTCCAACTCACCAAGGATTCCATCAACGGGCTGGTAGCCGAACACCTGGGCGATGGTGGTGGCAACTCCGAACTTCTGGTCCTGGATGGTCAGACCGCCGAAGGTGAGCACGTCATCTCCAAGGTAGCCGGAGCACGATCCCGATCCGTACTGGATGGAGAAGCGCTGGCCGTCCTTCTTCCAGGTGGTCGACTTGGTGGTGTCGAACTGGTTCTTGGTGTAGCCGGAGTCTGGGTATCCCTTGCAGGCCTGCGAGGTGCAAGCAGCATCGATGATCCAGAGGTTGGAAGATCCGGTGTCCAGCACGATGTTGCTGAAGGTCTGGGCTGAAATGGAGAGGTTTATGATTGGTTCGGCGGCTGAAGCCGTTAGCTACAATTTTTGGTATTAAAGGGGTTAGGTGTCTAAAAATGTGGTTTCGCAGCAAAGATTTCGCTTTTATCTTCGAAATTATTTGGCGTCTTGGCCTGCATTCTATGTTTCTCTACATTTTGATAGTAGGTTTGACGAATAACTAATAGATTGATCGCGGATTTGACTTCCTAGTTATATTTTTAATTAATTTTGATTTATGACTAAGTTACTTAGCTGTTTTAATAACTTACCCGGGGTTCCGAGGGTGATGGCTCCAAGGTAGAAGTCATCATAGTAGTCGAGGAAGGGCTGCGAGCCGCTGGCCAGCACAGCACGGCGGGCGTGCTTCTGGGCCAGGAAATCGCGGTAGGTGCCGGCCCTAGAATTAATATTGGTAATCGGTTTATTTCCACTTTTAGATGCAACACTGTTTTTGTTATTTAGCTACAAACTCACTTGATCATGCGGGCGATGTTGGACGGGCTCTTGCGGGCCTCCATCTTGATCACCTCGGCGCATAGCACCGCCGCCACAGCGGCCAAAAGGACCAGGGTCCTCATACCTAGAAAATGATGATGAAGATAGAACAGCTCCCAAGAAATATCGAAGAAAGAAAAGGACTACGGTATATGCAAGATAAGAGCGACACGCTTCAGCTATACTCCGCTTGAGGAAAAGCACAAGTCAAACCACTGCTGTTTGGGACCCGCCAACCTGATAAGCCACCCAAGAAAATGGTTCACAAAGCCCGACCGGTACCGCTCTTATATGCAGCGCTTTTTCGGCGTTATCATTTTCTGGGGGGCCACACGCTGGCATCTAATCGGCTCTGCCAACTCCGGGCTTTCGATGTCCGCTGAAGCCTGGACCCGGTGGGCTGGCTGGACCGAGCAAGGGGGGGGGATAGGGCGCTTCTTGTGAAGCCCATTGGTCTTTGGAGTGGGTTGAGTACATAGCGTTCGACTCTTTGTGAAAGTGGTTAATAATTGTCGATTATTATGTTGTATTTTTGGCGAAAGTGCTTGATAAGGTATATTTGGCGGATCTGCTAACGTCATATCGAAAATTCGTTGCGCAGAGTCTAGACGCCGACATTTACAATGTGTCGAAGTCCTGTTTCTCATTGTTCAGAAAGATTTCGCCGCTTCCAAGAGCTTTTTATGGTAACGGTGTGGTCCAGTAGCCAACTAAAGCGTCAAATTTCAACGTATAATTTTTATTCCTTTTAGGTTTTGGGAAGTTTTGAAGTCCAGAGATCCTAGATGTTTCTAGCGAGCTTCTATTCTCGATGTAGTTTCATCCTTCTAACCTCCTACTAAGCTAGGTCGTTGAATTATCGAATCTAAAGTTTTGATATAAACATAAAAATTTATGTTTCATATAAATTCTTTGACTTCTAGCATCTGCCTTTTTGGCTACCTATTGTGAATGTGGCTCTGTAAGGACTAGCTTGTCATTTGGAAAAGGCCTATGTTTTGCAGACAATTCTTTTGCTTTACTTTAATCCCTTTATCACGTTTTCTAGGAACCCTGTCAATCGGAAAGCCCGGGTCTTCCGCGTTTGATGTTTATGCTTTTTGGCAGCTAAAATCCGGCTCTCAACCGCTTTGTTGCTATCAGTTGCCGAAACCATGAAGCCGAAGTGGAGTTGCTGGGAAAGAGATGGTCGGCCGATAAGCCCGGGATGGCCATCTCGAATAGTCCCGTGATATTCAATATGACGTGAAATCCGGGGGGCTCCGGGATTCTGGGGGGCGGCGTGCACGGGCTAGATGACGTTCGCAGCGGGGGTCAATGGACAATTTTATTACTGGGCAAAGTTTTGTGGCGATAAGGTTTAGGGTTCTAGTTCATTGCCGTTTTGATTGTCTCGTTTCTTGGGTCTAGTCAATATTTATCGTTGTTAATATCGATAGTTCCGTTGGTAGGGTCGTTGATATTGTTGATATTGTTGTTGGTAGGGCCTGGAAGGTAGTGTAAGTTTTAGCTGTCTTAAAATAGCTTTTTCGTACCTGTTGTAATAAGTTTCTTCGGAAGTTGTGTCCGGATATGGATCTTCCGGAGAAGAATCGTAGCCAAAGCCCATCCAACTGTTGCTTCGACGTCCCGCGTAGCCTCTAGAGTTCAACGTTTAGGTTTTGTAATTAAATTCGGCTAAAATTGTCAATTTTTTTGTAAAGGTTGCTTACCGATTTGCAGTGGGCGCGTAATTGCCATAAGCTCCGTAGCCGGAATTACGATTTCCTTGCCCGTATCCACGTGGAGCGTAATACCCGTAGTCTTGGTTACCATATCCTAAACTCACACTTTAAGACTTTTGCCGCTCCTTCCCACCTGACGAGCCGCGCTGCGTTTTTGCCGGTTTTGGCTGAGGATTGTTGATCTGCTGATCAGTTCCTTGGGTATCGGGTAGTTGTGGCTCGTAATTTTGAGCGCTATAAGGAGGGTAACTTACAAATGCATACTTTTTACCTTGCCGCCATCGCAGCAATGAAAACCAGCGCCAGAGTGAGATATTTTGGGAGGACCATGATTTGGTGGCTTTCAAAGAATGGCTGCCGGCTTTTATACATGTGCTCCGTTCCATTTCTCTGGCCCGATAATCTTTGCGCGATCATTTCGGGACCAATACGTCAAAGATTATGTAGATTTTGGCATCAAAAATTGGGCAGAGTCTTGCTTGTTTTTTGAGCGGTGTCGCTGCATATCTCTCTCACACTCTCTCTCTCTCTCTCTCTCTCTCTCTCTCTCTCTCTCTTTCTCTCTCTCTCTCCACCCAACCTCTAACTGTAAAGTGTTTTTACTCAACTTGGAGCTTCGATTCGGGACCATGTGCATCTTGTACAGAATTTTTCGCTGATTCCGAATATGTTTTCCAAATTTGCTACGGACTATTATTTAAAAAATCATTTTTGGTAACAATCAGGCCGAAAAATGCCAAAAATTCAGACGCTGGCCCACTATTCCTTGTTTGGGGCTATGGTTCCCAGGGGCCCTGAAGTACCCTCTGACAGCACCCTTCCCAGTTGGCGCCATGGTGCATTGGGAAAGTACTCGCTTGCCAAGCGCAGGGCGGCGGTTCGGATCCCCGCCCTGCACCTTTCTTTTGCTTTTTGCATAAAAAATTTAATTTTTTATAAAAAAGCTTGTTTTGAGCTGTAGGATGCTTGTCGAGCCAACGTCTAGTCAATTTTGACGTTGAAATTAATGAAGAAAATCGAAAACTATAACGATACCTTCATTTTGGTGAAAACTAGGGTCATAATTGCCGTATAACTTTCAGAATAACGGTCCGTAGCAAATTTGGAAAACATATTCGGAATCAGCGAAAAATTCTGTACAAGATGCACATGGTCCCGAATCGAAGCTCCAAGTTGAGTAAAAACACTTTACAGTAAGATTGCAAACCAAAAAAAGTTTATTCTATATATTTGAATCATCACAGAACCTCGTGTCGGAAATACTTTAGAAAAAATATTTGCATGGTGCACGATTACAGGGTTGCAGAAAATTGGGGGTAAGTGAACGTCTAGGTTCACCGAGTTTTCTAGAGAAACAGGGAAGCTCTGGGGGTGGAGAGTAGCACGGCAATCAATTCAAAGCAGGTTTTTTAAAAGTTAGGCATAAAATTGTAATTGCTGTAGTAATAATGTTGATATAAAGGCGACGAAAGACAAAATGATTCCCGGGTATGTGGAGTGATTGGCGGGAATTTGGAGCAAATGTTCGCAGCCGGCATGGCAATGGCTGAGGCCCTAAAAAGAGCATTAATTTACCATTAATGACTTACTATTAATAGTTAAATAATTTTAATAATGTAATTTGACTAAATTTTAAATAAGTTAAGAGTTTTAGTTATTTTAGCTGTGACAAATTTCACTAACCGGTTGCAAACCCGGTTCCATGCATGTGCACTTTGCTGCCTCGCCACAAACTTTTGCCCGATCACGGAGCACCTATAATAATTACAAACATTCCATGTTTAGGGAGTTTAATAATCTTTGATTTTTCTGTGTTTAATTAAAATAACTCACAGACTGCAGGGCACCCTTAAACTGTCGACAGCCCTCAGCGTCCCGCGTCTGAGCAACAGCATCCGCTGAAAAAATCTTATAAAAATGCTTTAACCACCGTACCCAATTGCACCAAGTTGAGCATCTTTGACTGGTCGTCCTGTCGGCTGTCGGCCATTTGCTGTTTGCACATGGCGAGTGAATGCTGATGGCATCCTTGTTCGCAGACCAGCTTCCCGAATCCACGGTAGGAGAGGAACACTTGGATTGGGAGCTTTTTGCCGAAAACCATATGGTATTGCACGGCGGCTACCTGAAGTAGGAAGTTTTTTGGTGCTGGCGCGTTAACGGGGGGGGGAGCGACCACGCCCACTCGTCTTGACCTTTCTCAATAGGCCTATTGGGAGCCCCCCCCCCCCACGCTAACAAACAAGAACCGAATCTTGCTAGGTAATGGCTTACATGAGCTGCCATTTCATCTGAACATCCGGGGAAGGTGAAGCAGAGGGCTATCCGGCGGACATCATGGCAAAGCATAAGGTTTCGAAGTCCGGATTGGCCTCTGAAAACGAGGGTTTTTGGGTTATAGTCTAGTGGACTACGGTTTAACTTTTGTATTTCAACTCCCATATGAGCTGTAGCGCTGTAAAGTATACCAAAATCTTCGCCTTAAACTATTGAATAGGAATAGGTCACTTTCATAGCCGAAGAAATAGCGGAAGTTACAAACGTTGTCCGACTTCCAGCGTCCATTATCTACTACTATCCTGGACGTGTAGAAGTCGGGTCGCTACACGCAACGCGTGCGCACACGCCCCCAAACCTTCCTCACCTCGACATATTTCCAAATAGCTGTGGCACCTCGCGAACGCGACGATCCGGCGGCAACATGACAGCCATGAATATCTCTCGGAAACAATTCTCAAGATCGAGCTGATAGCAGAAGTCTTGCTCCTGGGTGGATCCGAAGATGAATGCCGTGGAGAACCCGGGGAATAGGGTTCCCCACAGCATTGAATACCACCACATCCACCACCGCCAACTCATCCACAGCCACCGGCTGATGAGCGGGATGTCATTGGATGGGCCTGGAATGGGGATATCGTTAAGTTATTGTAAAATCATTTTATATGAACGGAAATAAAATATTTAAATAAAGAGAGAAGGATAAAGAGAAAAAGGGCCGCCTGTAAAAATACAAATTTTTAAGATAAATAAGAGTATGGATAAGCCACCCAAAAAACCGCATTTTAGAGGTACCAATTAAAAACCAAAATATTTTAAAAACCATTTCAGGGAAAGGCAGCAATTTATATAAAATATACGGTTTTTAAAAATATTTTAAAATCCAGAAAACCGAGGAAATAAAGAGATTTATCTTATGGGTCTCGCAGTTTTAGGCGCTAGCCGCTTCATATGTAAAAATACAAATTCTGTTGCTAAAAAAAATTAACAATTGAATTTTTGGGGGCACGGAGAACAAAAATGCGTAATTTGGAGTATATAATTCCGTTCTATACTATTTTGAAAGTCGCTAAACATTCTTTAAAGGAACTTTTTCTAAATTGCCAAAAACAGACTAGAGTACACCTTAAAACAAACACCATCCAGCCTGTCCAGAGTACATCAAGGTACACAAGAGCTCACTGGCTGGCGGGTGGTGGTGCGCATAAAAGTGTAGATCAGCCCCTAACCCACCCCCCTCTGGCGGTCTCCCGCCCATTCCGGAAGGTGTTTCGGCACGGAAAACGGAAAATGCAATCGCTCGGCCCATATCACGCAATTTTCGCCCACCACTTATCCCCCAGGGGGGGGGGGTGGGGGAGTGGTTCTCCTTTCTACCAGCCAGCCTCAACTCATAGCAAAGGGCTACCAACTGGGCCCCCGAGAAACTCGGTTTGGTTCTTCGAAAAATGGGTGCATTTTGAGGAAAAAATGGCATGGGCGATAAAATTTCGAGTTGAAATGGGGATTCTGAGGAAATATTATTCCTCGGTCGAGCGTTGTTTTAAAGGGATACATGCAACAAAAACCTTAGACTCGTGCGGCCGCGTTGCGTATCCATTTTATCGTATGTATCTTGAAATTTTGAAGACACGCCACTCGTCGAAAAACTCTGGTGTTTGCGCATCTAAGCCCAAGCCGAGCTTGTGCAGAATTTTTCGCTGATTTCGAGCTTGTTCTCAAAATCTGCGAAACGATCAGATCAAAAAAGGTATAAAGCTTTTTCGGGTGTAAAAGGCAAAAAGTTGTCGAAATTGGACCATTTTGAGGCTTTTTCGCGATTAAAACCTTCAAAACTTTTTGAATCGGAGCGTTTTCCAGCTCTTCAAAGCAGGTTCGGATTTAGCGCAAAATTCTTCACCAGATAGGCTTGGTTCCGTACGGACCCGATTGTCACTAAAATCGTCTCCTTGTTAGCTTGAAATTCTGAACAGGGTTTTTTAATAACTACACATAAACTAAACTACTGCTGGGCCCGCTAGCTACAGTAGTTTAACAGGCCGAAACTACCCGAATTTCTCAAATAAAAAATAAACCGGACTAACTAGACCTGCCCAACCAGTTCAACGGAACCGGTGGGTCGTCTTGAAATAATGAGAGCCACACGCGGAAAATCAGTTGGACCCCCGACGCCGCAGCTGCTCATCGGAGGGGAGGACACCATTATTTGGATGGGTGGAATGGGGTGCCTACTGGAAAAGGGAGGTGCTCGATCCCGGAACGAATGCTCAATTCACTGCCCGATTGCTGGCACCAAATTCCTTTTGGGGTTGTTTTAGAAAGAGGCGGATCTATGGCGATGAATCAAATTAAGAATACAATCAGGACGAAGAAGAAAAAACAAACACTTAAAATTCAAAAAACTTGAGTATAGGGACAGGCAAGGCATAAATATTGATTTTTTTTGATGGCACAAGCAGCGCGCATACTTGTCTTTCCGTAGCGTAATGTATACGACCTCTCCGCGGCTACCCTATGCTTCATAAAAAACACTTCCCTACCTTACCCATTCCTACAAAGCGGAAACTAAAACCCAATCTCTAGCTTTGCACTAAGAAACCCGTTCAACCCCTGGAACTACGGTAGTAGCGTTCCTCTCCCCTCCCCCCCACCACCACCACCACACAACACCCCAGCTAAGGTATTGTCGTCAGCTGTTTGGAGGAGTAAGAGGGATGGCTGTATTCGAAGAGCACTCGATCATCAGTCCGTCCTCAACCCCCCGGAGGCGCCAATTTGTCGAAGCCGTGATCGATGGCTCTGATTGCCGGTTTCCTTCCAGGGTTCCCCCCTCTTTTCCATACCAAACCCGGGGCACCAACCCTGGGGTTGAACGGCCAAAAATTTGGGTGCGCATTTTCCGTCCTTATGATATTCCAAAATGTGGGAAATACAAAAATCCCTGTAGAATCGGGCGATTCGACTTAAATTATGTAATTTTAGGGACTTAGGTTTATTTTATTTTCCTTCTATTCAAAATGTTGCGAATCTTGAGCTTTTCAAAACCGTACAGTAGGTATAAAAAGAGCTCAAGATAAATAATACAAGCTCAAATTCGGATTAGGGCCTTTTGGCATTAGGTGTAAAATCATCCTCACCGGGGTCCAAAAGCTCTTTAAAGGAAGCAAGAAGGCAGGTTCAATTTAGATTGAAAATTCATGAAAAAGAAAACGCAATTAAAAATAATAATTCGCAGAATTAGGCATATTACAGAAACGCCATAAGAGTTTAAATGCCTGACTAATAAGCTGAGGTTTCAAAGCAGCCACGAAAAAGTTCGAATGTATATCAAGCTTTCGAAATTTCCCACGTAACTCTAAAGCCGAACGAAAAGTAAGGTGCGGGCAGTGATGCGACATTTGGCCCCTGAGTCTCATTTCGGCTGTGAAGGACTTATCTCATTCTCACCGGGGGCCCAGGAGAGAAGGGAGGAGGCCCAGTCAACCCAAATGGACTAATTACTCGGTGGAGACCGGCAGCGGCACCCGCATTTTCACCCCCAAACACATCCAACACTGACAGCTATTCGACGGCCAAAAAGATGGATGGGTTGAAATAGTAAGCGTAATACGATTAGTACTATGGAGTAAAATGCATAGAAATAGTACGCAAAAAAGTACTAATATTTTCAATTATCGTATAATTTTGTAAGCGCCGTTAGATGGAGCGTCGAAAACGCTTTTTCATTTTTTAAATTTGATTTTGTATAATCGCTTTTGTCGAAATTTTTCCATTTTCGCCTTGATTATTCAGCTCAAAACTTATGCAAATTGAAATTTCAGCGCACCGAAATGTCGACAAAATGTTTTCGACGAACCGAGAAAAACCCGTCGAAAAATACCAAGAAAATTACTTTCAGCTCGGAAAATGTAGTTTCAAGTTTTATTCCAACAAAACGATTGTCGAAATCGGTAAATTTTTGTATTTTTTTGTCGATATTTTGAAAATGCTACTTTGAGAACCTAGTAACACGTAAAAAAAACACCCTAGCCGCGCTCTATTTTCCGCCCGTCTCCAGAAAAGCGACTCACCACCCTTCACGGCGCATCTATCTATCTATCTCACTTCCCAGCGAGTGCGTGAGGGCGGAAACTCGCGGAATGTAATTGTTTCTTTTTCACCCTCGAAATCCCCCCGGCATCGGCTCACTACCCAACGCACGGGCCCTACACACAGAGACGAAAAAAATGGGTCTAAAATGGGACGGGGCCGAATTTGAATTTTGCTTCTAAAGCTAGGTACAGTAGCGGTCAAAAAGATGTCCCCTCGGGAGATCGCTTGGTGCTCGTAAACTACAGGCCCAAATTTTATGAAACGTCGTGTCTAGGTCAATTCGGTTGCGGGGAATCCGATGGCAACATTGAAATCTATTTAAAATTTGATTTCAATGGTCAACCTTCGATTTCAAAAAATCCGTAAAAATCAACTTTTTCATCGGGGATTTTCGGGTTTCCAAAATGTGTCCATCGTGTTCGCAAGGGTCGAAAACCACTAGTGCGTTATTTTACGACACTTTTTCTGCCGGGGCCTGACGATACTGACGGCCGAAAGTTGCTGTCGCGCGGGCCAAAATCCTTTGGATAGGCTTATGGGGGCCAGGAAAGCGCCCCGCGGCGACTACTTCTCGGCCTCAAGGTAGCGAACCTCAAAGAGATCAATGTTTTGAAACATGTTCGAGATAGGTTTTCGACCCTTGCGAACACGATGGACACATTTTTGAAACCCGAAAATCCCTCAGGAAAAAGTTCATTTTACCGATTTTTTTAAAAATTAAAGTTTGATCACTAAAATGAAATTTTCAGCCGATTTCAAGTTCACTATTGAATTCTCCGTATCAAAATCGACCTAGTGGCAAAGTTTCATAAAATTCGGGCCTGTGGTTTAAGAGCATCAAAGGATTTCCCGAGGGGACATCTTTTTGACCGCTACTGTATATCAGCCTTGTCAAGCCTTTTAAACAAGTACTGAAGTTAAAATCTGAACGTTTAAAGATCTCAGGTAAATGCTAAGGAAACTAAAACACGAAATGAAAACTCAGAATGACACTAGGAACTAGCGTAATTAGGAGCATCATGTAGCTCGACAGCAGTTTTATAGCTAACCAAAATATGGCGAAACAAAAATGACTAAATTAGTATGGAAGTGAATGAAATTTCAAAATAAAAATAATAATGCAATAGAAATAACTAAAAATTTCTAACTTCCCAACCCCTTTAACCGCCTCATTTCCTCCCCAAAAACCAAAAAGGAGTCAACAATTTAGACGGAATTGTTTTGCACACACGCCCACCACCGCTCAAAAAAAACCCAAAGAATTCACAGACCTGAAAACCCGCCAAGTTAGAATTAAAGCATAGAATGAGCCGCTCCTCCCCTTCCTCCACTGATTTGCATGCCGAGAATTGGACCCCTCCCCCGTGGTGTACAAAGGAGCCGAGCGGAAATGAAGCTATTTGCAAGGGGATCCGTTTACATCTCGCATCATGATCTTGGACTAGGAAACGGCAGCAGCTCCTTTCCTCTAGAATCTGCTTCCACGGCCGGAATTTGGCGGAAGTTTAGTGGAATAAATTTTGGAGGTGAAATTGCATAGGGAAGGGTTTCGGAAATAGGAAATTTAGGGTAAAATACAAAAATGAGGGCAACTATTAAAAAACCCCTTGATCGAATTTAGTTAATAGATTCTTAACTATATTATTATGCCGAGTTAAGAAGAGGATAATTAAATTTGCATAAAAATAAATTATTAAAAGCATTATGCCGTCGAATCATAATGTTTTAAGCATTTAGAATTATAAGGCTAAAATGTAGTTTTTCAATGATACTTAATGTTACATAAGAAGCAGGCCACAAACAATAAAATACCGTCATCAAATAATAATATTTAAAACAAGAATTTTGCAGGATTAAATCCTAAAATGTAGTATGTACTTTTGTGGATGTTTTGGCAACATGTTTCAAGGGGTGGAGCGGAAAGCCTGTGGCGGAAAGGGGGGAGGAGGACCCGTGTGGGCCCACGGAAAGCTCATAAATTTGGGATCGAGTCGGCAGATAAACGCTGCTTGGGGAGTTCTCCTCTGGGGGCCCTTGCCCCTTTTTGGCTTTTCGCTGTTGTCTGGAGTCCGACTCCCTGAAAACAATAGGGTTGAAATGGGTAATAAAATCAGTGGTTTTGAAAAGGTTAAAAATCCAAAACTCCGACTTCTGATGGTTTTAGAACCGCCCGCGCTCCGCGCCGCCCCATCTGTTCATAAATATACCCAAAAAACCAAATTACTGTCTTGTCCGAACCCTTAAACTTTAAATTCAGAATTTTAGACCATTCTGCCTCAGAGTTCGAAGAATTAAAAAGAATTAAAAAAAAGAAAAAGAAAAAAGAAAAAAAAAGAAAAAAAGAACAGAACAGATCAAATATTCAAGATTAAAAAATATTCAAGAAGCTGTGTGTTTCCCTAGGCTAGAATTTGGTTGAATGAAAAAAAACTAAATCAGCTTTCAAGGGCCTGTAAACTATTTAAAAAAAGGCATTTCTAGGGTTAAACTAAATATCTACCCAGGATTAATGTAAAACCTTAATTCCACCCCAGAAAACTCGTAAAAACCGGGAACCTGCGGGCTTGGAGTGGGTGGTTGCGGGGGCAAAAGTAAGGGGGCAGAGTCGACGATGCTCAAATATTCATAGCATCTCCCGGTGGAGGGCAACTTCTGCTTTTCATGTTGCGCCCATATCCCTCTCTTCTTACTTCATATGGCTCGCTCGGGGGGAAGGGAATTCCAAATTCTATTGGCAGTTTTTTTGAAGGTGGGTCGGGGTACTGTGGGTGGAACGGGGGAACGGAATGTTGCGTACTTTTGAGTATTGGAACGCGCAGGGATTCAAAATTGCTAAAAAATTTGGTAGCTATGATCATGAGAAGAGCATCATCATTAATGCGTGCAAAATTCCTTCGCGCGTTAACAAAATTCCGGATTTTTAAAAAGTATAAATAAAAAGCGAAAATACGATAAAACAAATAAACCGGAATTAAACGAAAATAAACTTCTGGAATTTTGAATATCATTGAAGCAAACTGTCTGTTTCTGTTTTGAGCTCTCTCCAAGAAAACTTTGTACAACCATTAGCTAAGCTGATCCAGTGCTATGCTCAATTTCCATTAGTGTTGGAAAAACCTGTCTGCCCAGAGGAGTCTAGTGTACTGAAATGGATCCCCAGGAACGCTGCCCTTCTCCTCTCCTCCGCGTCACAGCAATATTTAACCAATTAACCCCAGAGAATCCGTCACCTATGCACCCCCTTCCATCGTGCCTTCAGAATACCCCCCTTCCTTCTCCACCTCTACCCCCCAGAAGCTGTATCCAATTCAGGCGGTTGCCCTCAAAATATGGCTTCTCCGGGAGTCGAGTTGATGGATTGGCTCGCCCTCAGCCACCCCTTTCCGACCGCCGTTCTGTCTTTTTCACGGGACAGCGAATTTGGTTGGGCATCACTTGGTTTTATTAAGATTTGGGGTACTGGTGTTAAGAGGGGGGGTAGCAGGGGGAAATTAACTTTTGTTGAATTTTTGTAAATTCTTGAATCTTTACCTTTTATGGTCATTTTTCAGAAATTTTTAGGGAAAAATTTGGGTTCTCCGCTAAGTATCTCCCCTAAGCATCTCCCCCCCGCTAAGTCCCCAGTACCGGTTTGGGCGCGTAATTTGCATAGAAAGAGAGTAAATACCCGTAGCTACTTGCAATAAATTATCTTGCAATTGGAAAAAGTACAAAAAGCTACATGCTACAGTACTTTGGTGAATTTGGCGATCTTTAAAGTTTGGAGTTGCATATAAGAAGATCTGGATTTTAGAACATAGCGTAAACACTCTGGGCCCACAAAATAAAAATAAAATAGATAGGAGAGGATACGGTAATCACAGGAAACGAATGCTCAAAAAATTTATGGGAATTTAGGTATTCAAAAATATGTAAAGAAATTTAAGGAAATAATATATTCGAAAGGGTTACCTAAGTAGATAGTAATAGAAATATAAAATAAAAATATAAAAATTGTAATTAATATATAAAAATATATATTAATTAAGCAAACCATATAATTATACCAATTAACAATTTAAATTCAAAATTTTAATCAAATACAAATATCTTCAAAACAATAGAATCGAAATTCCCCGCATCGAGGGTACTTGTTGATGGAGATTGTTCGTTCCTTTCTCCCCGGTTCAACCCTTCCCCCCTCTATCTTATAGGGCCCCTAGTGGAGGGCCCCCGGTGGGCCACAGGGGCCCAACCCCGGGGGTGTGGTGACAAATTGCCTGGGGCAGCTCCCCCTCCTCCCCTTTCCCTCTTCTCCTAAAGCTTCCCACAAAATTAAGGTCATATCAAGTAGGGGGGTTTGGGGGTTCCGCTCAACTTGGTGGTGGCGGAGGGTGAAATTGAGTGGCCGTCAATCTAATACAAAGTCCACCTATGGGCTTCTTCTTCTTCTGCCGGATGCAGTGCAGCTCGCCCCATCCTTCTTCCTCAAGGTTCCGGCAAAAACGCGGCAATTTTTTTGGGGGTGGTTCTCTTGCTTTTTGGGAAGAGGGAATTGAGATGGAATTTCCGGGGGGTAGGTAGGAAGATAGAGGTGCTGAAATTTATGTTTTTTGGGGTTGGGATGGGTTTTAAGAAGTTATGGAAACAAAATAGATGGTGGATTTTTGCTAAAATAATTTACCCAATACCGGAATTTGTTATCAAGGCCTAAAATAGATCTTAAAGGTCCATGTAATTTTAGCTTCTACTGGAATGCCTTTCAGAAGTTTTTCTTGTTGATAGAAAGCTAAAATTTGTAACTGGAAGTTGGCAACTTTGTTTTTATGCGCTCTATAATCCTTTATCCAATTTGCATATCCTTAAAACCCTTAAGAAAGGATCAATTCTCGCTCCTCCTCGGCAAAGATCGTCTCGAGGTTCGGCGAGCCGAGGTCGAAAATCTAAAAAACACCAAATTAACAGTATTCCTGGGCACAACCCGACCTTGAGCGCCTTCTTCCCCTGTGTAATGTAGCTCTTCGGAAGGCGGAACTTCACCTTACGGTACCCGGGCTATAAGTATATCATAATTAAAGTAGAAGACTCGATTACCTTGATACCATCATCGCAGTCATGGTACACCTTGAACACCGGATCAATTGGGGTCAACTCGGCTTCTCCACCCTCCAGGTGGAAGCTACCTAAACTAAAAATAACGTTAATTATAGATTTTCACCGTCTTCTTTTGTATATCCCTGAGCTAGTAGGTCATCCGGGTCCGGGCCTAAAATAAGTATTTATCAGAACAATTTGTCGACTGACCGCCATCCTCCTCCCACAATTTGATACGGACCGCTGTGGCCGGCTTCGAGCCGCACAGGAGCTTTCCCTAAAAATCCCGTAGTTTATCCCAAAAATGACAAAATACCTTGACAGCTATGGATTGGTGAAGAAGACCAAGCGATGCCCCAAAAAGGGCTAACAGTATTACGCAAGTTTTCATCTAGACAATTCCTCAAATCCCTCAAGACCAGCAAAAACAGGGAAGCGCTGTCGGTAAAACCGTATTAATTCCAGCTTGAAAAGACCAGAGTAAGCTTTATTACCGTAATATAAAATGCAAGTTGACCAGGTACAAATGGACTGTTGTTTAGAACAGATCACGCTCCTCCTTGGGGAAGATGGTCTCGAGGTTGAGCGTTCCAATCTCGAACGTCTTGGAGGCGACGCCACCGGAGGAGATGTAGCTGGAGGGGATGCGGAACTTGACTTTGCGCTGACCGGGCTGAAGGAAGGGTATTTAAGGTTAAAGGTATATGGAACCTTGATGCCATCATCGCAGTCGTGGTAGATTTTGAACACCGGGTCGATGGAGGTTAGCTCGCGGGTTGATCCCTTTAAGGAAATATTACAGTAATGGTTGTTGTCTAACTTAATGGAATTTAATCTTCTTTATAATTTAAATGGTGTTCTTTATTTTCTAACTTACAGCCAGACGGAATTCCCCGTTCGAATCGGTTTGCTTCTTGTCGAGCTCATCATCCGGATCGGGTCCTAAGGTTTTGTAAATTGTAATGATACTTAATATAGCATTACATACCATCATCCTCATCCCACAGCTTGACGGTGACACCAGCTGCCGGCTTGCTCCCGCACAAAAGGGTGCCGTGGATGGCCACAGCTTGCTGACGCATTGCTGCCGCCACGCCTAACAGGCAGCAAAGGGCGGCAAGTGTTCGCATACTGTAATAGAGGCAAAGTATAGGACGCAACTACTAGAGTACATGTCAAAATTAATTAAATAGGTTACTCTCAAGGTAAATTTTGCGCTCTAAATGGTTTCTAGGCTTAACAAGGTCGGCGATCGCTTTTAGGCTGCACTTACTAGTTTAATTTCAACAAAATCAATTTTAAAGCGGTGAATTTTGTTGATTTATTTATTTTTAATCTTGCAAATAGTAAACTACAGTAAGCAGCAAGCCGATCCTCCCAAAAAATTTGAGGTTGATCAGTCTGAAAATGGCCAAATACGAGCCTGACTTTATTTATTGGTAGGCCCGGTATTATAACAATTCCAGACACCCATCCACTAAACCGGAAGAATAGATAAACAAGGAACAGTTGGTGATCAAGCCATTGAGCAAGTGGTCTTCCGGCCCGACGATCGGTCTCCGTTTAATAGCCGGTCGGACGATCTGAAAAATGGGCTCCCCAATCGGATAAACAATTGCCGGACCGCCCCTGGGGCTTCTCCTATCCCGCCATCGGCCATCCATAAACAATAAGCAATTTTCTAACAGTCGGAGAGGGGATTGTCGAGAATTTTATAGTTGAAAAGTCCGGAAAAGCGATTTTCCGGAACCATGGTTTTGAAAAATTATCCGCCGTCGCTGCAACGAATAGGCTTTAACGATCAAAGCTTGGCAAAATCAGCTACTGACCATTCTCTTCTCTTTCAAATCATTCTCATGAAGTCAACTCATGCTCAATTTTTGATTCATCTAAACCGTCCGCACCCAACTTGACCCGGGCACAACCACACTGAAACAGGCATCGACGACAGATTTTCCCGGGCCAACACCGCCCTTCCCCCGGAAATTTACATAATTTCTAGCCCCAAAATCGGATTATGACGCGGAATCCCGTGGGTTAGGCGTGCACCGGAAGGTCTACAGCTGACGGTATAAAAGGAGTGGGATCGAGATGTTGAAGCAGACTCGACAAGTTCAACAAAATGAAGCACTTCATCGCCCTTCTCCTAGTTTCTGTTGTTATTCTGAATCTGGCTATTGGGTGAGTTTTAGGGAGAGAGAGTGAGAGAGAGCTACAGAGAGAGAGAGAGAGAGAGAGAGATAGTGAGAGAGGGGGATCAATAACCCAATAACTTTAGACATCCGATCCATGAAGCTGGTGTCGAACATCAGCACAACCACAACGGAACTCATCTCCATCGTAAGTTATTTTACTTATTATGGTTACATCACGCTTCTAATGACGTTTCCGTACCTTAAAATTCATATATAACCGCTATTTTTTATTTATATAGTCTGATACGATCAAAGACTTTTAAGCTGGTTTATCCTATTTCCAGACACCGTTAATGGAGCCGATATTTCCATCGATCACAGCGATGAAGTAGGCCACGATGATGGCGACAGCTCCGAGGAAGCACATGGGTGAGTGCTACATTTTTTATATTTATATATTTCTATTTTTTTCAGCGCCGCCACCCCCGAACCGGAAGTCGATGGAACCGCCTAAAAACCCCCGATCGAATTTTTCTACGCCTAGAAAAGTTCACCAAATGTATCGAAATCCCGCTTTTGTAAATAAAGCTTTAGTTTTGGAGGGTGACTAGAGCGCAGTTTGCACACGCAGACAAGAGGGTTTAGAAAGTACTCGCAAATACTGTGGACGGGGCATACTTGGAATTTCTCTCGATAGTAAAGGGGGATTCTTCAAAGTCTAGACGCTATAATTATTTCTAAAAAACTTTTGAGGAAAAGTAGGTCTTTTTGAACTTTTTCTAGGCCTTAATTTACGTTTTTTTTTCAGCTCACAAAATGTTGTTGGACGATTCATGACTGTCTAACGTAGGTTTTTTAATTATATTAATACCAGTGGAAAAAGACCGCTTCGCGGCCATTTTCCACTGGGCCCCGTCCAGGAATCATGAATTTGAATACCTTCTTCTTTTAGCCTGCGGCGCAAGAACCTGAGTAATGGCGCCATTCTTTGGCCTGCGGCGCTAGGGCCAGCGTTCCGCTAGAACCTTTGAGCCTACGGCGCTAGTTACTGGTTTTTCCTCGGGGATCTGGCCTGCGGCGCGAGAGCCTGGGTCAAGGAGCTTCCATTGGGCCTGCGGCGCTAGAGCGAGAGCCAGGCCTAAACCTCACACACCGAGAGCCTAGAAATATGTTTTGTTGCTAAACTACCAAAAAGCAAAAAGTTGTATTTGCTCAGGATCCGAACCCACGACCATTCGGGCGATAGGCCAGGCGCAATCCCACTACACCACGGGTCAGATGGGAACAGGCGGCCGGAAAGCCCTCTTCTGTTCCGGGGAGGGGAGAGGCACAGAAAAGGCCGGCCCAATTCTCCGGGAGGGATGCCATCTGGTCACTTTACAAAATTAAGTTTTTTAGTCTGAATCTGCAGAAAATTTGTAAAGATAATAAGATGCGCGTGATCCCCACTATCGAATACGTAAGTGGTCCAAATTTCAGCCCGAAATTCCAAATGCGAATCGAGTTATGCCCCGAACACCACGGCTCGTCGCCCATTTTGTTAAGGATTTTTACTATTTTGCTTGTAAAATTGTTAAATGGAGGAATTTCGAAAAACAAAAAAAATGCGTGTCTGACAAATGTGTTTCTCCACCTCCATGCCAAAAATCAGCGCGAAATTCGGCCTGACGGCCGAGAAATCGTCATTACAGAAAACAGACATACTTTTCTCGCTTATAGGATAGGATATGGTATAATTTTTATATAGCTTTTGGTTATACGCCAACTTAGCCCAAAAAAATGAAATATAAAATCAAATTAAAATTGAAATTAAACAAGCTACATATTTTTCGTATATATGGATTTGAATTTTCCGTCAATCACAACCCCATTATTAACTATAACATTTTTTGAGGAAAACTAGGTAGTTTTGACCTTTCTCTGGTCCCTAATTTTCATTCTTTCTTCCGCCCACTAAATGTTCTGGGGTGATTCATACTTGTCAAACAGAAAAACCTTTATTACTGGGTTCAATACACACACCAAAGGGGGGGAGGGACAAATAAAAAAAGGTGTGGGGGCGTTTTACAAGACAAGGGGATGGGGGTAGTACTTGGTACAACGTCGTTTATTAATTATTATTAAGTGTTTGACCCGTGTCTGGGGGAAGATACTAACAAACGGGTGTAGTATAATAATATTATTATTAATGGGGGAGTATAACAGCATTTGTATATCACCGGGAGGGGCTATGGAATGGACTATGTTGGACACGGGACAAAATCAACAAGTAGAAAAAGTAGAAAAATACTGTACAAATCATGGAGAGATCATGGTTGGAAGATGGTTTTAGAAGAACGGATCATGAAGTCTAAATCATGGACCAAACGCTACCGTAACCGGTGGAGATGGAGCTGCAGCTTCCGGTACGACGGAGAGAGCGACCGAGTGGGGTTAGGGGCGAGGGGACGGTGAGTTGGTTGGAGTTTTGCTGGGTGAGGTTGAGCTTCAGCTGGGCTCGGGAGCTGGGGCGGATGACGATCGAGTTACGACGGGAGATTGAGAGATCTTCATCATCATCAAGGAGTGAGCAGAAGCCGGATGAAGCATCCGAGTCGAGGTCTTCTGTTTCGACTGATGGGAGCTGAAATGAGCGGTAAAAAACTGTTCCTGGCAGATGTTTCTAGTGGCCTTCAGTCATAAAAGAGTGTTGCTCATAGTGCTTAAAGATCTCCTCACCTCATCCTCCCATGCCAACTCTCGACGCCACCAATGTTCAGCTGCCGTATCCGCGCACCTCGTCCGGTACACCGTATCCAACCGATCGCTCTGTTCCTTTGTCAAATAGTTCTTCCAGTCGCGGCTTCCCCCCTTCCGGATGAATTCGGTCTTGTGCCTGCAGCTAAATGTTCAGTCATAAATGCCATCGACAAGCTTTCACAAATTCAAACTTAGGTAATAAAATAATCTCTAATACCCACAAAATATTCTGGGGGAACCATCGGCCTTGATCTTTCTTCATGGAATCTAGCCTGGAGGCATCCACAACAGCGTTCAGCTTTTCGGGGTCTTCGACAAGTTCAGCTGCATGTCCACCGATGAACGTGCCAATTCTAATACCTTTATATAAAATTTTTATTGAATTCCAAACCTGTGGACAGCCGTGACCAAGTCCTCGCACATTTCCTCATAGGTGAGGAACAAGACGTTCGGGCTTTCCAAGCAGGGCAGCCAACTAGAATTGGATTTATTATCATATAAGGTGTGGTCAAGCCTACCCAAGTAGATGATCAAAATAATCTCCAAAAGCGAGCTGGCCGGAGATGAACAGCTCAAAGAAGGCGTCAAAGGATCCGTCAGCCCAGTTGTAGATTTTGAAGTTGCGATTATGGTGGTAATAGCTAAAGGTATACAGTAATACAGAAAATACTAGTGCTTTTTACCTAACAAGACAATCCTTGGGGTTGCGGGCGCAGAATATGTACTTCGCTTTCTCACTTTTCGGGACGTTCATCATCGCAAAATGAGTCTAAAGCAATAAAAATTGTATCTTAAATTTAGGGAAATTCTATACCTTTAATATTCTTGGAGTTTCAATGGAATCCGTGTACTGTGCTCCCATACGCTCGATCATTGGGGATTGGAGGCACATTTCTGGAATTGAATGGTAAGCTTTGAGCTTGAAAATCTTCCAAATAAGTCAAGGTAACTTATGGTATGTTTAATAGAGAATATAAACTACAAACCTTTGCCTTGTCCGGCCTCGTACTTCTCCTGGCGCACGAGTTGATGTACAATGTGCTGCAGCCATGTGGTCCCACATTTCGGGTAGGTGCAGATGAAGAGGTCGTCCTCGCGCGGCTTCATCGACTTGGCGGTGCTAAAATAATAAAAATAAATAAGTGTTCCACTTAATATTTAACTAGAAAAATACTAGATAAAAAGTGCCTACCGAACATTTTCGGGGTTAAAAATTGGGGGCCAAATCTCGCCGTCGATCACGCATTGGCGGGGATGGCCTTCGGGTTGGTAGATGCGGGCATCGTTGGGGCCCTGGAAAAAGGAATATTTATGTAAATAATACTTTAAATCCTTTTAAAAATCACATACTATACTGCATTTAATCCCGCAAAGTGTCGTTAAATTTAATCAGTCTTTAATGCAGCTATCAGTTTTACTTTTACTCCCCTTACCCACCAAAACCAAATGCAACTCCCTACGCAACGTCACACCCCTCAAAACGTCACCCACCCCCCTATAGAGACAGAACACAAAACGAGTACCCAACTGACTTTCTCGCCATCACGGCTTCAACGTGCCACTCATCTCGGTTTCACCACTCCCCCTTCTATAATCACTCATTAGCTACCGTAACCCCCATAACTCCCAATTTGATCAAAGGCCATCCGTAATGGCCACCTTTTAGCAGAGCCATCACAGGGCCATTTTCTTGGGATAAGCCGCTTACAGCAACAGAAGGGGGGTCAGTTGGGTTTTTTCGATGTGGCTGTTTACTCAAAAGTTTGTCGAAGGGCTTGCAGGGAGGTGCAAGGAAGGGTAAGAGGGGGAATGAGGATCGGGTAAAAATAGGCAATGGGGAAGAAGGGTGGTGATTGAGGGTGATTGGTCGAAAGTACGGGACATTGAGGAGAGAGGAGGGAAAGTATAAAGTCAGCAGTAATATTTTTAAAAATTAGATAGCAGATTTGTAAAGTCTTGTTGTGGATATAGATAGGCATTGAAAAAAGGTAGATTTGTCGCATTAAAAACCGTCAATTTCCAAAATAAATTTTTAGATTGAGAAATATTTATATCATAAATAATTTCGAAAAGCCTATATATATAACTAAAATTAGAGGAAAATTGTATTGTTTTAAAGAATATCAACAAAAATAGTTATGAGATCTTCATAGGCTTAAGTATGTTAAGATTAAAAGTTAAACCAAGTTTCATATTTTAAATCGGCTAATATCCCTTTATTTAATTCATGAATCCTTAAAGGCTCCTTTAATAAATAAAATGTTTGAAATATAAAATTTTTAAAGCTTAAAACTTTATCAAAATTTAAGTTTATTTTTATATGCTAAAGTTAAAAACAACAAACCTTTCTGAAAATCGGTGTCGGCGTCTTTGCAATTGGTGTTGCAGGCGGCGAGGTACACGGTAGATCATCATCATTCAACTGCAACAGCTTCAGCCGCAATGTGTTCATCTTAGCCGTCCGACTCATCTTGTATTGCCTTCAGAATATCGTATCCAGTTTCTTCAGCTTCAAAATGGCGACAAAAATCAGTGTTGAGTCGGGTGGGTTTAGTTGCTTGGGGGGCTTGTCTTGTCCACTTTATATACCCATCAGAGGGCGGGGCCCCTGTTTTCTCTATTTCTCCAGTCTTTTCGTCTTCTTTAGGACAAACAGGGGGGTAAGGGGGGGAGAGGGGTTGGAAATTACAGGCTTTAGTCGTTCTCTAAAATCACGCGCAGTAAATGGTGCCCTTAGGATGGGGGGGCAGCGGATCGGATGGGGGGCTTATGCGGAGATCGCTTGTTGGGGTGGTACGGTAGGTTGCAGAGCGTTGTCTCAGAAGGGCAACTTGCAGGGTTATTGACCTCTAGGGTATTCTGAAAGGAAATTGGATTTTATAAAAAATTCCAGAAGGGCAGGTACAGTACACCTTGAAGATTCCGGAAATATCTGGAAAATACGGAAATCCGGGTGGATTGGAAACTCCTGAAGAAACTGGTGGCGAAGGCAGCCGTTCCAGCGGCCTGAAATCCGTAATTCTTGAGCAGTTTTTTAACCTCTACCAAACGGGCCATTTCACATGGCAACATTCTATAAAACTGCGATAAATACCACTCATTTTCAGTGTATATCTGCCTTTATCTGTGAACGTCAATAGTATTTGGTTATTTTACAGAATTTTTCTCACTTTTACACCACCACTCTTTGGCCCGCTTCCGGCCGGCACTTCCGTAGCCCATGCTCGGAAATTTGTGATCTCCGGGTGCGAGCGTCTTTAAAGATAGCAGAATACTTGCGGGAAGTCCCCTCCTGGCAAAGATCCTTTTTGCATAAAAGGCAGACATGCCGATAAAGATGTTTGCGAGCGTTTCGGCCACTGAATAACGGCGTGGTCTTGCTGGTTTGATGCCAGAAATCTAAATTAAAATCAAAGCCGACCAACTTGCCGATAGATCTCAAGGGAAATTGATAGGCTCTTAGATTTAGTAAGATTATACTAGCCATTTATTAATTCTTCGCTAACCTTTTCAATGCGTAATTAATTATCCGATTAAGCTGCGCTTTACAATTTTATCTGGATTTTTATGCCAACCGGCTAATACTTTTCGCTGCATAACAACTTTCCACGTCTTATTTTCCACCATTAAACACTATTATTGCAATATCACCACCACCCGATACAAAAATAATAATAAAAGCACCCAACATCCCCCAACCACTTCCAACTCTTAATTTAATAATTCATGAAAACACAGCCCAAGAACAGCATCCCCCCCCCCTCCGCAGCCATCAACAAATAACGCAATCCCCTCCTCAACCAACCCACCCATGTGTTGCAGCTATTTTAGAAAAAGCCAAGCCTCAGACTTGTCAACAGTACCCTTGCGTAGCCTCCGCCTCGCCGTAAATGGTAATTTTGGGCGATTTCGACGCTGCTGTTTACCCAGCCAGTCTCGTTGTGAAGACAAGTGCGGGATGGGGCATCCCAGGTGGAGGGCTCTCTTTTTGGGCCTTAAGTCATAATATTGGGTGAGCGGCGCGAAATTATCACCCTTGGCTCTCCAGCCGCCGCCGCTAGATCTCCGACTTTCTATGCCTCAAATAAGGGGGTTGCTACCCCCCCCGTTATTTTGCCCTTACCTAAACGCGAATTGTTATAATCAGAGGGGGTGTTTGGTGACAGAGCGAGGATTCTCGCGGCTTCTCCACGGGGGAAAATGTACCCGAAGCAGGGTGACCAATTTTAGAGGGCGAAAAAGGCACTAGCGAAAAACTACGGGGAGGTGTGTGGTGAGAGATGAAGCTCAAAATAGCTCAAAGTGGCCGGCTGGTATTCTTTGGGTCGGTACGGGACAGGTAATTAAAAGATCAACGGGTAAGCTGAGATCTATAAAAATTATTCAGATATGCGTATTAATCGCAAAGAAAGCTCTCGTTAGTGGGTTCGCAATTTTTGGAATTTTCACAATGAACGGATCGGCATCGTTAGCAACCAAGCGGATTCATGCTCACTCCGATGAAAACCAACTTCGCTTCTTAACTCCGAAATCTGGCGAGAAATACCTTTGATCCTAGTTTTTTATTTTTAACAAAAATGTTTACGCATTAATGGACAGCAATCAATAGTGCTTTAACTTTCATGTTCCTTTAAAACAGAATTGAAACGCTAGGCGATGCAACGATGATAGACATATGGCTGTTTCGACTGATTTTCCCAACCCAATAACATGAAATTCCGTTTTACACATTTGCTCATTTAATTTTTCCTCTTGCTCACATCATTTTTCCAACAATCTTCTTGCAAAACACGATGGTACCATCTGGGGAACATTAAGTCTTCTCACCTTCCCCTCTCTTTTTCACGTGTTAATCCATCGAAACAGAATCCTCAAAAATCCATGGTGATAATAGCCGGTAAAACAGCACCTCTCCGGGATCGACCCCGGCCCCCCTAATTTTCCATCGCCATTCATCGGCGAGGGCCCCGATTTTGAGGTAAAAATTCTGGATGGACCCACCATCATGCGTCAAACAGTTTTCTAGATAATCACCGCTATCCACGCGCGGTGCTCACGCGCGGTTCTAAGGCATAGGGGAAATTAGGGGATCGTGATTTTTAATATGTTTTTCGTTGCTGCCAGGCGCGTGCCGTTCTGAAATGGCGTGTTCGATGTGCTGGAAAAGGGGTAACTTGAAATTAAGGATTTTGAAATTGGAACAAGGGAGTCAGGAATAACTCGCGAAGTTAGGAAAAGAGTGCTTCTATCGAATAAAACCAATGCATTGAAGTGAGTGATAATGCTAAAGCCTTGTGGTTTGCTTCATGGATATCGATTCTCAAGATAAATTTTGTTTTTAAAAAATGAAGAATCATGGCACTTTTCGAAAAAATTATCAAAATTTACACTTTGCAGAAACAACAATTTCCCATATCAAAACTCGATTATCACCGAAAAACCGATCCTTGTTAGTAAAACTATATTATTCACAAACCTTTCAAATCCTCCAAAAGTTTTGATGCAAAAAGCAAAAACGTTAGCAGCGAGTGGTTTCGATCCACCGACCTCTGGGTTATGGGCCCAGCACGCTTCCACTGCGCCACGCTGCTGACGGAGGGGAGGGGATCGGGGGCTGCTATGTGCGACAACGGCATGATGCAATCGGGCGGGAAAACGCTACCCTGTGTTTTTCCCGCGTAACGGAGGAGTTTGAAAGAAGCAAGGAATATTTCATGGATTTTTCGCCTTATGTTAGTATATATGCTATCATATTACTTTAAGAAAAAAAACTTTCAAATTAACTAGAATTTTCCACGCATAATCTAGTGTGTTTAAGCTTGATTTTGTTTTTGCATAGATGTAAAATTAGGGTAGCAAAATTTAAGCCTTCTTCGATTGTAAGAATAGCCCATGCGACAATGGCACCATTTTTCCAGGCGATTATCGGCTAATCTACCCTTGGAAGGTTGGGTGGGGGTGGGGGCATCTCCAAATCCACCCTCTTTGCTGATTGAAAATTCTAAAATTCGTAAATCTCAAATATCGTAGTATCGTTTCCAGCCAAAACAATTTAGCAGGGACCTGTTTTTGTTGATGTCCCAGTTTGCCGAAACTCGCTAAAAACTTTCAACGATTTCAATAACGGCAATTATTGTCTGGGGATGGAGCCGCCGGTGTTAATTATCCCATCTAAAACTCGAATCCTATACCGTAAACAGGTATTAACTGTAGCCTGGAGGGGGATCGGAGGGGAGGGGCGATGTTGGGCCTCATTTTTGTCTACTTTTCGTACCGAGGTGCAAGTACGAATTGCGGCTAATTGCGGTGGTGCTGTGTCGCTGCGGCATTTCTAACGTAATTTTTTGGGAGAAACCTCGCGACTGGGGTGCCATCGCTCTTGCGGCAAATTAGGGGCGTTCGAAGTAATGGGTGGGTCTTTTCAGAAATTTTGTGGGGTTGAGGGAAAGGTTAACAATTGCGGTACGATGGACTTTGCTGAAGTTTAGCGAATGGCAAGAAGTCTGGAGGGATTGAAGTTGACGTGGGGGAAAGGAAAGAAAATGAAAGAAAGAAAGCAAATTTGAAAAGGGACTGACGGCCAAAAAAATGGAGAATTTGGGCAAAAATTATTTTGCAATTCTTGAGTCTAGCAATCTGCAAACCAGCTGCCGACGGTCTGGTAGGTTAAAATAAATTTGGAATCGAGAGGGAGCAGTCAAGAGTGCTTTGTCATAACGTTTGGTTTGAAGTTACAGACTATATCAACTAGCCTAACTGAACCTTAATTTTTTCTGACTCAAATTGTATATTTTATTAATGCATGGGGTTCTAGCTGGTATCGTAAAGATGTTTGAAATCAGCCGTTTTTCGCAATTTCCCTAAACTTCCGTTTTGTAAATTTAGCGCTAGAGGGCTCTCGTCGAACGACAAAGTTTTTGTCAATGCTATGGCGTTATCCGTTTAAAAACCACCGTGAAGCAAAAATAATCGAGAACGAAGGTGGCAGTTTATCGCTAAAGTACCACCTAAAAAGCGGGGACCAGATTTGAATCGAATTGGCGATGACCATCTTCGCCTTTGAGCTTCCCTAGTTAGGCAGCTAGGTTAAACGACTTGATAAGTGCTTCAGCTATACCTTGCGGTTATTGCTTCGGGACAGCTAGCCGAGACGCTTTAGGAATTTGTATTCTTCAGCCAGAAGCGTTATACTAGTTTTTGCGAAGGAATGAAACAGAAGTTTCCGGGAAGGCAGCAAAGATCTTTGGAAAGGACCAAGTTAAGAGATTATTGCATTAATTTGCATCCTGCACCAAAACATGTAAAATTCGTGTTTATCTACTTTTCAGCCGTGGCTTCCTCTTATGCGTACTTTGGCCCATTTAAATGTATACGATGTCCGACAATTCACTGCTTTTTTTAAAATGTCTTTATTTAAAACTGTTGAAACATCTCCGAGATACTGGTGCGGTTAACAGCACAGAAGAAAGAAGAAGTCAATTCTCCAAACGGGGAGAGGGAGAAAGAGGGAGAAAGAGAGATAGAGGGAACGAAAATAACAGCCAATAGTAAAAGATGGGGGTTTCAAGAAAATTCCAAAATGATTTTGGGGTGGGCGAAAATGGGGGGAAATGGGGGAGGAAAATTCGAACACCCGATACTCGTTTACACACTTTTGTATGGGGGGAGAAGAAGGGGGTAATCTGGGTAATATAAAAAAATCAATTTAATTCTGATTATAACTACATTAACTCTAATCAAAATTCTAACAGAATCAAACCAATAGTCAATTTTAATTCTGAAACAGGGTACCTGAATGGGGGGTTGGGTGCTAAAAAAGGGTAGGGCTGGAGACGTAAGGAGGCCAAAAACAAGCGTGCTGATAGTTTTTGAGAGATCAGAGCACACAACATTAGAAAAATGGGCAAATTGGAGAATATTTACATTTACAAACGTTTACAAAAAGTATAAATTTCCGTGGGGAGCGGGAAAAGTATAAGTTTCTAGGTGTAAAGCCTGAAAATTTGATGGGGAGCAGCCCCAGGTGATGGAAGTTTGTAGTTTTCTACGAGTTTAAAGAAAGGAACTATGGGTGGTAAATTTCCGGTCGATTTCTTAGAGCCTGAGCCGTGGTGTAACCGTGTTTTGCCTTTAAAAGCCTCTCTTTGCCTTTATCCTGGCTTTTTCTAGTTGATGAGAAGAGCGGTTGAGGCAGCGGACGAGCCGGTGGTGGTCGTGGACGCGGGGCTACTCTGAGCACCACCAGAGGATGAGGCGGAGCCCCCGGAATGGGCCTGGGTCGGCGGGATGGAGCCGGCGCCGAGGCCAGCAGCTTCACGGGTTCGTTTGAACTCGTCGTACTCCTCGCCTGAAAAATTTGGTTTGAATAAAAAAGGTTCATTTTCCGGATTCGCGCCATTTGCGTTAATTTCAATTTCACTCTGATTAGCTCTTGCGAAGTGAAAACCCAGAAGAACAACGTCTTCAAGCAGTCCAACAAGTCTAACTGCTGCTGAACTCACCAAGAATGGTGGCGATCTCGCCTTGCATGAAGGTCCACGGCATCGCCGAGCCGACGAGGGGGCATTTATCCCCCGACGGGCAATAGAGCTCCTGAAAAATATAGGTAAAATTGTCTTGGCTTGAAATTGACATCTAAAAAATCCCAAAATTTGCAAATAACTAACCTGGCCGTGGGTCTGCTTCTTGATGCTCTCCTTGCTGCAGGGGAAGCAGAATTTGTGGCCCTGGATTGAGGGGCACTGGACGAAATGGGTGTCTTCTAGCCGCTCCTGGCAGAGGGTACACCGCAGCACGCGGTCTTGGCTGAAAAATGGACTTTAAAGGGACCGTTAAGTCAATGGAAGATAAAACCCTCGATAATCGATTACGGTAGGTGATTTATGTATGCCTATGGATTTATAATACTGTATAAAACAAACCTTGGCGGAAATGCCATACGTCTTGTCGCCGGATGATCGGGCGAATGTGTAGATGTAGGCGAGACTGATGTCGTCTGGGCGTCTCCTGGAAAATTTACATATAATTAAGCTTTCCGAAATTTTTTTGCATATTTTTACAACCTCCCAGTCACTTCTGAACCCCCCTTTAATCTAGATACAATTCTCTGCCGGTTTCCCCCTCCTCGAGATCGAGGAAGAGGAGCCTGAACGAGGTCACGGCCAGCCATCTCGCCCTCAGGCCGATCGCGAAAAAAGCGAATGGGTTCTCCGTCCCTTTAGAGCCATTCCTTCTCTACCTCCCCTCTTGCTCCTTCTCTTCTTCTACTACACCAAGGTCAACGGCGCCCCCCCCCCTCCCCCCGATCCAAAAGACAAGTTTTTCGGGTCGTCGGACGGGCCAAAAGGCGGGGCAAAACCCAGCGCGGTCATCTCTCACGGACCGGGCCGGCTGGCGCATATGAAGGTCAGCTGGGGTAAGGGAGGGCGGATAGCTGCGAGCTAGGGGTGGAATTTGGAGCTGAGCGGACTGGTGAAGGAGCCAGATGGTAGTCGGTTTTTGGTTTGGACTGGGGAAGAGGAACGGATACAGGAAAAGGGCGGAGAAGAATGCTTTGCGATCGAGCTTTCGGGTAGCCGGATTTTTCAACTGGAAGTGGGATTAAAAATATATAGAGTTGGAAAAATGAGAAGATAAAAATTTCAGAAATCGCGCATAATGAGGTTAAGCCAACCGTAGGCAGGAGCTAAGCTGAGCTAAGCCGAAGCCGCTCAATAAGGCTTCTCACACGCTTCTAAGATGATTACTTCTAGAAACTATTTGAAATAACTAAAAGCCGAACGCTTTATAAAACGGGGCTTTATCTATGTCTTAAAGCGTACGTGCAGACACTACTAAGAATACACCTATTTACACAGAGAGACTGAGACAAGCGAAAGACGCAGTTATTCCTTCGTTTTCTACAACCCGCTTCTCAATTTCGCGCAAAATTTCCGTCACTATTTCCCAAAAACTCCAAAACCCTCTCCCCAAAAAAATCGTTTCAATTCATCTAAACCCCTTCCCCCTGCCCTAAACCGATCGCTATCCCCAAAATAAAAAACTATCCCTCACAAACTTTTTCGGGTCCTCCCCTCCCCCCCCGCCCATTCACTGGGGGGCAAGGGCGATTTCAGGGGGCGAATTTCCAATTTTTTTCGGGTAGTATTTTCGAGAGATGGGCACTGGGAGGGGGGAGGCCGGCACGGAGGTCGTCCGGAACCGGTTCCCGACCTATAATACAGCAAAAAAAAGAGAGGAAGGGGAGGGAGGGATGGGATCGAGCGCTAGGGGTCAAGTTCGAGCCCTGGCCAACCACCACCACCGCCACACCTCCATGGCTAGTTTTTCGGGGGCCTTTTGTCCTTGATTGCCACTTTTGAGATGCTTGGATATTGGCCGGATTAAAAAGTAGAACAAGTATAAAACCAGGTATAAAAAGTAAACGTTCAAAAAGTTACTTAAGGCTTAAAAACCCCATTCAAGGAAGAAAATCCACACACCTCGCTGCACCTTCCCGTACACCTCACTCTTGTCATCCTCGTGATCACGCTTTCGTGGCAGCCCCATGTTGGGAAGGCACCCTAAAACAAAATAAATAAAGATAAAAATTTGGCGACCGGATCCAGGGCTCAAATTAGCGTAAAACGCACCAAAACCGGGGATCCCTTGGTGCAAGAGCCCATTTGGGAGGGCCGGGCGCATTTGCTGCTGAATCAGGGCCAGCTCTTCGACGGTGAAGCCGTTCGGCCGGTTGCCAATTGTCGAGGCGAGCTGGAGGAGACGCTGCTGCTGGACGAAGGCCTGCAAGGACTAAAGATAAAGTGGTAAAATTGATTGGATGGGTTATATATTAATTGCCACATTTTGCGAGGTAAAGTGTACATTAAATTTCCTTTTATACCGTAGATTAAATTTTTATTTAAAATTTTTTAGCCTCACCTCTCCAAAAGAAGCCAACGGGTTCAGCGGGTTTAACGGGGTCGGCGCCGGGGCTGAGACGGGCACGTTTCGGGGTGGCGAAATACGGCCTGGGCCTTGGTTGACTGGGAGGTCCTTCTAAAAGTGAAAATAGTCACATTAAGTATGCCTAAGAACTTTTATAAAATGCTGAAGCTCAATCCTAGCTTACCTTACGACCATTTGTCATGTCCGCCACCGGGAATCCGTGAATTCGCTTCATCTGTCGTGCTTGTTCAATAACGCTCTCGATCCTGCAAATACACAGTTTTCAAGAGCTGTTCTCTTCCCTTTAATCCAGTAAGCGTGTGAATTCGGAGACCCCCTACCCCCTTCCCCGACCCCCCACTGATAATGAGGCACGTAAAAAAAACGCATCCAGGCCCCACGATAAAAACCCGCACGATTTTCCGGTGGTTTTAAGAGTGGACACCCGGGGGTGTCGCGCGGAATGGCGTTTTAATTGCCCGATGAGGTGTTGGTTATCAAAGAATATTTCAGAGGGGGTCAGACACCGGAAAACGAACCGATCAGCTCCTTCATAATTGACACATCCACGGCAGACGGGCTCTCCGTAATCGGCACACATGGCCCATGGCCAACGGGGGAGATCGCATAGGAAACAGTGTTGACGGCCTAAAAATATTTTTATTTATGAAGTGCAAATTAATTTTATTTATAGTATTAATGTTATATGTATTATTATAATAATATATTATACTTGGAACCGACGAATAACATTCATAAAATATTTAACTTTAGAAACCGTGCTTTTTGAGATGCTAGTTAGCAGAATCAATGTAAATATTTTTTAATTATGCAAAAATATAAATCGCTAAAATTAAAAGCTAAAAAATATTTATTGATGTATACTTTTGTCACTAAAAAGGCTGGGAAATCCGAAAATATGCAAATAATATTAATAAAATAAATTTAGTTGACAATTTGTTCAAATTGTATTTTTTGTAAAGTATTGATTTTCATAAGGCCCTATGCTCTCTTTTGTACTAAAATAAAACAACTAACTTACCAGCCAGTTTCGACGGGGCCGACCCATTTGTTTGCGGCTGCGAAGACATTGGCCCCAGCATAGCCGCGTCTGCAAAACAAAAACCATAAAAAATATTCACGACAATATTCGTAATATTCATTCCAACAATTCACAATTTATTTTTGCACCACGCCAACAGTCACCGTATCCCATATTAGCGAATTCCATCTAAAGCTCCAACAAATTGACGGGGTGACAATTTGGAGTCATTTGCGCGCGTAAAAATTGGTCGCGCCATTACGCGGTGGGAACTACAAAAATTGTTTTGGGTGCCTGGAGGGGATGGGAAGAGTCGCGTAAATAATTTGAATACAAAATACAAAAAAAAATTGGATTTTGGTAAAATTAAAAAAAATGGATTTTGAAAAATACAACATTTAAAGAAAGTCAGAGTTGCATGGGGGAGATCTCGTGAAAAGCGGGCTGGGTTTTGTTTGACGGGTAAATAAATTGTGGGATGGCTTATCAGGAGGGCCCGTCTAGGGTGGAGTGTGGCGTAGCTGGTAGGAATGAAGGGGCTGAAGGGGGTATTGAAAGGGGCATTCAAGATAAAAAGATAAAAAGGGGGCCATCGGCTCGTGTGCCTTTTGCCCTGGGAAAAGCCGAAGGAGAAGCACCGTGGAGGGGGAGCCCTTTGCACCTTGTTCCACAAAAAAAAACACGAATTTAAATTTGGAAGACTCTGATTAGGCGATAAAGATTATAGCCTAGTTTCATTATTTATGAAAGTATCAAAAACCTCGTCAAAATTAGCTATTTCAAAATTTGAGAAATTATGATGTCACCAAAATTCGTACTTATTGCACTCCAAAAACACAGTTATAGACGTAGCTATTTTAAACTTTTGGACAAGCCAAAACAACAGACTAAATAATTCGAAAGAAATTGATAAAATTGGAACGTTGCCAAATGCGAAAATTTCTACAAAAAAGTTGATGTTTTAGTTCGTTGCAATTCTACAGGCACATTGAAGGCACAACAAAATTCCAGAACATTACTATTACCTAGCAAAGGTCATGAAAAACGAGGTTCGAGCGTTTTGGGGGAGGGGGGGGGCGGATGGTGCGAGTCGAGAATGTGGTGCTCGCATGGACCAGGGCAGAGGAGCCCCTCCTTCAGAGCCATGACCCAGTTTAGAAGAAGAAACGACAGAGAGAGAGAGAGAGAGAGAGAGAGAGAGAGAGAGAGAACCCGGGAGAATACACGACGACCTTGAGGCTGCCAATTAGGAAATGGCTGCCCAGAATCATAAGCTATGGGAGGAGAGAGCGGGAGGGAGGGAGAGATACGGAGAGAGCGAGAGAGAGCAACAAAAATCATATCTACAAATTAGTTAACTCAGAGCCACGCGCCGCTTTTTGCATTCCCAAGGGCATTTCCGAGCAAAAATAGAGGCGCAAAAATTGGCACCGTGCCAGGAGCCGCCTGATAAGCGCGCTGGGTTCGAATTTTTCTTTGGACGCTGGGTATTTGAACCTTGGTATTTTTGGGAATTTTAAATGCACCAACCGTTCCTTAGGCGTCCGATTTTCGGGAGTTGTTGGGGAGTGCACGGGCGAGGTGCAGCTCCGCGGTACAGTGCGGCAGATACCTGGAAAATGATCGGTAAGGCGAGTGCGAGATGGAGAACGAGCGAGAGAGCGAGAGAGAGCGAGAAAAAGAGAGATACAGAAAATACAAAATTTGCATACACGACCCAAAACTCGACTCGACTCCAAATCTCGAACGATGCGATGGCGGAGTATCTGGCGAGCTGTGTGCGGCCACCCAGGATTGATTTGTGCATAATTCCTGAGAAAATGGCGGCCGAAAGAAAAGAGTGAGAATCAGACCCGATGGCGGGGGTACCAGATAGGGATAGAGAGAGAAACAGAACGAGCCACAGCCCATTAATTCAGCAGCCGTTGGGGAAATTAGGCGTGGCCATTTTCTCGGATTCCCACCCGGGATTTGCATTTTACGGTGTCTGTGTGGAGAAAAGGGGTGGGGGGAAAGAGATGGTGGAATAATGTCAATACATTGGAATCGTAGAATCTTTTTGAATAGAGGACTTGGCCTGTTGACACATTAATGACAACTATCGTGGAGGATATCCGTATTAAAATTTTATACCTAATTTAAATATACTAAATTTAGGTACATAAAAATCTAACTAAAATTCGAAGGTTTTATTTCTAGTTTTGTATAAAATACTGTCTCATCGACTAGGTATATTTCTATACGCAGTCCTGCTGAACTATAAAAATATACTATTTTTAATTTAACATGAAGTGAATTTAACAATTCAAAATATCTGTTGAAAAGAATTCCACTAGACTACCTGAAATACGCCCCAATAATGAAAAGTACCACCTAGTAGAAACCTCTCAGAACACCATCCCCGGATTTTCCGGAAATCCCCGGCTAATCGGGATAATTTCCGGCCCACCACTTAAGCGACACCCCGAGACCAAGGAATATACAATACACCCAGATACCCCTAACAACCAGTACACCCACCCTACCACCCAACCTATATTTGACAATTTGTAGTGGCTGCTATAAGTCGTAATTCCCGAGGGCTTCCCCCGATAGCTACCGTGCTGGGGGTGACGACAAAAAATTGGCCCTCAAGCTAGGGCCCCACATACACACGTTGACGCGCGGATCACAGTGAATTGTAGCAACGGGGGGTAGTAGGGGCCCCCACACATGGGAATTTCGTTCAGTTGTAGCACCCCCGGGATGCGCGTCAACAGGTAGCGCATTGGAAAATTGGAATTTGGATGGGAAACTGGGAAGGTAACTTGGTTTATGGGGGCTACGGTGTTGAGACCAAAATGATTAGGGAAAGGTTGGAAAGTACAAAAAGTGGAGGTTACTTTGAATTTTTGACACAAGATTCTTTTTGTCAAATTAAAATTTAAAAAGTTGAAAATGTAACACGCTAATGACGATTTTAATGACACGAAATTGCGTAGATTTTTGCGGGCGTATTTTAAAGGTATAATGAAGACAAAATAAGCCAATAAATCTCCAATAGACAAATTTAGATGAAGAAAAACATATTTCGACGGTTTCCAAAAAGCTACTATTGACAGGAAGACGGAAAAACACTCATTTACTTCCAAGAAAATATTTTAAAGATATGTTAAAGTAAAATTCTAGTACGTACGACACCTGTTTGCTATGAAAAATGAAGGGTTTGGGGCTCCTGCTCAATGCAAACGCCCCTCCAAACACCGCAAAAAATGAAAACGACCCAACTTTCACCCCGTTGCAACATCCCCTTAAATAAAGTACATAAATGAAACTGAAAGTTGGCTGTTTTCTTGACCTATTCCGCCGCAGTGCTGTGTGCCCCGAGGGCTCGATGTAAACAGTACCCGCGTGGAAAACGGGGAGAGAGCCGAACAAGTGGGACGAGTGACGAGGGGATGGGGGATGGCCGGTCGATTTGGGGATGTGTTGTGGTTGTTGTCCGGAATTCTTTCAATCCCATCCAGTCACCCTCTGACCCCATCCAGTCCGGGTGGAATTAGCCACTCTAGGTGGGGTTCTCGCTATCCGTAGTGAAAGGACAGCTGGGGGATATCCACGAAATACTGTGAGTCCTAAAAAGCACGCCTCGGCATTTGGTCATCTACTATCCAAGCGGGTCCAAATTCTAACCAGACATGTAGGATCATAAAAACTATTTGTATTCAAATTTTCAAGGTAAAATACTGCAAAATAAAAAAGTTCTGGCTAAAAAGTGTTTCTTTTCGGAAAATGAGCTGTCTTCGCTAAGGGTGTGCCGATTTTAGTAATAAAAAAGACAGAAAGCTTTGTTTTCAACGATCTTTTTGCAAAAAAAATTTTTCGAGATAGCAAGGAGTTCCTCTTCATTTTCTTGCGAGAAATTCAAGGCGGAAAATCGCCAAAAGCCTAGTGAAATCGCTAAAGCCCTAAATTATTTTTAGTTCGGAATCTTCTGCTTTGATAATTCAGGAAACATCATTTTTCTAGATCCAGTTTTCGGAGCGATCGGATTTAATGCGCCCAAATGCCAAAAAGAATTCTTTTGGGAAATCCAAAGAATCCTTTTTTGGCGTGATTCTGCGGGGATGGGGATCATTTTTGTGGCCTACCGTAGCCGGGGCAACCTGGCTGGGGGCTAGAAATAGAGTTGTTACGTGATTTCTCCAGGGGGTTGTTCTGGCGGTGGGCCAGGTGGGGAATGTAATTGAGTCTAGAAATCAGGGTACAGGGACAGCGAGAAGTCGAGGGGTAAAATATGGTCAGCGGGTAGTGGTGATATTGCAACTTTTAGGGTGGGTGCGGCGGAGCTGTCAATCGGCTAAGCGATGCATTTTGGGTTTTGGATCGAGTTGTTTTTATTAAAGTTATATCAGCGCTTAGATTGAGCCACTTAATCTCGGAAATATTATTTCAAATGATAATCATAATCGAGTAAAACAGATTACGACATGAAAAGTTAGAATTGCTTAAAAAGCTTGTTAAAACCAGTTGATTTGGCCTGCTAACGCTCTTTAATAAGCTAAATTCTCCTGGATCTCAATCGAAATAAAAACAACTTTGTTTCTAAGGCCAGAACACAGGAAAAACACATTACGACATAAAAATAACCATTTCAAAAGCTACAGTACTTTCCGTTGAACGCCCCTAGATTGAGGGCCCCCTCTTTAGTGCAATCCCCCAGGTAAAAAGGATGGATGCGAGGCAAGAAGCGGGTGAAGAACCGAAAACGACGAGCGATGGGGAAGGGGGGTGGGCTGAATCAGAGGCGGTGAATCCGCGCTGATGCACGGCACACCCGGGGCTGTCCGTTTGGATGGGGACCACGATTGTATCACACAACGCGACAGCGCGCAATCATTCTTGCAAAAAATGGGTTTTATATATAGCTATTTTATATGGGGGTTTCTTAAAAAATAAATTGTGCTAAAAACTATGCTAATTATCGAAAAACGCCCGCTTTGCTTTAGCACGGCCTAATTAAATCAAGAGGTTTTTATACTTTGTGTCCTTAACCACAAAAATTAGTAATCTACCAAAATA